TATACTTTTATTTTAAAGATTAGGGTGGATAATAGAACTGCTCTAGAGAAACCGGATATAAATTGATAAGCCGTTCTTAGAAAGGTTTACAACATTACAGATAAGTCGTTCCTAAACATGCTCAACACATCTGTAAGTAATTAGCCTAATCCCAACTGGTTAGACTAGGGAAGAGAAAGTAGATGGTAATGTAATATTATCTGAATATACCATCTATATTTTGTTTTATTATAGAGACATTGATCATGCAATTACTGATTGAAAAATTATTTTTAGCATCAGCTATAGTGCTTTGTTAAAACTAAGGACTTAAATATTCATTTAATTAAATGCTATTTTATATTAAGCCACTAAAACATTAATGAAAGAATATACTAGAAAGAATATACTAAGTTTGTTAGAAATAAAATCATCTTAGTTAAGAGAAATAATATTAAACATTTTTTTTAATTTGGGAATCAGGCATGGCACAGTAATCTAAGATTAAATAGTATAATTTACTAAAATTAATTGCTTTAATAAATACAATGAACACAACAAAGGCAATATTGTAATGTAATTAATGTTTATATGTGGAGTAAATACTTTTTTGGGGGTTAATTTTAATACATGTATCACAAAAGCAACTCAATAGTTACATAAAGGAGAATGAAGTTGTCTAAGTAAAATTTTTATCTAGCTCTCTTAATAATAAGGACAAAGTCAGAAAATCCACCAGGATTTCCAAAAATACGCCATTTGAAATTTTCTAAGTTTTTATTTCCCTATGCGAAAGAGACTAAGAAAAAAATACGCCTGGATTAAGAATTTACGCCAGGAGAAAAGGAGACGTATTTCTGGCAAAAATACGTGTACGCCTGAAAATGAACCGTATTTTTAAGAATACGTCTCTTGTACGCCAGGATTTGCAAAAAGTCCAGGCGTAATACGCCTCTAAATTTCATACGGGTAGTGTAATTTCTTGAATGATACAAAATGAACAAAAACACAAAGAGAAATTTAACAAATTCATTTAAAATTGACATACAATGAACACAACTATAAAGAACTTTATTACACCTTACATTAGCTGTAAACACAAGTGTGCTCATTGAAAATCTTACAAATTTAGGGTTTTCTCTGAAAAAAAAAAAATACATCCATTGTTATGCAAGATATGTGAATTAAATCTGGTGAAGTGCAAGCTCCCAATTTATAAGGTGTGAGAAACTGTGTTGATATACTTTTTTTTAAATTTACACAAAAAAATGGCTATTATGGAACATAGACACACAAAAAAAATCTTGAATAAAAAAAAGGGCTATTTGTTGGTCTATAGTTAGTCAAGAATATCAATGTAAAAGCTTCAATCAATCACATCTGCATGGCTACTATTCAACTTCATCATCTGTGCAACTTCACAAATGAAAATGGGATGAACATTTACAAATTTTTGTACCATATTCATTAATTTGCCTCTTAGATTTATTAGCATGGGTTTACATATTATACAATGTTGCAATACAGACTTAAAGTCATGAAAAAATTGCTTCTAAGATTTAATACCAAGAATTTACATAATACAGCACTATGCAATAGACTTCAAAAGTCATGAAAAATCCCTTATAAGAAAAAAATATGGTCAAACAGGAAAGAAAAATCTGAAATCAATGCAGGGCTCAGAGGACAAACCCTTTCATTTGACCCAATGATTCAAAAACAAAAACATTTATCATGTTTATAGTTGACCTCTCCACCGGAACAACTTTATATGGCACAAGTACAGACTTCCCAACCTAAAATATTCTTTATCATGTTTATTGCACAAAGTGTTATACATTTGTTTTAAATGATGTCACGAGACTCATCAAATGCTGATTCTACAACAAAGGTCTGCCCCAATTAATCATGCAAACAAGAATCTTAAAGATTCCAGAGGAAGAGCATTTTTAAAATAAGCCAACATAAACCCTGGGGCATGAACCCAATGAAATAACAAACATTTAAAACAAAAACAAAAACAAAAAAAAAAAGAGAATTATTTATTGTCAAAAATAAAATAAATAGTGTGTCTGCTTATTGTTCAGGAACTAAGATTTTTTTTCAAAAAAGACTATCAAGCATTTTGATATGTAGCCTACCCTTTGGCATAAAACTGGACCCTGCACAAACTTCCCATTCATTTCAGTGGGCTTCATAGTTCATTGTAATCATACAACCATTTTGCCTGTCATGACTGTCAATGCTATAATGCATTTTTCAATATATAATCAATTTTGCCTCACCTTGGAGCCTGAACTCTGGCATGGGGATATGAAAAGTACATGTTACATGAAAGTTTAAATACATTGTATTTATTAATTCTAATCATGCAAACAGTTTGTTTGATATACTGTACGTGTACATAAATTGGCGTATTCAAAATTTAGCACAATCAAGGGGTATGGAGTTGTTGGCATAATCATAAATTAGTGTTACACTTGTCCGTGCCATGTATTGTATTAATAAATGATTTATCAGTGGTATTCATGAATTAGCGCATCATTGTCCGCACCAAAGCCGCTAAAATATGAAGCCCACTTTTTTAAGTACACATACAGTATGTCCAGCAAGGAGGAAGAATTTCTGCATTTTCAATTTAGAATCAATGTAGTCCCATCCTGGTGTCTGAACCCTGGACCCAGAGATCATCATGATGAATTTCATGATTTTGCCTCAAATAATTATCTAAGTACAGTCAAACCTCATTATCTTGAACTTGTTTGACCTGAGGAAACACTTTGAGATATCAAAGGATTCCATATATTGAGGTTAATTAAATTATTGATATGGAAAGGATGGTTTAGATTTTAAAATCACTTTGAAACATCAATGGTAATCAAGATATTGCTCCAGATATTGAGGTTTAACTGTAGTCTAACTGTTTCATGTCCAAGAATATAGAAAAGATTACATAATGCAATAACAATCTTTTTCTTTATTCCTGGACATAAATACATAATTATTTCATATCTAACTTAACTACATCATAGGATCTGAACCCAAGAGATGTCATAAATTTGGTTAAGGGAAAAATTGTGCATTAATAAATCATGCATTTGCCTACTTTTAATTAATTAATTAATTAAGTCCACCACCACAGCACATGATATGCCCTCAGATATTGTTTACTTATCTGTCAAACAGATGAGTGTGCATGGAAAAAAATCATGTCAACCTTGGAACCAAGATTTCAATTTATTCTCCATTAAACCGTACTTCTAACGTTTGATGTGCACATCATATGCTGTATTATTGATTAGAACAAATAGTACGTATAGTCATGACATAAATGCCCAATCTGCAGCCTTGTTAATTGTAAGAGAAAATGTGAAAGATGAACAGGGTCACTGCCTAATAAAACATCAAATGAAAATACTAACCATTCTGTTTAGATAAGACTGACAAAACTTTTGCATCCATCATCTTGATGATCGAGACTTGCACAAGTGAGTTAAGGCTAAGTATAGACATTTCTATGCAAATATGCATAAGAGCTGTACCTATCATACAGAAAACATTCAAACTTATTTTCTAATACAGACTAGGTACATTGTACCCAAGGCATGTGATAGCCAGTATACATTATGACGTCATTCTTCTCTACTAGAAAATGTTATAAAGAACATTAACAAAATAGCTTTGGTGCAAGGGCATAGTACCGTATTTAATTTTAAAGAAACAATGTATAATTAAAAGCAGAATATTCCATGATTGATGATATTGCTGCACAAATATTAACAGTTCAATTGTTTAGTTACTATTTGTAGAGTTTTGAGTTGAAACAGGGTAAAAATTTGCAGTCCGGTGCAAGTTTCCTCAAATTCTTATCTAATGAGAAAGCTAGTGCATAGGATTTGTGCAGCAATTTTATTAATCTTTAGAATATTCTTCTTAGCATTATACGTTATTTATGTAAAAATTGAATAGGAGATGCCCTTGCACATACACTGTTTTGTTAATGTGTCTAAAGATAACCTCGAGTAGTAAAGATCAGTGACATCATAATGTGCATTAGCTGGCTATATCATGTCGTGGATACTAAGTACATGTATGTATTAAAAAAATAATTTACACTTTCTCTGTATAATAGAAATACAGTAAAACTCATTTAGTATGAACACGGGAATAGCAAATTTACAGATATAGCGAATTTTTGCAATACCCAGAAAAATTCTTAACAAATTCCTTGTAAAATGTTATGGATACATGTATTATGAACTCGGATATAGCGAATTTACAGTTATAGCAAACTGATTTTGTGTCCCCTAGAAGTTACAAACAATGAATTTTACACCTTTTATAGCAAATTTTCAAAAATCGGAATTTTCAAAACATTGAACCGACATTATTTTCATAAGTATTTATATCTGAAATGCAATTTATCTGAAAACTTTTGAACTCCAAGGTAAATTTTGTATTTGATACTTCCCTAAATGCATTTGGTAGTCATACTTGAATGAAAAAAATCTAATTTGCAAATTAGCTATGTAACTATACTTTAAAGAATTCGTTATATGGATATAACGAATAAGTAATTACAAATATAGTGAAGTAAATTAGCAGGTCCTCAGACCTTTGTTAAAACCAAGTTTTATGCATATTTTTTACCCCATTTGCATAGAAACGCCTATACCTAGCAATAACTCACTTGCATGAGCAATTTGGTTGCTGGGATATAAAAAAGAAAACAGAAGGCTACTTTAAAACATTTCTATAGGAGCATCTCTGATCAAGCATGTGTTATCCATATCTCTTGGGTATTGGGCAGAGCAATTAAAGATTCGACCTATTAATTGCAGTTGATAGAATTTGTCAAATTTAAACAGTTCTTGATGGCCAGCCTTTTGTTTTCAAAATTAATTTCATATAAAGTTATATAAGAAAGTTTAATTTGATATTGTATGTATAATACATACAGTATCAAATTAAATTTTCTTATATAACTTTATATGAAATTAATTTTGAAAACAAAAGGCTGGCTATCATTTGCCCATTACCCAAGATATATGGATAACACCTGCTTGATCAGAGATGCTCCTATAGAAATGTTTTAAAGTAGCCTTCTTACATTAAACTCATTTATAATTACTCTTTAACTTGATAGATGCAATCTGTGTCTCTTTATCAAATGTCCAATCCAAATTGAAGAAACTCTATGCCTTAGATCATAATTACTCTCATGGAACAAATGGAATTGCTCTATCTGTATAAATGTTGTGTGATATGAACTAGTCAAGTATTAGCATACATGTAGTAAAATATTATTGGGTATTTCTGCCATTTTTGTAAGTAGCAAAAGAACTGTTTTATCAAATGTTGTATATATAGCTGTATATAACTAAAAAAATGTGTTTTATCTTTTGATGTAATTTTTTTTTTGAAAGGTTACTGCATTACTCATACATTTGTAGGGATTACCTCCCTTGAAACATATTATACGTATATCACCTTAATTAAAGGTGACAGTGAAGGCTACTGCTAGACATCTTCTACCCAAGATGCATTATCTGTCCAAGTTTGATGATTCTAGGCAAAATAATTTTCAAGTTAAAAGCAGGACAGGGTTTTGTCATATCTTTGTAATTAAACATCATAGTGACTTAACTTTAAACCCAGTGCACCTTCTATCAGACATGCATCAACAAAGTTAGATGATTTATACGCCTTCATTGTAAATGTATTTAAGTTAAGAGCCGGACATGAAAAAGTTTTAACAGATAGACAGATGGCAGATATGATCACCATACCATAATGTGTCCCATCATACAACATAATATAAGTGAGCATAAGTGAGAGAAATTTTGAGAAACACTACCGAAGCTCACATAACCATAATTGCATAAACCATTTCAAGATTGAAAAACTTTTTGAAATACTGATCAATACAGGTACTGAAAAGTAAAAGGCAAAAAAAAAGAAAAAGAATAAATGTTTCATTTACCACCAAATGACTTCATCAAAGTCTATTTCAAAATGGTAGAGCAACAATGTACTTTGACAAAGTTTCCACAACAATTGGAAACTTAAGTAGCTATGCTTTTATACACATTTCAAACTTATTCCTAACCAATATGTTAAAACAAGAATAAGTTTATATGATCAGGGCATTTCTATTTGTTGGTCAAAACTAGACAAGAGTAAAGAAAACTTCCCTTCTCTATTTTCTCCTTTGGCAGAAAATACTAAAAAGATTCAGTTGTCTTATTCATCTCTACTTAACTGTTATTCAGAGAGTAAATTTAGTTTTCTTTTGCCCCTGGTCTATTTTGACTGTCAAACAAAAAGTTGGCTGCCTTGATCATATTATCTTCCTTTTTCATTAACTCTGACAACTGATCCTTCTCCAGTTGATCATTGCATAGAACCATAAACTTGCTGTTTGCTTTCCGAGCCCGACCCCTCATCTGGACTAGAGCTGTGACAGTGGAAGGCAAGTTCATGGTTATCACTAGTTCACACTCTGGGATATCTATACCCTCCTCTGCTACAGATGTGGCTATAACAATCTGGTACTTATGTTTTTTAATGTCATGGAGGATTTTTCTTTGTTGTTGCACAGCCATCCCCTCCCCGTCCCCTGAACCCCCACCATGACCTACCAGGTGGGTAACTTTAAGGCCCTTTTCAATTATTTCCTTCTGTGCCTGCAAGATTCCACTGATTTTCTTTGCTGTGCTTCTCTCTTTGACAAGGACTAGAGTCATAGGGTGGTCTTGGGACCAGTCAATGTACTTTGGGTTCACACATAACAAGGTCTGAATCAGTGCAACAATTCTGGAGGAATGTTGACTAGCATCAATCAGTGGTCCATGGGAACTAGGCTGCTCCAACTCCTGAATGGTTTCAATCTCAGATATAAGATTGTCAGGGTTCAGACCTATATCTCTAGTAAAGTTAAAATTGAGATTTGGATCAAGAGCCATGAGTTCATCTAACTCCTCTACTGCTGTTTTAACACCAGCTTCAAACAAAGTATTGAGAGCGATACAAATATTCCTGGTATGGGTGATCAAGTTCCGGACCAGAATCCTACTTGCAGCAGAGGTGTCATTGGGTACTGCATTATTGAGAGTGACTTCCAAGCAATTCAGAATATCTCCATGTAAATTTTTGGCAACCATGCTTTTCTTCTCTGACGAAATATTGCCTTTTGTGGGTATCACCTCTAAATCACACTGCTCTAGTATGTTTGTTTCTGCTGATAACCTTAAGTAACACTGTAGAAGGTAGAGTTGTAATTCCTTCTGGAATTTCTGCTCTTTAATGCTCATTGGTTTGTAGTCCACTATCAGTTCTGCACTTGATTGGTATCTGAAAAAAAAAAAAAAAACATACTGCACATATCTTCATTCATTCATTCATTCATCTTTTATTTCCTCTATAAAGAGATACAGACTTGAGCTAATTAACACATTAATTTATGTACAATTCAAATAATATTTTCAAGTAAGTTATAAGCAGAAAGTAAAAGATTGTGTACAATGATGTTACATTTGTTCTACATGAGTTACATGTGCAAGAGCGCTGTACTGTGCACATGCACATACTAACAGTTTGGAGTTCAGAATCCTTAAGTCCCTTTCCTGAGATAAAGGTAAAAGAGTTTGAGGTTTGTGCCCCGGGACAAGCAGAAAAAGATCTGTCTCATAGAGACCACAGAGTTCTGCTACTAGGCCAATATCAAAGGAATTAACATTTTTGTTCCACCATTCATTGTGTCAAAGAAATAGTAATTATACAAGCTAGAGCATCTAAAGTAATTAATATAGTTGAAATGGATACCTTTGAATAAAGTCCCTTATGGTTTCAAAATACATGCAGGGGTAAAACATCAATGCATGAAATGCTATTTCTATCTCACATTATACTTATTTTGAATGAGATCTCTTAAATCATATACAAGTACTTGTAACAAGATCATTGAGAGACTAACAAATTAAACAAGAGGTCCATGGGCCACAAGGGTTATCTGAGAACCCTTGATCTGGTTTTTCTTTAGAAAAAACATTTTAAACTTTTTTCCCCAAATCCTTCAATACCAATATGACTAATTTGGCCTTGCTGTTATTGAGAAGATTTTTTTCCAGTATGCATTTATTATAAACAATTTGATCCCAGGTGTTTTAGCCCAAATATTCTTTAACCAACCTGTATATTTTATCCACCTCCTAACCCTTTATAGTCGTCTCTACAGACCAATAAACTTACTTGTTTTGAATTTATTGTCGGATGGCATATGTAACAAGTCAAGCATAATAAACAGTAGCCACCAATTCTTGACAAAATGTGAAAGTTAATCATGACAAATGTCAGAAAAAAACTGAAAAAAAATCTTATTTCTTTCTCTTCTTCCTTTATTTTATTGAATGATATATAATGTCTCTTTCCTTCACTTCATTCTATAATATATAATTGAATAATGTGCAAAAAAACCCCCACCTTTCCAGCTCAGCTTTATACTCCTTGGTGACGGCTATTTTGGCCCCACCCATACTTTCCATCAGTTCATTCAGTAAGCTGACAGTCATTGGAAATGTCTTCTTGCCAGCAGGGGAAGCTGTTAGTCCCAGGATTTTGGGCCTTTCAGCCACAGGCATGGTTAAATGGTTATTCTCCAGCTGCTTCTTAAAGGGATGACTCTTAACACAGTGGTGGGCCTCATCCAACACAACGATACATAGGTCCTCCCACCTCAGAACATTCTTCATAATCAGCTGTTCACAGTAAGCTGATGTAAAATAGAAGGAAAACAATAGTAAAATCTTACAGGACATTCCTCATAATCAGTTGTTCACAAAAGGCTGATACAAGAAAGAAAACATTCATAAAATCTTATCACAAACGTATTCACAAACACTATCAACATACATGTATGTTACTTCATTTTTCAATTTTTCATGATTTCTAGCATTTGTAAAACATAAGTAACTAAAGACAACAAAAATCACCTCGATAAATGTTATCAGTAAGTAAGGCAAAGCTCTCACCAATCTTTTTTCAAGTTAGTGTGCATCCTGATATCAATATCCATGCAAGTAGCGAAGTTTGGTTTAAGTAGGACTTATAGTTACTTGGGAATGGGCCTGTTCTAAATACTTTAATTTATTCACTCATCCAGAAAATGAAGGTCACTTCCTGGATCTGAATTAAGTCTGGTAATGTCCATCCCTAGTTGAATCATCCACGGAAGATTAGTCAAAACAGGCCATATAGTTATACAGTTAATCCAAAAATATTACCCTGGTCACATATCTGGAAAATGTGAGTCAGATCCAGCATTTGTATCAAGTTTGGTAGTTATTACAATCCATCCCTAAATGCATCATCCATGCAAGTTTGGTCCAGTAGGGCTTATCATAACATTGGAATGGACAAACTCCAAAACCTTTAACTGGGATGTTGATGTTAACACCAGGGGTATTGCAAAAGCTCAAACAAGAGGTTCAAGGGCCACAATGCTCTCTTGAGTCATTCATTAATAGAAGAGAGCCCATTGGCCACAATGCTCACCTTGAACAACCTTGAATCTACACTATTTGAGAGTGCTTCCATATCAATATGACTAATCAGAGCCCTGCTGTTCTTCAGCAGACTGGGGCATGATGGAAACAAGTTATTGTTAAAATAATCTAGTGTTATTAAATGTTATTACATGTATTTTGGGTTATCTGTCCTTGATTTTGGTTTTCTTTAGTAATAATTCAAGTTATTTCTACTTTATTGTTCATTATTCTTAACTTACTTGTATCTGAACAGCTTTATTCATGAATCTATCTTTTAAGATTTTGCTAGCACTAGTTGAAATTAAACAAATTATAACTTCAAGCTGAACAAAGCTTGTTAATAGGCATATGTCATATTAGTTTTCCTATCTCCTATATCAGCACTGGGATATATAAACCCTTTTTATTCATTATACCTGACTGCTTTTACTTGGTCCCTGCTGTGTGTAGTACATACATATAACAAAATGTTTTTTTTGTTCGCGTTTTATTTCACTGAAAGAGCATTTGTTTTTATTTCACTTTGTAATGCATTGACCAATGAAATGAACATTGAATATCTTTGGTAACTATTTTTCCGGACGGGGGACATGCCGAAGAGACATACAGAAATCAGTTTTGTCATGCCAAAGTCTATCACAAGAACAGTGAAAGAGACCTGTTCAGGTAAACTCTGTGAAGTGAAATACACTGAAGTGTGAACAAAGCTGATCGAGGCTTATATAGGGGCTGGAGGAGTACAGTTTAGGGAGACAAAGATAACTCTACCTTTTATGGATTGTGTTTAGCTTTAATAATCAGTCTTAACACCTCATTTCACAGCTTTGGCACAAAAATCTACAGCTCTGTTCAAACTAGAAGTCTCTGATGAGATTCTACTGGAACTTATAACAAAGGAAGAGAAAAGTAGCACTTGGACTTTAAACTATGCCACAGCAATAAGTAGAATAATGTTCCTTGCTCATGTTGGTTTAGTCTTAAAAACACAGAAATATGTATCATAGTATAGTCTACTTGTGTGCCAAGTTATATTGAGATCAGACCACAACTGAAGGAAGAGGCGTTTTTTTAAAGAATTTTACAGAAATTTCTATTTTTAGTAACCAATGCAACAATGATCATTGAAATCTTCAGAGTTGAAAAGTTGTAAGGAGGGAGGAATGTGGCGGTCAGACAGGTTCGATCGCTGGTGGCCAGATAGCTCAGTAGGTAGAGCACCTGACTGGAGTTTCAGGGGGCCTGGGTTTGAATTTACTTACCTGCAGTTACTACAATTAGGTCATGTTGCCAAATGGGGACACCATCTGTGGACTGCTGCCCACCACACAAAGCAGCTATTTTTAACTTCCGTTCTTCAAGTTGGGAGGGATTATCTGGGTCAAACCTGTATACAGTAAATCTCACATGAACAATGCATGCAGCTATATAAAGCCTAGTAAAGACTAAAGAAACCTGACATTTCATGAAAAAATCCGTCTGTATTTTTTCATTGTTTATGTGCCTTGTATGAAAGATTAATCAATTACAGTTGAACATCTTGAAAATCGAAATCTCTATTACCATGGATATGTCAGAGACGGATGTCCCAACCACTTTTTCTCTATAATTTTTAACCTCAATTTCTTGAATCATTAAATCTTTCAGATTTTTCTCAGTCCAATTGAGTTCAATATCTGTTTACATATACTGACCTTTAGAACATCTACTGCCTCCAATTTACAGAAGCTTCAGTTTACATAATAGATCAGTTAAGGGTCCTCCACACACCCCCAACTTATATCCTCATATTTCTGAGCATTACTTTTAACAAGCATATCAACCTTTAAAAACTGGCATAGAATTGAAATATAATTTATACTGATTTTTAAAAAAATTAATTTCATAAGTTTTAAGATTTTTTCCCCACGAAGTTTTGATAAGTAGCACAACAAATTTTGTGTTTTCCTGGAAATATTATTAAGCCAAGAAAACAACCACAAAAACTTGATTTTATCAGTGAACATATTTTTTAAAAAATTAATAAAAGTTATAAAAAATAAATATAACTCATTTACTCTAAAATACGTTGAGAAAAAATTATGGAAGACTCCTGATAGTATAGAAGAAACATTAATGAAATAAATTACAAGAAAAAATTGAATTAAAATCAAATTTATTGATTTAGAAAAATTATTTTCAAAATCTGTGGTATCAAAGTTCCGTTTTAGAGTTATCTTTCCTGTTACCCAGGACTCAAAAACTTTGGCAAGTCTCCGCATTCGTCATCATACATTGTACTCAGTAACTCGTTATTCACAACTGAACAGGACAGATATAAAATGCACACTTTATCAGTATTTATAAACACACAATAAGATAGGTATTATTGAAACGCACAAATCAGTGTGCAATAATATCAACTTTTCAAAACAGTCTGTTACAGACCTTGTTGACGATATCGCAATGGATTTATCAGTTTATTAGCCTGAAAGCATAAGTAAACTTAAACGTTTTCGAGTAGATATACCTGTTATTTACGAATCATTATGCTACAAAAACTCAAACGTCTGCTGTTTTTATTGAAAAAATCGACATTTTTTCTTCTTTCGGTTACGCCGTGATCATTCCATGTGTTCATTGTTTATGATCAGGGTGTCGCTCTCGGTTGACTACATACTCTTCCTTGACAAAACCTTTATATCTAAAGCGTTTATAAGACTCTCTTACAGGCGGTGCCAGTCAAATCGTCAGTGCACAAACTATATCAAACCGGAAGTAAAAGTATTTTTTCTCCATATACGTCACAAGTCACGGGGTGTGGAGGACCCTTAAGGAATTAAAGACTTACTGACTTGTTATATAGTTGGTCACCAATCTGCTTGATAGATTTACTGACCTGTTATATAGTCTGTCACCGTTCTGCTTGGTAGATTTTATGACCTGTTATAGTAATGGTCACTGTTCTGCTTGATAGATTTACTGACCTGTTATATAGTCAGTCACCAATCTGCTTGATAGATTTACTGACCTGTTATATAGTCAGTCACCGTTCTGCTTGATAGATTTACTGACCTGTTATATAGTCGGTCACCAATCTGCTTGATAGATTTACTGACCTGTCATATAGTCAGTTGTTGATCTGCTTGATAGATCTACTAACCTGTTATATAGACGGTCACCGATCTGCTTGATAAGGTAACGGGACTGCTGGATGACAAGCAGAACTTTGTCCACCAGAAACAAGGCTTGTCTTGTAGGATTCAGCTCCAACATTGCACTGATGGCCATACAGGCAATTAAAGTCTTCCCAGTCCCTATCAAGCACACATATAAAAAGCATAATCTATCGATGACTCTGCAAGAACTACAGTATTCATGCCAGTTATTTTTTATTTCTCTCTCAGGCTTTCACTTTCTTTACTTAATAATTTCATGCTAGTTATATCTAAAGCTATCAGATCAATTTTGCAAATAAAAAAAAAAAATTCTTTTTAAAGTTACAATTTGATAACAAAGTTTACCTGTAGGAAGAAAGACAACTCTGTCACCCTCCATTGCTCTCCCATATAGTTCCCTCTGGTATGACCTGGGAGTCCATGCCGTAAGGTTACAGTCAGTTTTCCCTTGGTTGAAAACTTCCTTCACAATGGGTCTATGGTCTCTTGGCACTGCAGGCAAGACTGCAACTTTTTGCATGTGCCCTCTGCCCTCCATGTGGTCCTTCAATGCTTTCTTTGAATTCATTGGACGTTGGCAGATATCACAGTAATACTTGTGAGTAGCTCTGTATGGGTTTACAATTTTGTTGTTGCCCTGACTTATTGGTGTGTTATTAGCTGGTACATTTGATGAATCATTCCCTTCCACTTCTTGCAACTTTTTATTGACATCCAAGCTAGTGCAGCGAAAAAATTTATCCTCCTCCTCCTGAATGTCTGACTCATCGGAGGAATCCGATGAACCATACAAGGGCACATTGGTCCCATCATTTCTTGTTCCCCCTCTTGACTTGGAGGTTGGTAAACGGTTCACCAATGCTGAGCCACTGGATTTTGAATTTTGAGTTTTTTGAGTGGTGTTACTTTGTATTCCACATTCTGCACTCATTCCAGAATTGACTCTTTCAACACTGTTCCCTGGAGAGCCTTCTGTGCTGGATGAATCTCTAGATCTGCTTAACTGATACCCTGTTTCATTTTTATTGACGTTTGAAACACCAGTACTTATGCCATTGTAATGAGATGAAATCTGATTTGAGTTTCCAAGGGATGATACATTGGCTAATAACTTGGATTCATTTTGAACAGCTTTGCAATCTGGTGATGGTCTGCTTTCAGGATATGGATATCCACCGGGAGGTCTTGATCCATCAGCATTGACAATCCGTTTCTGCCTCTGAAGATTTTCCAGGTCTTTATTGTTTTTCATAGCTGTGTCTCTGTTAGTTTTCATTCCTGTATTTATATTGCTTTTTTCAAGAGCTGGCATTTCCAAACTTGACTGAGAAGAAGAGGATGTGTTAATCTTTTCATTGATTGATTCTTTTTCCAACTCCTTTTCCACATATTTTTCTTTGAAGTTTTTCTCTTCATGAATTCCCTCAAGGTCTGCTGGAATCTCTGTATTTTCGAATTTTACTTCTTTAGGGAGTGTATCATCAATATTTTCTTCCTTCCAATTAGATGACTGCCCATTATCATTTAATATGGAATTAGGATTGAGAGAGGGTAATGTACCCAGTGTTAAGTCCTCTACCCCTAGTCCTTGTGCAAACCAGCCTGGCTGATTAGACAAAAATGACTGTGGTCCAGATGAACAAACTGAAGGTATCTCACCATTACCTTGATTCTGACTAGCAAAATGTACTCTCGGATTCACTGGTGAGAAACCAGTGTCTTGAACTTGAACCCTGGGGTTAATGGCATGCATTTTGAAATCTGGTGTTTTCATGACTTCTACATTAGTTCCCATTCTGGCTACTTTCTCCTCCTCTGCCTTATGCTTGGGACTATTTTTATGGATGTTAAGTTGCTCAGGGGAATTTAATGGAACTTTGCACACGTCACAAAACTCCCAATGTGTTCTGTCACTGGAAGGAGCTACAATTCCTGGTATAGTCTGATTCACAATAGGAAAATTGGGCTTCTGTAACTGACTAAGAGCCTCTCTCTGGCGATGTTTTGCACTACTGTAATGTTGAGTAGCACATTCTGGTCCAGAGAATGTTTTCAGACAAACCTCACAAGACAGGGGTAATGAGGTTGAAATACCAATGTTTCCTTTCATTTTAGCCTTTTCATGACATTTTCCAGACAAATGCTGCTCTGCATGGGCTTTGGAAGTTAGATCAATTTTACAAATGTGGCAATACCCTCTCCCTCCTGAAAAGTCATATTCACGATTCTGGCCACCAGTACCATTAGAATTTGGAGAATGCTGACCAAAATCTGCATTTACCTGGTTTATGCCCAAGTTTTGAGCAGCTTTTGCTTTGGCGTGAGGTTTCCCACTCAAATGTTGTTGTGCATGTTGTACTGAAGTTAGCTCAATTTTGCACACATGACAGTAGCCTTGATTTCCATCAAATGAATACTCTTTAGCTGGACCTCTGCTAGATAGCTGATCAGATTTGTTTTGTTGAGCAGGGCTGTTTTGATTGGCATTTGTTAAAGGAGTTCTCTCACTCTGATTATTGTTATCCCAAATTTGTTTTGCCTTCAGATGTTTCTGCCCACTAAGATGCTGATTTGCATGTTGACGTGATGTAAGGTCAATCTTGCATACATTACAGAAACCTCTGCAACCCTTCTCATCAAATACATATTCAGTCTGTCTTTGATATTTTATGGGGTCTGGTTGATCCCTGGGTTTTGGCTGAATGTTAACCAAATTTTCACTAGGGTACAGTGATGGTTCTAGTGAAGGTGAATCAAATTCAATATCAGATGTTGCAGAATTGGACCTGCTATAAATCTGTGTCGTAGTTCTCTGCAGGAGTGCTTCTTTCTTTTTATGATTTTCACTTGCAAAATGTTGTTCAGCACTCAACTCATTGTTGAATTTCTTTCCACAAGCATTACATGAAGAAACATAAGTCTGTGACTGCTGAGAGAACAGTTTTTGTTGAGTTTCCTTAGATATGTGAGCTTGGCTCCTAAAATGCTGCTGAGCTGGAATGACACCGGCAAAAGGCCCCTTCTTGCAAATATCACAGAATGTTGGATATTCAGCACATGCCATGATTTCAAAAGTTTTCTTAACGAAAACTGTACAACGAATTAAGCAGTTACATTAATGTGTCAATGTTCTCGAATTGACTTTTCCCACGAAAAATTAGGAATCCTAACCAACTTTCTCTTTCGATTCGACGAAACCTATCTTTTCCCTTTGAAGTTATTTTTAGAAACACGTTTCATAATTTTTTTTTGGCCTATATAGTCAACAAAGATCGCTTGAAAAGCATAAATAGTTAAGTTAACGGTTTTTTTTCTATTTATAAAAAGAAATGTTGAAAAGCGACTTACCATAAATCTGAATCTCTTTTATGTATGAGTTATCTATGATCTATTCTGCAAGCATTTGATTGATTAAGCGTTTTGATGATCCCATCACTTTCCGATGCTTTCGAGATGATGATTACAGAAAAATAAATACATATTTTGAGGATAAAATGCAGGAGGCACACGTTTCTGTGTTGCGAATCGGTAGTGAGCAGGAGGCATGCAATGTTTTAAATGATTTTACAACAAGGGTAATCATCCTTAATTTAAAATTGATTATTTATAGATCTTAGGCAGTGTGCATAAATTAAATTTTCAGGTCCATGTTGAGAAAGATGCTGAAAAATTAATTTTACTTTTAGTTGTCAAAGAAAGAGTATCACATTGTATTGTACAAGAATTACATCTGCAACTAACCAATTGAGATTATCCACATTTTTTTGACAAAATTTTCTGATATAGGAGATTCTTTCACTATAGATGCTAAACTCTTTAGAGAAGTGGACTGGCTTTCGCCTACATCCACTTCTCTTTGCAAGCCTTCATGTTTTGATTCTGGAAAATGTGTAAATTTTGAACCAGTGATGGCATACACTTTACAATATGTAAAGATATGTTCAGCAGAGTAGACATTTTCTTTGGTTTTATTAATTTTGTAAAAATAGTTTCTAGTTTTATCCGAATGAGAGATTTTATAATCCTTCAAGAGTTACTTGCTCATAATTTAAATTGGGGATGGAGAACTTGTAAAAATGAATTAACAATACATAAAGGTCGATTTTCTTGTGACAGTTGTGTTTATTTATGTTGAAATTGTTAATATAACACATCTGTTACGTACAGCACATTCGGACATATTTTAGAAGAAATGTCAGTTGAAGTGTAGGCTGTTCATTGGTTCGAAATTTACACATTTTCCAGAATCAAATCATGAAGGTTTGTGAATGGAAGCAGGGGTAGACAAATAGAATTTTTCAGTACTTGCCCTCGGACAGGTTACCATCGTAAAATTACTTGTCCTACCAAAAAATATGCTTGTCCCACTTTTTCTTAATCAACATAAAATTAAAGCATTATCATTAAACATTAAATTATTTCTCAACTGATACACTACATGGGGACCAAACTAGACATAAAATCACTTAATTTTTTGCACGGAAAAATTTAGGGGTAAGTCTTGTTCCAAGGAGATTTCTTAGCTTGTGCAGTGCGCATAATTTAAACTTTTCTCTGTATTACTTTAACATCCCAAAAATACTGAAAGAGAAAAAAAAATTTATTTGAATATTATAAAGTATTTGATTATGAAAACCACCACTGCATGTCGATTGTGACTTTCAGTGATCGCCAGTCAACAGCTCCAATTTTAATATCAGTATAACATGTTTGTACTCATGGCATGAATTTTTACATTATTTTTTACAATACCTAAGAAGGTCTAAAATCCTCTTCAACTTTTTTGACATGGAATCGATAGCTGCTATCTTTTACGTCCTGTGTGTATTTTAACTACACATAAATGGGTAAATTCTAGAGGAGTTCTGACTGAGTATTCGATGTAGTGATGAACAGCAGCGAAAAACAGGTGCTCTACTGTGATTCATTACATTTCAACAGCGATAAAACAAACAACATTTGATTTTTTGTTAACTGGAGAAGCACTTGTCCGCGGGCAGGTACCACTTGTCAAATAACTTGCCCGCCAAACAAAATTGGTTGTCCCGGGCGTCGGGCAATGCTATTTGTCTAGCCCTGGGAAGAGAAGTGGATGTAGGCGAAATCCTGTCCACTTCTCTAAAGAGATTATACTATCATTGTATTTGTTTAATTCACTTATTTATGATGAGTGTAAAGTGTATTAGAGAGTGTACTGTTTTCTATGTTTCAGAATGCTCAAGTCTTTAGTTTCCCTGATCTTACCCCAGACTTGAAGACGGTAATACTCATTTAATATCATCTATAGCATACGTGCTAGTGTTACTAGTGAACATAAAGTTTTTCAAGCTTACACCACTTTGTTCCTGAGGACATATGTTAAATAAATGTTATCAATATTTTTGTGCCCCACCATGAATATGGCCAGGGCATATAGAGTTTGTCATGTCCATCTTCTGTCCTTCTGTCTTTCCATCCTTCCATTTGTCCTTCCGTTGTGCTTTGCATTTAGCTCAGTTCAAAGCTCAGTTTCAAAGTAACTATTCAAGATATTTTTATCAAACTTCATATTATGCTGATACATATCAATGAGAGCTATTCAACTGCATCAACATATTTTGACGTTGACCTTTCCTATGACCCTGACCTCACTTTTCATAAATGAGTGATTAGCTGAGTTGTAAAGAAACTATTTTAGATAGTGTTATCAAACTTCATATGCTGATACATACTGAAGTAAAATATTCAACTGCATCAACATTTTTTGACCTTGATCTTCCCTTTAACCTTGACCTCCCTTTTCTTAAACCACTGTTTAGTTCAGTTTTTAAGAAACCATTCAAGATAGTATAATCAAACTTCATATGCTGTTACATATTGATGTTATCTTTTCAGCTGCATCAACATACTTTGACCATGACTTTTCCTTTGAACTTGACCTCACTTTTCTTAAACTAGTGTTTAGCTCAGTTTTACAGAAACCATTCAAGATAGTATAATTAAACTTCATATGCTGATACATACTGAAGTAAGCTTTTCAACTGCATCAACATTTTGACCTTGACCTTCCTTTTGACCTTGACCTCACTTTTCTTAAACTTGCCTTTAGCTCGATTTTTAAGAAACCATTCATGACAAGATATTTTCATCAAACTTAATATGCTGATACAGTGTATGTATTAGTGAGAGCCTTTCAACTGCATCAAAAACTTTTGACCTTGAACTTTCCTGTGACTTTGACCTCACTTTTCTTAAATTTACATTTTGCTTAGTTTTAAAGAAACTATTGAAGATATTTTTATGTAAGTTTATGCACTTATACATAATTTGGTGAGAATTTATCATCTATATCCAATTTTTTGGATTTTAATTTTAAATTTAAGGAAACTATTTAAGACATTCTCATCAAACTTCATACACTAATACAAATTTTCATGTTGCATTACTAACATACCCTTGGCGGGGCATTCATAACCTATGAACATATTTCTAGTTTAATATAGAAAACTACCACAAAAAGTGGGTTTAGCAAGATCAAATTTTGATCAATTATGAACAATGATGAAAAACTGTCATGAATGTATTTGTGACATCCAAATCAAGTTCAACACATTTTGTTGAAAGGATCCCCATATACATAAACTTTCTTATATTAATTTTGTTAATTGAATAAATGGATTTCTACAATCATTTTCAAAAATGGTAAAAATCAATGCTTACTGTACATACATCTATATTTTTATGTCACATAAAATAGATTGACTGATCTAAGATGAATTAATCTATTACCTGATGGCATCATAAAAAGATAGTTAATTGCAATGAAAGCCCTCTCAATAAACTTCAGAAAAATAAAATTTAGGCTTCACAATTAAATTACTTTTTGATAGAAAATTCAGCACTTGTACAAATTATGTGCTGAATGTGGAAATCATATTTGATTGATTGAAGAATTGATTATTTCAGTTAAATTTCATTCTTAATTCAATGTTCTTCTCGATGAAAAAATTATATAATTGAACATTTGTTTGAGTTCTGAGATCACATACAGCATTTGTACACTCAAACCTCATTATCTCAAGCTTAATGTGACCAGGAAAAAACTTTGAGATAGCTGAAGATTCAAGATATTGAGGGTAAAATACTCAAAGAAAAAGTGCTTTGGACTTCCAAATCACTTTTACATATCTATGGTATTCAAGATATCAGTGTTTGAGATACTGATTAAGTCATGGCTAAAAAGAAAAGAAATACAGCAACTGTGCTTTTATCGTTTCTCTTTGAACAGTTTTCATTTTTTTCTTGGTTGAGTCAAATCATGAAATTAGGTGATCAATGAAATATAAATTTTAATAATCATGATAGAATAGGACACAGTAGATGTCCATGAATTTACTTACCAATGAACTCATATTTTTTGCCAAAACCATGAAATTTGATTTCCACAAAAATTAATGAAATTATAGTATCTTACAAGTGTTCTCATATTAATCTACTGCAAGATTTCTATTGGGCCTGTTTGGGCTATTCCGGTATTTTCATTATGTACAAATATCCAGTCTAGAGATTATAGCCAGTGTAGGATGATATTGTTTCAAGATATTTGGGTGATTGTTCCCAATTTTTTCATTTCATGTATTCTTATTATGAAAACTGATTTTACATATAAAATCTTGTCCATTGAAAATAATTTTGTTTCTTTTTAAATTGAAGAAAATTGTTGATGCCTTGATACACAGACTTAATGCCCCAGGCTCCTCAAAATGCCACGTACTGTGTCTGAAAACTCTCCGCATGTTCAGTCGAGAGAAGGACAAACTAGTCAACATGGTGTCAGAGCCTACTATTGCCACCATCATGAAAATGACTGGATTGAATCATTATGCGTCGGAGGAGGGAGAACTTGTTGAAATACGGAATGGGGATCCAGAGGGTAAATAACTGGCATGCGTCATGTGCATTGAGTAAAATATTGATATCAGTAGATAATAGAAGGTTTGGGAATGCCTAGAGTAGAAATCTGGAGCATAAAAAAGTTAATTTCCGAATAATGGATTACAACATTTGGATACTGATGGACCTGTTTACTATTTTTAAACAGTTAAAGGGTATGTATATATGCTGATCTGAGAATTTCTCATTTTATTTAGTGATGTTGGAGGCTTTAAAGTGTCTATGCAATCTGGTCTTCAATAGTCAGCTGGCACAGAGAATCTGTAGGTTTGTACACTATACCAATATTACATGTGAGGTTTGTACACTATATACCAAATAATAGTAAGCAAAATAAATTTAGCTGTGCTTCTTTTTGAACTGAGAAGTGACTGAGACAAAAAGATAAATGTATGTTGTAAATGAGATTTTAATATATGTATTACCTTGCAAATGGGCATAATTGTCCTAATTTGAACAGTTAAGAAACAAGAACTAAAACACCAATACAGTTCACTCACTTTTTCCCAGTTTGAAGTACTCATGGTGTTTCCACTCTCTCAAGTTTACAGTTCACATCACACATAGGTAAACTAGAAATACCATCACAAAAGTTGACCTTTGACTTAAGTTAGTAAATTTAAAATGAAAGGATGACCCTTGTAATTATCATCATCAAACTTTACACATCTGTAACTTAACAACTAAGATGAGGTGACTAAAGTTGACATGGACCTTGACCTTTGAAATTGACCAGAAACATGTTTACCTCTGTTAGGGATGACCTCAGATGACTCTCACATCTAGTTTTACACACAAATAAAGCAGGATAACTGTAGAAACACTGAAGTTTGCCTTGTTATTTGAAGTCAACATTGACAAACACACATCATATCTGTTGTGTATCACCTCTTTTAACTTCAATTTTGGGCAATTTCCTTTTACTGTCATCTTCATATTTAATCTATGTATAATTTAGAATATTTATTAATTTAGAAGTTATAGTGAAATCAATATACACGTTTGTTTTAGATAATACAATGGTGTATATTGATTACTCCTTAATGAAATATATGGAGATAATGAACAGTATTCAAGCTCAAAAGTCCATTAAACAGTAGAAATTTTGGAGCAGAGCAAACACGGACCTCTAAAACATCAGAGGTGGGATCAGGTGCCATGGAGGAGTGAGCATCCCCTGCCGACCGGTCACACCCGCTGTGTGCTCCTTGTCATGATCAGGAAATAACGGAATAAAATCTGTCAACAATTCAGTGTGTAAATAATGGCCTTTAGTCTGACAATTTAGTCTGGACTGACAATTAGTATGAAAAACGTCAGTTAGCATTTGACTTAATGATAAATTGTATTTGCTGACAAGGTCATTGTATCTACCATAGAACTTACGAAATGACAACTTTAAGAGAGACTGCTGATATTCTTGTTCATCAACTTGTTTGTCAATAATTTACATGTACCTCGTTTTAGAAATTGACATACGTAGAACATGTTCTTGCGTATCGAATTAACTGAGAGATATAAACCCCGTATGCAGGTGATAAGGATATATTGTTACATAAGTAAGGGAAGTTGATGATTGAAAAGTTGAAGTCATCACATTTATCAGAAAGCTTTGTTCTTAGGTTACCATTAATGTCTTTTTCTAGTAAAATATTTAAATATGAAACAAATGTGTCAGAATCTGTGATATCTTTTATTTCAAGCTCACCGGGATATATCGTATCAACATAAGAATGGAAATAACTTCATAAATATTCATGAAGATTTTTTTTTTAGTAAAAATGGTTGTGTTGAGGGGATAATTCAAAGACTGAAAACATACAAAGACCCAGCACTGCCACATGAAATTAAGGTTTGTACTATGTTTGCTCAAAAATGTCTTCAAATCAGGTGAATAAAAAATAAATGTGTGTAATCTTGCAGTAGTATTGATATTTTTTGCATGTTTTGACTGATACAATATCAAATGATTTTCCACCCTCTATTTTGAACAGTTCTTTGATATGAGACTACTTTCACTACTGACAGCTTTATGTGAAGAGACAAGGTAAATATATGAGTACATTTATAAATGATATCTTTATGAAGTAGGACTTCAAATACTGATTCAATTTTTTCAAGATAGATTTTTTACATTCATTCAACAGAATTTTTTTTACCTATGTTGAATAAATATTCTTTATGTATTTAATATTGACCTAACATGAAGATATGATAATGAAATAAGATGGCATTAAATGAACTTCAGTAAACAAAAATAAGATTACAAACTTGAAAAAACTATTGTTTCACATTTTAACAACTGATTTTTTTCCAGACCAAAAGTGCGCTATGAGCTTCATGGTTTTACATATCTGATGGAGGTGGTGGATTTATCCGTAAATGAAGCGGATGAGCGTGGATTGAAGGATCAGGAAGTGGATCTATGTTGTGAAATCCTGAAAATCCTCTTTAATTTGACTCTAGTTAGAAGTAACATGGATGAAGTGAGTCTGAGTTTACTAAATAGTTCTAATGATTTCTGTTGTAAAAATGTAAACAAACTAGAAACCCCTGCAATGCATATTGAATTTAAATGTTAAAAAAAGGAGATTTTTTTTAAATTAGTACATTTACACTAGATTAATAATTGTAGCAATTTTCACTATGATTCAAGATAAGCTTATGGTATACCCTGGGAATTGGTGCCAGGGTTGACATCCCAGTAAAGTTTAAGGAGCAAGTCCATTCCCAAGTAACTATAAGATTGAGTATAAGTTATACCTGGACCAAACTTGCATTGATGATGCATCCAGGTATGCACACTACTAGACTTGCTTCAGTTGCTGGAAGTGACCCACCTTTTCTGGATGAGTGATCAACTGGTTAAAGTTTTTGGAGGAAGCTCTTTCTCAAGTATCTCTAAGCCTGAACTGGATGAATATTGCAAGAATGATGCACCTAGGGAAGCAAACTTCCAGACTTGTATCAGTTGCTGGATCTGACCTATATTTGCCATATGACCAGGTTTAAGGATTTGGAGCAGGTATTTTCAATTATAAACTGTACCTGGATCAAACATGCATGGCTGATGCATCTGAGAGATGCACACTACCAGGTTTGCTTCAGATGCTGCATCTGACCTAAATTTTCCAGACTGAATACATTAGGTTAAAGTTTCTGGAGCAGGACCATTTCCAAGTTAATATGTCTTACCCATTACAAAACTTGCATGTATTTTGCATCTAGGGATGCACACTACCAAAACATTCATTTAGTGTGAGACTACTTACTTATGTATAACATTTGTTGAGGTGAGCCTAGTAATCTTTGATTACCTGTTATACATCATATTAGGAACTGTTGATAGATTTGTGTCTAATATGTAAGAGAGGTATTGCCTCTGTCCGAGTTTTATGCTTTCATCTGGAGAGTTGTGTCTTTTAGGAGGAGGAGGCCCATTTTATGAGGTTGGTGTGTGTCCTGAAGGAACTGTTGCTTTGTAAAACAAAATCCAAAGACAGAATGGAGGAACTCCAGAGGTAATTGTTAGGGATTACTGTATACAGGGTTATTTTCGTCCTTTCACACTTGCAAAAATATTGCCCCCTTTTAAATTCGCCTTGTTTTTGGAATTCACCCTGTTTTAAATTCGGCCACCTGTGAGTAGGGTGAAAGGGGTGAAAATAAAACGGGGGGGGGGGGGGGGGGGGGGGGGGGCAAAAAATTTCCCTGTATACAGTATATTTGTTAGAACATTAAAATTCTCTAATTTTGTCATCCCTTAGCAATGTGGATTGAAGTACAATGTACTGTATATATAACATTATATGTAACCTAGAATGGTAAGTGAGCACCTGTCTTTGCTCAAATGCTTGTTGGGCAATTTTTATTCAGTAACATGCATTTTTATGTGATAATTTACATTTGTTATTTTTCATAATGAAGTCCTCTGCATTATATTTTATAATACTGAAAATAATTACACCAGTATGACGGTAAATTTGCTGACCAACGTCCCGCTGGACTGCTATGAGGAATTGTTGACCCCATTAAATGAGGACGATGATGATATCAGCTTAGAAAACAAAGAGGTTGAGTATGATGGGAAGAATATGGAGGCCATACTTGTACTTCTGGATTTTCTGTATCGCAGGCTAGATAAGGTGGGTTTAATCATTGTCATGTGTTCACTTATGACTGGTATCAAAACTTGTATCAGTAAAACTATGAAATGCTGTAAAATCAGAAATTTAAATAAGATTTTTCAGATCCATGTTGTTGTAATCTCTGTGAGATTAGAAAAAAGTATCCAATTTTAATAAGATTGTGAATATTCATTGATTTAATAGGCATGATATACAATCATGTATTTTGTGTTGTCAGAATTGAACTTCCCATATCGAAAATGAATACAAAAATAATACAAGAAAAAAATACTAAAATAATACAAAAAAAGTATATTTTTAATGACCAAATTTGGAACCCTCTAAATCTTGGTTCCAATTTAGGTCAAAAATAATAGACTTTTTAAAAGCCAAACACAGAAAAATATATTTTTAATATACTTTATTTTTTCAAAATAATACAGAAATGATACACATGACCTGTAAAAATGTATTGTTTTTGTACTTTTGTATTATTTCTCTATTTTCCTCTCCAAAGTATAAAAATAATACAGTCCATAGAAAAGTATAGAAAAAATACAGAATGTATTAATTTTGTATTAGCATATATTATTTTTGTATTTTTTCACCTTTAAGAATTAAAATACAAAAAAAATATAGAATATATTAATTTTGTATCACATATATTATTTTTGTATTTTTTCATGTGGAACAATTAAAAGTACAAAAAAGATATAAAATATGAAAATAATACAGTACACAAAAAAGTATGAAAAAAGTATAGAATGTATTAATTTTGTATTAATATGTATTGTTTTTGTATTTTTATCAGCATGAAGGATTGTACTTCAAAAATATCAAAAAAGTACAAGAATGATAGACAAAAAATACATTTAAATGCTTAAAATAATACAAAACAGAGTTTTAAAAACTACAAAAATGATCATGGGCAAAAATTGTTATTTGAAGAAAAGGGGCTGGAGATTGAGGTTCTTAATAGCATCTATTGATTGTTATTCAAAAAACTTTTATTTATTTGAAATATTTGTTAAATAACAATTTTAGTAACTCAGTCAGATTACCTTAAATGTACAAATAGCTAATTAAAAAGTAATTAATGTGGCCAGGCTACTGATTCAGCTACCAATTGTAGTCTTGATCTTTCTTTTTACATATAATCTGCTCTTCAATAGTCTTGATATTTTTCACAAGTTTAACTAATCCTGTTTTCTTTGTACTTTTACCAAATGTTTCGATCTTCCCTCTGCTTTGCTGTTTCTTTTGTATGGAAAAGGTAGAGGAGTGTTTACTTTGTTGCAGAAGTCCATCTTCAAATCACACAACCTGTCATCTCATCTGACTTCATCACTGTGAAATATAGAACAGAATGATATAATAATAAAATTTAATGAACCATTACCTCAACAAAACACACATTTTCACATCCAAAATAATTCTCTATAGATTTTGTTTAGCTCACACACCTGCAATACTTTCTTGAGAGGGATCTTCTTCCTCCATGTCTAATCAGCTTTTCTTCAATGTTCTGCTGACTAAAATTAACAATAATTATAAATTGAAATTCCAAAAGATCCAGCGGAGTTCACCAAATTCCATACAATTGTACCATTGAAATTACTTTTCTTTAATCTGGGATTTCTTAGGGGACAACCATTTGATTTGACAATCTGGAGAAGAAAAAGGGGGGGGGGGCTGATTTATAAAATATTTTTAAAAAAATATTTGTAATAAACAATCTGTCCTTGAAAATGTTGAAAGAGTAAACAAAATGTGTGCCCCAATGTTATTCAAATAAACTGCCCCCCCCCCCGAACCCCCCCCCCCCCCCCGAAAAAATTTGAGTTTATACAAATTACAGAATTGTTTTTGAAGGGAAAATAAATAATTCGTCTCTGGTAAACTTGAAAAAATTGGAATGAATTAGAACTAGGAAGCCAAAGCCTTGACAATTATCCCCATCTTCCACCCCTCCCTCCCCAATCAGAATTTATCACAAAAACCCTTGTTCCCCACATGGCCAATAACCGTACTATTTTATCTTTCTACAATACTACAAAATGGGTAAAAAAGGCATTCTTTGTTCCTCTATCTTTGTACTAAGTTATTATTTAAAAAACTGAAACTTTAATGTGCTAAAATATACATAATCTTACCGCAACTGTTGTTGTTTACACCAGAAAAGTCCGGATATGATGCCTAAAAAACGTCAGTCTCCTTATGTATTTGCTTTCCTTGGTTCATATATATGATCCTGTGTACCATGATTATGCTGAACTTCTGTTTTTCGATCCATTTTACTAGCGAGCAAATGAGAGTTTATTCAAAATCACCCCCAGCTTTCTCAACACGTCCCGGGAAGAATTTTCAAAATGGCGTGGGTGAAATATTGTTGACCAATCAGAGAACAGTATGGAAGAGTTTTAAAATCTGACCAATCATATTGTGTCATATATACGAAAATTACCGATGTTGAGATCGGAACAGTTAGAGAAAACATATTTACATGGTTTTAAATATCTTGAATCAATTGAACAAACCTAAAATTATGTTAGAAAAAAACGATGTTCAATTTAATCATCAGAATCATTTTTTTATTCCTTACGGAATTTACCGATTACGAAACATCGTTATTTCCGGTCATCATTTCCGCTGCGAGCAGCCATTTTTATATTCAAGTTGACCTGTGAAGTAGACCATAAAGTTCAAATATAATGATCAAAACGAGCGGGAGATCCATAATATATAGCCTTTTTGACGGACAACTTAACTCATACATACGGTACCAGAGATTGAAATAATGTTTAACATCTATCCTTTACACCAATTTCACAACATTTTCTATATTATTTTATGATATTCTTTCATAATAATTTCTTATTTAATTTTTTTTTTTTAAAGCGGATAATTAAATAGTTCTATTCCATGTAATTGTAATACGTACTGAATTAAATATAATGTATACTAAATTGAGTTGTATAGTCAAGAAAACATCGTAGGTACTGTAATTAGTGCACAGTGGAACTCTCCATGTTGTTTGTTTTTGTTTTTTGTTTTGGTTGGGATGTGTTTTCACAGGTAAATCATGTTATTTCTTTGAGTAGTATAACATGTACTCGTCTATTGTTAACCTGCAGGTGGCCACCTGTGCTGTTGGCGATAGTTGTAAACACTGGGTTGTAAACACGCTGTAAAATTTTCAACACAAAAAGAAAGTCTGAAACTCTGAAACTTCAAAATTTACGGTGTGTTTACAAGTATCATGTACAGCACAGGTGTCCCCTTAGACGTATCTATCTCTTTCCAAATGACAATTTCACACCTAGTAAAGACATGTTTTAAAAATGAAATTGTTTAGTTAACAAATTTAAACTACTGAAGTTTTCTGTTCTAAATAGCAATTAAATGTAAATAGTATAAAAGCAACCTTTATAGCAGTGGTCTTAATTAATAAAATCTGAGAAAAAATATTAATTCCAACAGACTTATTGCAAGGACATTCTGTAAATTTTCCTATGTTCAAAGAAATACAAATTTCAGTAAAAGAAAACACTAAGTCCAAAATAAATATAAAAAAAATACATGCTGACTGTATAGTATTTTTTGAAAAATTATTAAGTCCAAATTTAATACAAAAATAATACAGACTAACTGTATGTAATTTTCTGTAAAATTACTAAGTTCAATTTTAATACAAAAATAATACAGATTAACTGTATGTAATTTTCTGTAAAATTACTAAGTTCAATTTTAATACAGAAAAAATACACTTGAAAAAAACTAAGTCCACAAAAATACAAAAATGATATACTGAAAATAATCTAAGTCCCAAAAAATACAAAAATAATACCCTGTAAAAAATCAAAGTCAGATTTTAATACAAAAATAATCTACCTATTTGTTGGTGATACAAAAATAATATATTTTTTCTGTATTAATTTTAAACAATACGAAAATGATTGTATTAAAAATATATTAAAAATATACTTTTATGTATTATTTTTTGATATGGGTTTGGATGATATTTGAAGTAAATGGACAGGAAAAAGATGCATTATATTAAGAATTATTTTGAAGTTTTATATTGAAGATAAAAGAACAGTTTTTTTGAATGAAGTAGATGAAATGTAATGGTCTCTAAAGCTCTAACAGTATCTTTATATAGCCCTCAAAGACTACAAAGGACAGTTTGGCCCCAATATTGTGCAGTCTCTGTCAGATGTGCAAGGCAAATCGCACGATACGAAAGTTCTGTCGTCTAAAGGTTAGGAATAAGAATGATGTATAGAAAATATTGAGGTATTCCTGAAATAAAATATTGCTCAAAAAGGAGAATTTAATGTTTTAAAAACTTGAATAATGAAATGTTCCTATGTAAAAAAAAAATTGCTTCTTTCATTCTTGTATTGACTCAGAGCAAGTAGTCCTGCCTTATTAAGCAAACAGTTTTAAATAGATAGCTTGTAGCCTGATTGTACATGTATGTGTAACGTTACTTATCCTATGATTATGTGGATTTGTTTTTTAGGTACTACCCCCTCTGAAGGAAGATGTAAAAAGGTTGCCTGAGGAAGGAAAGACATTAAGAAACAAGTGAGTTTTACTGATGATATACGTGGTTTATGTATAGAATATCTGAATATTCACTGTGTAATTCTCACAGTAAAATTACATGTAATACCACTGAACAGTTTGTTGTATAGAGAACATATATTTATATGTATTAAAAGTTTTATTCATGTACAGTACATAAACTTCAGTTTCAGATTAAAATAGACTTACTCATTACATATGGACTTCAGAGATAGCATTTTAGCAGCTGCCTTGTTCATATAGTGGGGCATGCTCAGTTGCACATATAGCATAAATACAGCTGTAGTTTTTACATACATTTCAGATTGTGTAAAATTCTGACATCTGCCTCAGAAGTAAAAGATATGGTGGCAGAATTCTTATTTATACTGTGTAAAGAGAGTGGTAAGATTCTATTTATAGTTTACTTTATTTCTTGGGACCTTTAATTTCTGGGTGAGTAGAGGTTGGGGGGGGGGGTTGATGGAAATAGTTTCTTTCATTTATTTCTGTTACAATTTTGAAGCTTCTTACCAATTAATACTCAGTACATGATGTTTATTAGACTCTCCTGTATTATTTTAGTGGCCAGAATGGTGAAGTACACAGGTTATGGTAATGCCGCTGGTTTGCTGGCAAACCGTGGCATGCTGATGGGTGGTAGGAAATGTGACGGTGATTATAGTAGTGGTTCTGAGGAATCGGACACAGAGGAATACGCCAGATTACGAGATCAGTACGTTATTGATTATCTCATCAAGGCATTCTCTTTAACTGCACTTTGTCTTCATATTTATTTTGAGGATTTGGAAAGTTCATTTAACTTTATATGCCATGAATATGGCCAGGCCATATAGTGTTTGTCATGTCTGTCTTCTGTCCTTCCAACCATCTGTTTTTCAGCTTGTCTGTCCATCACACTTTGTTTTTACCTCAGTTTCAAAGTAACTATACACTGATATATATATTGGTGAGAGTTTTTCAACTTTGGCATAATTTGCTGCCCAGACCTTCCCTTTGATCTTGATCTCATTATTTCCTATTTTGCGTGTAGCTCAGCTTCAACTAACTATTCAATATATTTTTATTAAAACTTACTCATACACTGACATAGATTGATGGGACTTTTCAACTATATCATTTTTTTCTGACCTTGATCTTCCTATAACTTTGACCCCACTTTTCCTTAATCTGCATTTAACTTAAAAAAAAAACATTCATGATATTTTCATAGAACCTCTCACAGAGAAACACAATGATAAGAGCTTTTCAACTGTAATTCAATTTTGTGAACGTTACCTTCAACATGATATTGAACTCACTACTGATTTGTGTGTAGGAAAGAAGCTTAGAAGAAACTGTTCATACTATTTTCATCATATTTTATACACTAACACAAAATAGTTAGAGCTACTCAATAGCATAATTTTCTGACCTTGACATTTCCTATAACCTTTACTTTACTTTTCAAGATATTTTAATCAAACTTTAAACAAATTTAAATATTTATTTTGCTCTGACCTAATTTTCTGACCTTGACCTTCCTTAAAACATTGAAATTCACTCTCTAAAGATTTTTGAAAATCAAACTTCATATGTAGATATATTTTTTTAGAGTGCAAGTCAAGTCTCATTATTTTCTTATCTTGTCATATTTTACAATTATCTCTGACCAAAGAAGGTATGATACAAATGTACCCTTAAGTGTCTTATTTTTGTCCTGAGGACATATTTCTAGTTTAATTGAATGAATAGAAATCATGTACATATATCTTGATATAATGCTGCTTTTTTTTTTTTAGATTGTGAAAATGTTGCAGTATATTAAATGTTTATGCTGCTAATTATGCACAAAAGTTTATGAGAAGACACAAAAAGACCAGATTTGTCTATCTAAACTTAAAGTAATAAGACTCCCTACATTAATATAAAAAATTGCATGATTTGGGAATATACAAGTGTATGATTTTAAGCAACATATTCAGACATATACAGTACATGTATATACTAGTATCCTTAGGTTTGCAGAGATTTTTTTGAATGCCAGTAAATGTTGGTTGATATGAGGTCTTAGAATCAATTTCTATCTGATGGTGAACTACAAGTCTGCCCTCCAGAATTACATGTTAAAATGGATTTTCATGTCAAAAACCTCATTTTAATTTAACTATAAGTATTGTATGCATAAGTAGTTGTTACAAATATATGTATAGATATATATAGGTATATTGTATTTTTAAGTTGGGGAATTTTTTACAGAGTAAATCCAATAACTGGTAGATGGGAAGAGGACAAAGTGAATCCCATGGAGGGAATGTCTGAAGAACAGAAAGAGTATGAGGCCATGAGACTAGTTAATGATTTAGACAAACTGCAAAGGTAAACATGTAGTTAATGATTTAGACAAACTGCAAAGGTAAACACATCAGAAAAGTTACATCTGCTCAATACTAAGGTGTTCTTATTAGATGGTAGAATTTAATATTCTTTAAAGGTATTAAAAGCTTTTGAATTTTTTACTTAAGATTTTTATCATTTTTCTCTTCATCATTTAAAAATTTCAGCATACCCCCCCCCCCCCCCCAAAAAAAAATAAATAAATAAAAATAAAGCTTTTATAAAAAAATCTTTTTCATAAAAATACACTTGATTACTGTAACATGTATTTTAATCAGGTCAGGTAGAAGTCTTATTCTTTTGCAGGTTGATATTTAGAAAGAGAAATAAACAGAAGTGTTTATATTAGCTTTGATCTGCTTACATCTATCTCGTTTTTTTACCCCATGTTTAGACAAGGAATCATTCAACCGTGTCGAGTGGGAGAGGACGGGAAACCAGAGCCTGTAGAACACATATTACAGCTGACAGAAAACATCAAACTGAAAAAGGAAGATAAAGACTGATTTAAAAGGGGTGGATCTAACTTTGTCAACAGTTTATATGTGGATCCAAGTGTTGTGTCTCATTCATAGGTGGATCTAACCATGTGGTGATCTTGGAATGTTTGGCTACAAAAGAAAGAGAATATGTATAGTGAATATTAAATGTGTAACCATATTTCATAATAAATATAGTTTATATATGTCATGTATATATCAATGAGTGCTCTATCTAAAGGTTTCCTTTAGGTACATGTATTTATGATTAGCTGAGCATAAGAGTTATATGTAATGCTAGTTTCATGGAAATATGCATTATGGCAGTGTAGATGATTGTTTCTGTTAAGTGTATCATTGAGAATCTTTAATTCATTTCTCATTTCATATTTCTGTGAATATTTTTCTTCACATATACATGTAGTATACATGTACCTGTTCCATTATCTCCCTTGTAAGTCCAAGAAAACTTTAAAAGTATTTTTGCAAGTTTGCATAAGAAATCCATTGAAAGGGATGTTTACACATGATTTTTAAGTGCTGACAATGTTGATGGTCCAGTGGAGGGGGACACTTCTTGAGAAGGAGGGGCACTTGTTTGGGCGAGGGAATGTAATCAGGCAAATGTTTGACTGGTTGCCAATCATGCGATGCCTACTTCTATTTCAATAAATAAAATGTTTTTCTTTTTGCATAAAGAGATATTATCATATAGGGTCTACAAGATGATATTACCAAATTGACATAAATAATTGAACTAAAATGGATATTGTCTGATCGGAATTTTCACTATTTTTCTTAAAATTTTAAGATATTTTAGTTATTTTTATATGCTTCCTATATTTAAATTTTTCTTATTTTCACATATGGTAAAGTTGTCACATAAAGATACAAAATGATATAAAAAGAAAAAGTTTTGACCGTTTACTAAGAGGGGAAAAACACCTTTTTACGGATTTTAGGCTCAAATCTGAACTTAGATTGGAAGCTTTTAAAAGCTAACATAATTGTAGTTTGTTTGGAAAATCATATTTATTTGATATATTTTAAAACTTTAGTCCCTTATTATTAATTTAACTTACATTAAAAAATTTTCTCCAAGTCTTTGATTGTGTAAAAAATATAACTAAATTCATTGTTTCTATAATTATTTTGAGAGGCAGAAAAGAAGATATTTTCATACGCCGCCATTCCGCCAAAAATATAGTCCCTGCTAGATTTCAAACTCAGTTTACCATTTCTATTTAAAGTTGTACAATTGTGATGAGGAAAGAAAAATATGATCTTTTAGAACCCTTACATATAAATATATAAAACATATAAGCAAATATACTTTGAATATTTCATCTAGTCAGAAACCAGACAAGAATCCCTCCTTAAGTAAAGTATTTTAAAAATCGTTTCAGAAGAAAGACTTCTGTACAATCTAATATATAGTTATATATAAGAAATCAATATTGTACAGGATGACAACAATGTAATTCTGCTTCAACCAAAGCTTAAAAATAGTTCTTCCATCGCAAATATGAACAACAGAAGTTTTATAATCGTTCTTTTTTCCTGTCATTGAAATGGTTTATTATAATTTTGTAACAAAAATTTCCGACATCAAAGTTGCAGATCATATTGCTTTAAGCAAATTTTATATGTGTTTGGACCTAAAAAGAATTGATAACAAACATGTTTAAAAAATGTCTGAGTATTGAGTTGTTGAGCATTATGTAACTTTTTATTTGTACTGTAGCCAGTGTTATGAAAAGTTTCATGTAAAATACTTTGTAGTTCTGTTGATGTTTATACAGAATTAGGAATCTCATTTATAGAGAGTTTTTTTTCTAGATGATTTGATCTTTGAATTGATGGGTTATTTTTACTTACATAAAGTTAAAGAAATTGACAAAATTTACAAAGAATGGGAAGAAAATGTGGCAAACCTCACATACACTAATTTGTTGTTGTGTTGTCATGATCTGATCACTTTTATGTTGTCAAGATCAAAGATCTTGGCATGTTGTCTTTGGTATGTTTTGCTTTCATCCTTCAAAAACTACCTATAGAACCTCCCAAGGCATATCTTTTTAATTACTGGAGACATACTCTCTTCCATGCGGGATTTTTGCTATATATGTGGATACAATTCCACTGAAATTTATTACAGTGTACTCAAAGTGCATTAAAAAAACAATGGCAATCTAAGAGATACATGTAATTTTATACCATTGGATTGAACAGAAATAATGATCCCCTGGAGTAAAAAGTACGTTTAAAGTATATACATCTACATTAAGAATTCACATTGGTTTGGATTAACTTGTACACCACATCAAGGTTGAACAAGGAGGTTACATAATCATAGATGTCTGCTACATGTAGCACTCAACAAATTGTGTTTACAGATCTTGATGAATTTTAAAATCCGAGTTTTTGTCTCTGTTGCATGCCAGGTTTATTTCATGGTAGTGCTTTCATTAATCACTTTAGAGACATATTAATTATATTTTTCATCATTACATACAACTATGCTGATTTTTTGGGTTGTGCAGTCTGTCCTTTACATGTATATAGGAATGTTTTCATGAAATACATCATGATGCTGTGGAATTATAATTTATTCATTATAATTTAACATCAAATTTGGTCTGTGCTTCTCTCTGTTAACATTTCATATTTCTAACATTGTTTTTAAAATGTTCAAGGAAAACTTGCCACAAAGCATTACAATGTATTAGGTTATGAGAATTTTCTATCAATATTTGAAATAAAGTTTAAGACAGCTATGAAAACGCTGTATTGAAAGTAGCACTTGGACATTGAAAAATTTTCACCTCCTGAATGACTGTAGGACCAGAAATGTTAAAACATTTTGAAAAAGGTGATATAAAATGTTTCAGATAAATTGAATCCTGAATGAGTGTTTGAATTAACAAAGTAAAAGTGGATGGTTGAATTATTGAGATAGAAAATTTGTGATTTTTTTTTTTGTTTTGGTAATTACCTAGAAGATAAATCAAAAGCAGAACACCTGTTTATCCAGATAAAATAAAATGTTGTACAAATCTAGCCCCCCCCCCCCCTTTCCTGTAGTTTATGGATGATTGAATGATTATAATCATCAATGTATTCCAATGTTCTGTATATTGTTCTGTACATTAGACATACACTTAGAATTATTTTTCCTTCAGTCTGTTGTTTTCCAGTATTTATTAAAAAAAATCATGAATTATTTAATCTTTGCGCATGACCTCACAAGGATATTGTGGGTATCAAACATCTCTCATTCTCCCTGTGCAATATTATGTATAAATGCATTTTGTTTTTGTTAATGTATTTATGAGGGTAATGTATGCATCACCATTTTCATGAATAAATACTGAAAGTGTACAATATTGATTGTATGTCATTGATAAGGGGACCATATAATTGAAGGTCTAAGTCTTACCTCATCTGGACAAAGGTCCCCAGCTTATTGTGTCCCTTGGCTTGATATGCACTTAGTTAATACAGAAGAATATGAAAAAATTACTTAAGTACAAGCAAAAGGCCCTTTTCATTCCCAGTCATGTTACTGATTAAGGTGTTAACACATGTAGAGAGTACATGCTTTATCTTTTCATATACATGTAGCTCGATCAAAATGAAGAAATCCTGTCCATACACGTTTATACAGACATGTCAGTGTATTAAAATGAGGTCACCAAGACTAAGCTCTAAACAGAGGACAGCAGATTAAGTCAAGCAGTCATCATGAAGATTTATTGTTGCACAGAGCAATATGAATATCTAATGTTTTAAAGCATTGGATAAGTTTTTATAAATTAGGGTGGAATGTACAAATTGGATGATTATAAGTCAATTGTTGACATTAGAATCTATATCACAGTTTTTTCAAGAGTTAAAAACTTCCTCATTTCACAAACAATCCTTTGATACAAATACTGAAAATGAAAGACTCTAAACCTTTTTTCAAGGTTAAATTGAAGTGATGTTTTTCTCTGAGAGAGTCATATTCTGTGGTTTATTTCCATGTGGCAGGTGATGGCCGACTCCCATCTCTCTTTCCTCTAAAGGTTCCCGGGCCTAACTTTCTTGGATCCCCTCCCATTAGATCTTGCTGTGCCAGCTCCTCATCATACCTGTAACATTCCACAGTAAGAAGTGCTGCTGTTAATTAAATTCTTAGGTTAAACAACATACTACAATGCAATAAAAATATGGGGAAAAAAATTTCGAAGTACTTCTCGTTCTTGCATTATAATAACCAAGTACATGTATTATACTTACAGAACATCAAAATTTCCAAGGTGTTCCTTTGCTGGTACTTTATTCCATCTAACACTGAAAAAAAGTGTACATAAAAGATGAATCAAATCTGTCTAATTTTGATTACTAATAAATAGGGATGTCAAAATATTTATTTTTCTTAGTCGATTATTCGATTGCATTATTCGAACGATAGTCGAATATTCGGAACATTTTCTGAAAATAAAATTTTATTTCAAACTTCACTGGTACATGACGAATTTATAACTCAAAAACCCTGAATCTGTTTAAAAAGTAACATAAAAATTAATGCAGCGCGTAACGTTGGGTAGCAAGATTATATGAAATAAATTTAGAAATCTAATATTCCTAAATTCATGATTTCCCCATCAATCGAATTCATAAGTTGGTCTGTACATGCAGTTAGTTTTTATTTTAGTTAGCATTCAAAATTTGCTAGCCGATATTTTTTAAAGCTTATTGTGAAATAAATTAAGGGGGGGGGGGGGGGGGGGTAATCTAACACTATCCAAACGCCAGGTGACTGTTAAACAGTTAGTTACTGCTTATTCATTTATTGATTGTTCTGGCTATCAAAATGCCCTTATTATGAACAATTTAAAATGCAAGCGAATTGTTCTAATAATTATCGAAGCGTCAAATCATGTCAAATGTTCCTCGCATTTGAGCAATCTTAAAATAAAAGATAATTGGTACATCGTATAAAATCAAGTCCCATTAATTATTTTACAAACAAAGCCCAGATATATATTGATGGTTGATTTATTACAAAAACAACACAAGCAGTAACTGATAGATAATTAATTCTCGCAGTAGTGAAGCATTTATAATTACTGTACTTTCTATACGCACATGGAAAATCAAGTTTTTTGTAGAGGAAAATTATTTTATCAACTGTCTCCGAGGAAAGACAGTTTCTCAATTTTGAAATGAGAATTCCATATCGTTATCACTCTTTTATTGCATTTTTTTAAAAATTATAATATTCGAATGTCGTTTCATTATTCGATCGTCGGTCCATTCGACTGACAGTCGAATAGTTGACTATTCGTTGACATCCCTACTAATAAATAAATTCTTTTCTTCTGAAGATAAAAATGATCAATTCTTTATAGATATATCCTACTCTACACAATGCTGAATCACTTTATGAGCTGATACAGCAGGATTAAAAGTACCCCTGATACAGCAGGATTAAAAGTACCCCTGGGGGTCGTGATTTGGACAAACCTTGTACCTACGCTATCTGAGGATACTACCTATCAATATGACTAATCATAGCTTTGCTGTTCTTGAGAACAAGATTTTTAAAGATTTTTTTCATATTTTTTCTATGTAAAACCTTGATCCTCTATTTTGGCCTCGGGGGTCATGATTTGAACAAATTTGAATCTACATTACCTGAGGATACTTACATATCAATTAACTAACCATGGCTTTGCTGTTCTTGTAAAGAAGATTATTAAAGATCTTTTCATATATATTTCTATGTAAAACTTTGATCCCCCATTGTGGCTCAAACTTACCCCCTTGGGTCATTATTTGAACAAATTGAAATCTACACTATGTAATGAAGGTTTCACATAAGTTTCAACTTTTTTAGCCTAATGGTTCTTGAGAAGAAGATTTTTAAAAGATGCCACCAAATTTTCAATTATTCTTAATTATCTCCCCTTGAAAGAGGGCTTGGTCCTTCATTTGAACAAACTTGAATCCTCTTCACCCAAGGATCCTTTGTGGCAACAGTGGCAAGTTTGGTTGAAATTGGCCCAGTGGTTCTGGAGAAGAAGTCAAAAATTTGAACAGTTTACAGACAGACAGATAGACAGACGACAGACAAAATGTGATCAGAAAAGCTCAGTTGAGCTTTTAGCTCAGGTGAGCTAATAATCTTATATACAGTTGTACTTTCAAATTTCGAACAATGATATTTTGACATAACTACTCTTTTTTTATGTACTTAAACTCAGTATCTCAGATCCTCAAATATCTCAAAACTTTTCTTGAAACCATCGAGTTTGAGATAACAAAGTTTGACTGTAATTGTGAAAATAAAAGAGTAATCGTACTCTGGAACTTGTCCCGGAGGAATGACAATATTGATGACATCATTAATGAGTTTATACTTCATTATTCTGTCACTAGAGGTGGTGCTGGTCAGAGAGGGCGAGGCATTCACCTGTCAATCAAATAAAACTACATGTAAACATATTCAGAAATCTCATAACACTTCAAATAAGACACAGACTTATGTAAGTTTATGAATGTGCATTATGTTGTATATGCTGCTGTTTACAAACACACGACAAAGCAAAATACAGAAGAATGTATACATATAGTTATAACTATATACATACCTCAATCAACCAAGGCTTTAAATTATCATCTATGATTATATCATATCTACAATATAACAAAAAATACAGTCATTTTAATATCTTTGTTACGAAAAGTCTTATTCATTAAGAAAAAATAAAAATATGTAGATATAGTAGTAAAGAAGTAAATTATGAAAAGCTGAAGACATACCCATAGCACTCAAAGCAGTGTCTGTCATTGGATATACATCCCTGTAAGTAAATTAAAAAAGAAAGTCACCTTTGATCAACATAACGTTAAGGATCTCAAAGCTCCATTCATATAAGCTAACATAACATTATGACTGACACTTATATACAATATAGATACTTACGGCCACAGCTTTTAATGAGTGGACGATCTGCCACTGCATCTCATCAAACAGTCTATCAGTAACCTACAAGTAACAGTCTATCAGTAACCTACAAGTAACAGTCTATCAGTAACCTACAAGTAACAGTCTATCAGTAACCTACTAGTAACAGACTATCAGTAACCTACAAGTAACAGTCTATCAGTAACCTACAAGTAACAGTCTATCAGTAACCTACTAGTAACAGACTATCAGTAACCTACAAGTAACAGTCTATCAGTAACCTACAAGTAACAGTCTATCAGTAACCTACAAGTAACAGTCTATCAAAAACCTACAATAATCCGTCTATCAGTAACCTACAATAATCCGTCCATCAGTAACCTACAAGTAACAGTCTACTAGTAACTTAAAAGTAACATTTAATCAGTAACCTACGAGTAACAGTCTATCAGTAACCTACAAGTAACAATTTATCAGTAACCTACAAGTAATAGTCTATCAGTAAGCTACGAGTAACAGTCTATAAGTAAACTACAAGTAACAGTCTATCAGTAACCTACAAGTAACAGTCTATAAGTAAACTACAAGTAACAGTCTATCAGTAACCTACAAGTAACAGTCTATAAGTAAACTACCAGTAACAGTCTATCAATAACTTATGAGTAACAGTCTATAAGTAAACTACAAGTAACAGTTCTATCAGTAACCTACGAGTAATAGTCTATAAGTAAACTACAAGTAACAGTCTATCAGTAACCTACAAGTAACAGTCTATCAGTAACCTATAGGTCTTGGCCGAAAAGTATCAGAAATTGTAAATATAAAATGCAAATAAAAAATGGTATTTTAAAGATTTTACTGTAAATTCTTCTGAAAGAAAACTATGGTTTATCACTATTAGCTGCAGACCTGCAGTGTTACGGTCTTATATTTTAGTATACAATGTAATTATAACCTTTATATAACTTCATGGCCGAAGACTGTAACACTACAGTTCTACAGTTATTAGCAAACCAAATGGTAAAAGTAACAATTAAAAATAATAAAACTTAGAAGAATTGTGAGCATTGAGCTCATAAAATGATACCCCCGCCTCTCATATGTTTATAATGGGAAAGTCCATAATTTGCTATAGGAGACTCAAAATAAAAATAGGGGGTGCACAATGACACTATGTAAGAAAGGTTCTGTGAACGTATCATTAAATTTTATCAGTAGTGTTATAAAGAGGAGTTGCGGATAAGAGATGTATACCCCAAAGCGTAACGGATGGATGGACGGACACTCCCATCACTATACACCCCCCTTCTCAAGCGGGGGGGTATAAAAATCAGAGGAATTTACTACACATTACACATGCATAGATTTTACACAATAAACTCTGCCTACTTTAATTTAAACTATTTTGACTTTTTATGTAAACATCTTTGAGGACCACATTGACAAATGGTCCCTCTGATCTGAGCTCATTCACATGAATACCTCTTTCCCTCTTGTCCCCTCCAGAAATAGTCGCAGATTTTGCACAGTCCATTTTCCTCCATGCACTGCATTGTAATCATCCTGTCATAAAAAAAATATCAGTTAAGATGATGATTTATGATTTAAAACGGAATCAAATATTCAAAGGAATCAAATTCATTTGGTATCAAACTTCATTCAGTGCAGGAGTGATGTCCTATCTCATGTAAACTTTCTATCAATCATTTTTGAGAAAACTAAGCAAGATTACAAAATTAAGATAAGTTAGAAAATTAAAATATGCACATGTACTTAAATAAATTGTTTTCATTAAAATGTCAGTACACATCAGTTGAAATTTGATATCTCATGAGTTAGAAGTCCCAGCCAATTTTTCTTTATGTATTTTAATCTCAATATCTAAGACGTCTTTTTTTTCCCTGCCCACTGAGCTGAAGAAAACAAGGTTTGACTGTATTTATATTTTCTCATGCCAACATGTACTTTAGATTTCCACTAATATACACTGGATATCACCTCATTTTTAAACAATACAGACTTGTACATGTAGTAGATATTGTGACATTATATAATGCTTTCTTTGTTCGTCAGCATGGTAATTAAAGCTGAACACGACTCGTAAAAAGGCATATGCCATATTATTTTTCTTAACCAAGAGTATCTTCGATATCAGCACTGGGGTATACCCTTCGCATTCGTTACACCTAGCTGCTTTCTTGTCACAGGTACCTGCATGGAATGGACACATGTTCAGGCTGGTTATCTTACTTTACCTTTGTTTAGATTTTATTGCAGTTTATGTGTATTTCTGCTTGTTTGTACTGCACTGACCTGTGCAACTGATGCAAGTTTCTTTGATAACTTTCTGTCCTGCCCTGGAAGAAGTGCAGTTACTTTTGTCACTACCGAGAGTTTTACACAACTATGTAGAATACGTCCATCCACACCAGTGAAAACTGATTACACGGAACTGAGACCAACGAACGGTTTATATATATATAAACCGTACAACAAACGGAAAATGCAGAGTAATAAGGCAGACAAACATACGGTAGATCTCTGCCTTTTTACGAATCATGTTCAGCTTTAACGTTGCAGCTTTTGCAAGAAAAAATACATAACTGGCACAAGAGTAACTGCAGCTGTTAAACAAAGAATAACATTTTACTGTTTTATATATATATGTCTGTATAAATAATCATATGAGGTAGGTTTAAGTACCTTTAAATATTGTATCATTGTATGTTTCACTGATTGAAAAGCACAGTGCTGTGCATAAGAAATCTATACATTTGGCTTGAAAAATCGTTTTTAACCAGCACTTACTGATTGTGAAAGAGGTGGTTTTCATACGAAATAAAGGAGAAAATTGTCAGTTGATGTAAATACATGTATATTTTATATGATGTGTTTACATGTACCTGTGTTGCATTTAAAACTTATTCTTTTTACTAGCTTTTTTGCATTATCTGGACCAAATTTGCAAGAGCTACTGAATATGCTTAAAATTTTTAAGATTATTTGGTTCACAAGGTTATATCATGCATATCAATACACAAAAACAAATGGTAAATTACACGTACACAGATCCATTTTTGTGCATGCCTCAATGCGAATTAAATGTACAACAGTTTTACCATACATCATAAACCAGAAATCTAGACAGTTATTTCTTGATTAATTAATCTTTCACTGAAAAATATTTTTTGTTTAATTACAGTAAAACTTGTCTGATCGGGCCACCACTGGTTCCAAAGAAATTGGCTGGAGTAGACAACATTCCAGATTAGACATTTTAAACAACTGAAATTACTGAAAGGGACCTTCAGTTTATATTGTATTTGACAAGATTTTGGAATACACAACATACGGATTAGACAAGTTTCACTCTACCTGAAATTTTATTAATTCTAATGACAAACTTAAGGTACAAATGAAGGAAATTAAACTAAGTTTATACCCCTTGTTTTTGGATGGAGACATTGGTAAGATGTACAAACATGTTGTCTAGCTCGTTAATACTGGCATTGTATTTAACTGTACAGAACCTGGCAAAACCTAAACGGAACCTGAAAGAATACCATCACTATCTTAATATGCATGTACATAAAAGTAACGCAGTAATTCAAACCAAATGTTTTATAAACCCAACTAATACTTCACCAAAATTTTCTTACAGAAATATACTGCAAACATAAGAAACTTACAAATAGCACTTGAGGGGTCTGAAAGAGGTAACAAGAACATAAAGTCGAAGGTCAAACTTCTTTCCTCCAATCAGAAGTGGGTTATCAATGTATTTAGAAATGACGTAAGTATCCTTTGATGTAGGTGGAGTAAAACTATAAAAATCAAAATATCAGGAATTAAATCTAAAAATGTTTTGGTTCATTCCAATATTGTTTCAATTTGGCAAGCTAGTTGTTGTACATTTATATAAATTGTATGTTCATAAAATAAATTATAATGTTTATTTTGTGCAAAACTTTATAAATATCCAACATAAAATATATAAGTATAACATAATCCTATACATGTATGATGTATATATTGATCTTACTTGCTTGTTTTGCTATCCCTGGACCATTTTTTTAGCTGGGATAATTTGTTTACCAGAAATATCCCCACTCCTCTAGCTGGAAACAGAACATAATGTCTCTTTTAAAAACTTTAATATATTTTTTTCTCCCGTGCATGATATTTTCAATGTTATAGTTACTAGTACTGATATTATGGAAAAGTGACAAACCCTTTAGATATACTCTCCTACATTGTCATATTTATCTCCTTGTAAAATAGGATGTCCATGGATTTATACACTGATATATTCATCTCCTTATATAACAAAATCTTTAAACAACTGGAAATTGACTCCCTTTGAAAGGAAGATGTTCACATTTAAGACATATCAGATTTATTTCCCTTTAAAACATAAAATCTGAACTTGAAAATTCCAAGATCCACCTCCCATTTTAATGCAAAATGTCTATAGATTTACAGTAAGATGATACTCTGCACACTATGACGGAAGATTTCTGTAACTATGAAAATTTCCAAACAAAGAATTCAGATATTAGCTGAAGTTCAAGCTTTAATACATCATAGAGAGAAAAATGTGAGACAAATCATTTTTGAAGATGAAAATAAAGAAACTTTGTTTTATCAATGATAGAATTATCTCCCTTGGAGAAGCATTATTTCTCCTCAAATGTTGTAAGATATCAGTATAATTGCATATTTTAAAACCCATTCACTTTCGAAATCTTTATAAAAAAAGAAATTGCAAAACCTTTTCCACATGGTTTCATAATCCATGTAGTGTTTGGGTTTTTCCTGAATTCCTCCACAAACAAGTTGTAATCTGCTGGTAACATGAAGGTCTGGGGAATAAAATCTGAAAAGAAAAGTAACTAGTCTTATGTTTATAAAAAAACAAGAGGCCCATGGGCCTTGAATCGCTCTTCTGATAAACTGTACAACCTATCACTTCTATTTGAAGCCTCAAAGTATCCTGTATATTTACATAAACCCTTGAAATTCCAATTCACACTCTGAGAACCCAAGATGATTCTAAGCCAATTAGTACCTGAGAGTTGGTCATGGTGACCTACTTATCACTTGTCATTCTCTGAGGACCCATCAACTAAGTTTGATGATTCTAAGCCAATTAATACCTAAAATATTTTTTAAAATTATAATCATATAATTTTATAAGTAGGTCAAAGTGACCTACTTTTCAATTGTTTTACTCCAAGGACCCAAGATGCATCAACTGACAAAGTTTGATGATTCTAAGCCAATTAGTACCTGTAATATTTAATTAAAGCCATAAATTTTCAAAAGTAGGTCACCGTGACCTACTTTTCAGTTGCTGTACTCCGAGGACCAAAGATACATCGACTGACAAAGTTTGATGATTCTAGCCAATAAGTACCCAAAATATTTAATTACAGGCATAAATTTTCAAAAGTAGGTCACAGTGACCTACTTTTCAGTCAACCTACTCCGAGGACCAAAGATGCATCAACTGACAAATTTTGACGATTCTAAGCCAAATAATTCCTGAAAATATTAAATACAACCATAAAATTTCAAAAGTAGGTCACCGTGACCTACTTTTCAGTTGTTGTACTCCGAGGACCCAAGACGCATCAACTGACAAAGTTTAATGATTCTAAGCCAATTAGTACCCGAAATATTTGATTAAAGCCATAAATTTTCAAAAGTAGGTCACCGTGACCTACTTTTCAGTTGTTGTACTTCGAGGACCCATGACGCTTAAACTGACAAAGTTTTATGATTCTAAGCCAATTAGTACCCGAAATATTTTATTAAAGCCATAAATTTTCCGAAAGTAGGTCATGGTGACCTACTTTTTAGTCAATCTACTCTGAAGACCCAAGATGCATCAACTGACAAAGTTTGATGATTCTAAGCCAATTAGTACCCGAAATATTTAATTATCGCCATAAATTTTCAAAAGTAGGTCACTGTGACCTACTTTTTAGTCGACCTACTCCGAAGACCCATGACGCATCAACTGACAAAGTTTGATGATTCTAAGCCAATTAGTACCCGAAATATTTAATTAAAGCCATAAATTTTCAAAAGTAGGTCACGGTGACCTACTTTTTAGTCGATCTACTCTGAAGACCCAAGATGCATCAACTGACAAAGTTTGATGATTCTAAGCCAATTAGTACCCGAAATATTTAATTAAAGCCATAAATTTTCAAAAGTAGGTCACTGTGACCTACTTTTTAGTCGACCTACTCCGAAGACCCAAGATGCATCAACTGACAAAGTTTGATGATTCTAAGCCAATTAGTACCCGAAATATTTAATTATCGCCATAAATTTTCAAAAGTAGGTCACTGTGACCTACTTTTTAGTCGACCTACTACGAAGACCCAAGATGCATCAACTGACAAAGTTTGATGATTCTAAGCCAATTAGTACCTGAAATATTTAATTATAGTCATATAAATTGAAAAGTAGGTCACAGTGACCTACTTTTCAGTTGACCTTTTTTGAGGACCCAAGATGCATCAACTTACAAAGTTTTATGATCATAGGACTTAAAATGTCCAAATTATGCCTCTAAAACGCTTTGAAATCGAATGCCTGCAAAGTTCAAAAAGTAGGTCACTGTGACCTACTTTTTAATAAATATGTTTTATGGCCCCAAGATGCATCATCTTACAAGATTTAATGATTCTAAGCCTCCCCGTATTCGAATTAATGACCTTAATTGTTTTAAAAAAGATTAGCCATAAAATTCAAAAAATAGGTCAAGGTGACCTACTTTTTAGTTGACGTACTTTGAGGACCCAAGATGCATCAACTGACAAAGTTTGATTATCATAGGCCTTAAATTGTTCAAAATATGCCTCTAAATCATTTTGAAAAAGAATGGCCGCAAAATTTAAAAAGTAGGTCACCGTGACCTACTTTTGAGTCAACATGATATGAGGTCCTTAGATGCACCAACTGACAAGATTTGATGATCCTAGTCCTTATAGTAAGCAAAATATCAACATTTTAATAAAATGTAATTTTTGGTCAACTTTGAAGTGACCTTGAGACCACGCCCTTTGCCCCAGGGTAAATCCCCGTGCAAATTTTAATCTACAACATATCCTCATCCTTTTGTGTAAGTTTGGTGATAATCTGCCCAGTGGTTCTTGAGAAGAAGATTTTTTAGCAACCAGTACTTTTTTTTCTATTTTCCTAATTATCTCCCCTTGTTAAAGGGTCACAACCCCAGTTTTAGTATAAAAGGGAGCCCTTGGGCCAAGGATACCCTGTGACAAATTTGACAATAATTGGCCAAGGGGTTCTTGAGTTATGGCCCATATTCTAAAAAGTTTACGCACACCGCACACCGCACAAATGGCCATAGCATTAGCTCTTTGAGCCTTTGGCTCAGAAGAGCTAATAATTATCTACCAGTATATATAGATAATAAACTTTCTCTTGAATACCAGTACAAAAGTTATTATAAATTATGTATGACATGATGTTGAATACTAGTTTATACATGTTTATTATATTCTTTGTGCATCTCTTTAAGATTTACAGTAAGAAAACTAGTTCCTGATTCAATACTACCTAGATGGATGTAACGTCCCATCTCATCCTTCTCCGCCAGAGGACTGCCTTCTTTGTCCAAATCTTTCCTGTATCTCTTGATGTTTTTGACCATCAGATCTTTTCTGGTCAGTTCAACATGATTTGGAAAGTGACTGATCACTCTGAAAAAGACATAAGAAAAATAAGATTTCTGATTAAACCTTGAATAAAAAATTACTCTCATTTTGCAACAAAATGGTCTAACCTTATCAAGTTAAAAAAAAAAATCAAAAGGAGGGGGCATAGTGAAAAACACTTTATACACTATTGGAAGTTTAATTGGAAGTTTAAGAAAATACAACATAAAACTAATGGAAGAGTTTAGTATTTAGCTAGGCAATCTTTATGAGTACCTTTTTACAGTACTACATGTAGTAGATGATCTGGAGTTTCAAGTAAAGTAAGTAGAAAATTGAAACTGATACAAAACTCAACCATAAGAAATAAAGTTTGTAAACTATAACAATTGTCCATTTTCCTGAGCTAATTTGTAGATCATTCCATTTAAGAAAGGTCTGAACCATAAAGGTAGCTCAGTTGGTAGTCTAAGAGCACCTGCTCCGTGACTGGAAGGTCCTGGGTTCAAGCCCATGTGAGACAAACCTAAGTCGACTAAGGGACCATCAAATGGTCATTGAGAGTGAGTTGAAGTGTGGTTTAGGTATCTTTTCATCAAAGTGTGGTTAATAAATATAAATGGACATCAGATGTGTACAAAACAAAATACATGTACTACAATAACATTATTATACACAGTACTACAATAACATGTATTATACAGGTATGTCAATAATATGTATTATATATAGTACGACAATAACATTATTATATATAGTACGACAATAACATTATTATACATAGTACTACAATAACATGTATTATACATAGTACTACATGTACAATAACATGTATTGTACATATATGTATTGTGTTATATATAGTACTACAATAACATGTATTATACATAGCACTACAATAACATGTATTATACATGGTACTACATGTACAATAACATGTATTGTACATATATGTATTGTGTGACCGCATGTATGTAATGCATCATTCATTACTTTGTGTCCTTATACTAGCAGATGTGTATTTATATAGCTGCAAAAAATAAGAATTCAATGATTATAAATAAATGTTTAAAACACTGATTTAATATGTGGATCCCCCCCCCTCCCAATTTCATACTGGATTGCACTCCTTTTCCTCCCACTAAAATTTTATTTACACTGGCTTTGAATTAAAATTTAAAAGTGTTAAAATTATAGTCAGTTTATTAGTTATAACACATTATCTGATATATGTGTGCATGTTTAATAGATTTCCTTGTTCTTATAATAGTACATGACTTTTATTTACAGCTATGGTGGAACGAAGAATTTCCTGACCACAGACTTCCTGTGAATAATTCTACTTAGAGTTTACAACAATTTCTTAATCTCTTTTCAAAACTTCACTATTACAGTTCTTTTCAAAAATGTAAAAAAAAAAAAAAAAGAAAAAAAAAAGACTAAATAAAATCATACCATGTACATTATAATGTAAGCAACTGTCTGCCAAGATAATGGATAGTGATTTGGAAGATGAAGTGTTTTTGGATTATGAAAGTGATACGGATACAGTCATTAATACCCGTAAGTAGATACTACATTATAAGTGACCGGACAATTTTTATGATTACGTACAATAACTCTTCGATGATTTTACCAGCCTAATAAGTAGATAGACTATCGTAGTAAGGATGGGTTGCTGTAAGAAGGAGGAGAAGTGTGTAGAATATAGCTCTATTGATATAGATATAAATACAAGTAAGTAGAGTATAGCTCTATTGATATAAATACAAGTAAGTAGAGTATAGCTCTATTGATATAGATTTAAATACAAGTAAGTAGTGTATAGCTCTATTGATATAGATATAAATACAAGTAAGTAGTGTATAGCTCTATTGATATAGATATAAATACAAGTAAGTAGAGTATAGCTCTATTGATATGAATACAAGTAAGTAGAGTATGGCTCTATTGATATAAATACAAGTAAGTAGAGTATAGCTCTATTGATATAGATATAAATACAAGTAAGTAGTGTATAGCTCTATTGATATAGATTTAAATACAAGTAAGTAGTGTATAGCTCTATTGCTATAGATATAAATACAAGTAAGTAGAGTATAGCTCTATTGATATAGATATAAATACAAGTAAGTAGTGTATAGCTCTAATGATATAGATATAGTATAGCTCTATTGATATGAATACAAGTAAGTAGAGTATGGCTCTATTGATATAAATACAAGTAAGTAGAGTATAGCTCTATTGATATAGATATAAATACAAGTAAGTAGTGTATAGCTCTATTGATATAGATTTAAATACAAGTAAGTAGTGTATAGCTCTATTGCTATAGATATAAATACAAGTAAGTAGAGTATAGCTCTATTGATATAGATATAAATACAAGTAAGTAGTGTATAGCTCTAATGATATAGATATAAATACAAGTAAGTAGAGTATAGCTCTATTGATATAAATGCAAGTAAGTAGAGTATAGCTCTATTGATATAGATATAAATGCAAGTAAGTAGATTATGGCTCTATTGACATAGAAATAAATACACGTAAGCAGTGTTCGAAATTAGCGTCGGCCCGTCGGTCCTGCGCCGACATACAAACTGAAGGACTCACGAATAGTATGACTAAATGGGTCCTTGAAATAATTTTGGGCCGATGATGATTTGCCGGGAAACAAGTTAAAGTCAATCACATCTTCTTGGACCTTTCCGGCGAGCTTGAAAAAATACACCGTTGTTTTTCTTTACGGCTTGTTGGAAAGGATTTAGAAGTTGCGATTGAAGTTAACGTATATTGGTTTATGCATTTACATTAGCTTTTATATATTTCCTGCATTTTAATTGGATATATTAAACAAATTAACCAATGAGCGTTTTTAAAAGAAATTGGACTTAAGATGGGTAAAACTTGTTATTTTTATCAAGATTGTATCAATTCTTCTTTTCATGTGCATTTTAAATAAATACTGAAGATTTTAGATTTGATTTTTTTTTCCTGCGTGGAAAAAATTTACGCTATATGTATGCGGTTACAAACTTTCCACGGAAAATTGTCCAAGTATACTAGTACATTTTAACAACATATTGTGGTAATCTAAGAAACCTGTGTAATTTTCTACCCACCGATTTTAAAAACAGAAATTGTAATTTTGAGGAAAAATCTAAACACATGTTAAACTCTTTACATGTTATATATGACCAAGTAAGACTGTTTGACGATTAATGTTTTACCGTTAATACTTGTTGTTGTAGTTACCCCTTATTAAATTGACATATTTCATATGAAGCAATAAATTTACCGAGATCATCAATACGTAAAAGTTTATTTTTCCCAAATATTTTATGTTATTATTTTTGGGCCTACGCTGCCCTGGAAGGACTCGTGTGGTCCCTTTCTCTGTGGGTCCTTTGGACCCATAGAAAATAATTCTGAATTTCGAACACTGCAAGTAAGTAGTGTATAGCTCTATTGATATAGATATAAATACAAGTATGTAGAGTATGGCTCTACTGATATAAATACAATTAAGTAGAGTATAGCTCTATTGATTTACATATAAATACAAGTAAGTAGAGTAAAGCTCTACTGATATAGATATAAATAAAAGTAAGTAGTGTATAGCTCTATTGATATAGATATAAATACAAGTAAGTAGTGTATAGCTCTATTGATATAGATATAAATACAAGTAAGTAGAGTATGGCTCTATTGATATAAATACAAGTAAGTAGAGTATGGCTCTATTGATATAGATATTAATACAAGTAAATAGAGTATGGCTCTATTGATATAAATACAAGTAAGTAGAGTATGGCTCTATTGATATAAATACAAGTAAGTAGAGTATGGCTCTATTGATATAGATATTAATACAAGTAAATAGAGTATGGCTCTATTGATATAAATACAAGTAAGTAGAGTATAGCTGTACTGATATAAATACAAGTAAGTAGAGTATAGCTCTATTGATATAGATATGGGTACAACTAGAATATAGCTCTATTGATATAAATATGAGTACAAGTAAGTAGAATACAGCTCTATTGATATAAATATGAGTAAACTTATAATCTACTGTTAAAGTAGAAATATATATTGGGGATTAAATTTCCTTTATTTCGGTGTTAAGAATTATCGACGAAATTAAATCCCAAACAAAATTTTTATATGGCTATATCATATTGAATATTGTGACTTTTGAAACAACAAATTTAAATTCCCACAAAACTATTTAATAGCTTGAATCAACAAAAAATTTGTCCCAACAAACATTTCTGCTTCTACAGTAATGTATTACAAAACACTTACTGGTCATCAGCCAGTCTGAAGCCACAGTCAATGCTAAAAACATTTCTAATACTTTGTACATTGGCCCTGAAAATAAAAAAATTCTAAAGAATTGCTTTCACTAAATATTACTCTCCAGTCAGAAGTTCATAGCATATTATAAACAATTTAAAGTCTACAGAGGGAATTTCTGAAGCTCTATTTATTTTTACAAACTTGAACCTACTCTTTATGTGGCACATCTAACAGTTCAATAAACATGAAACTATCTGCATCTTAAATCATTTTGTTAACAGAAGAGTAAGTCTTAACATTTTACACCAGTATAAAAGACTGTTATACTAAATGTTTGTACCAGTAAAAATTCCAGTCATCGTCCGGAGTGACAGGTACCCATCCTCTGGCCTCGAAGTTATTGAGCAGGACTGACTTGTCCATGTCACTGGCATACTTCAGTCTGGCCATTGTCACTTCCTGCTGTATGTTCAAGGTGCTGCTGGTAAAGTCTCTGATCTCACATCATTTCACTGGAAAAGAATTAGATAAATTTTATTCACAAAGTTCACAAATACATGTACACAAGAAGGACTGAGATTACCCAAAGCAGCAATGGATTCCGTCCAGTTCCTCTAAAATTTAAATGTCTCTGAACTACCAAACTTACATGTAAGTTAGCCTTTAATTTAGTTTGTAAATTTATTTTCAAAATTATATCTGCTCTTAGTTCATCCTCAGCTGGTTGTGCAAGATTTGCAGAATAGAAGCATTAGAATTTAATTGATTAATATTTCCGTTATTTTTAATGTAAAAAAATTATTTGTAATTTGTAACGGGGCTTTCAAAAAGATTTAAAACAGGTGGTACTTTTACAAAAATAGGAGGTACCTAGCAGAAGCATTTTTATTAAAATGTTATTGAATTTTTTCTTCATTGAGTATTCAGCCAAGTGTTGGCAAATTTTGAAAGCCCTGATGTAAACTGATTAATGCATAAAATGTGAACATGCCTTTTTTCTTTTTAACATTTTAACATGCCAGACAGTATTTCTTTCTTGGCACATCACATACCCAAACCCACTGCAAACAAGTCATGCAAGGAATATTTCAGGCTATGTGAAATACATATGGTTTACATTACACTATTGGTCCATATCAAAATATGAATGATGGGTAATTTTTATGCAAGTAGCACAGGGTTCCATCTTAATTTTCTGTAACTATAGATAGTTTTCGATTGACACGATTTTAGCAATAGCTATTTCCTGTTGGTCACCATATTGGAGGTATACAGGCCCAAATTCCTTCATTATTCAACCAATTTAAACTTGTCATACAGGGCAACTGGGTGAAGATAACACAATTTTTCTTATGAATTTATGTTAACACAAGCTTTAATTCTTAATTGTAGTATAGTAAAGATTTTTGCCCTTACATTTCTGCTATGCAAGTTTAAAATTGGTTGCTCAAAGAGGAAAATTCGCTCGTTGGACCTCCAATATGGCGGCCAACAGGAAATAACTCTTGCTAAATCCAGGCCTATCAAAAACTATCTATATATTAAATACATGTTATGCTGTAGAAAGCAAATGACCCTTCCTGTGCTTTGAAATTAAATAGAATATACATGATATACAGAATTAAATGTTCTATTTAAATATCTATTAACTCATTTCCCATGTCAAACTGCAAGTTTCATGTATATTTATGCTTGTAATATAAGACAAAGAAAAATCACACATATGTAATGAATATCTATATATTTCTAAAAAGTGACTTATAGGTCCAATGGGCTGGGTGTTGTATGTATATTTATCCAATGAATGTAAAATCATACTATACACAAGTCTGACACTTTAATAACATATAAGTAATGAAGAAAAAAGTAAACATATGCATCTTCAATTTATGCTTACAGGGATATAGATTAGTAGTTGTCTCATTGCTAATGGCAAATAAAATCTCAGACTGGACAAGTAAAACTCTCACTATAGGCCTACTTGTTCAATCTGACAAGTGAATGTTTCTGATAGAAACATATATCTTAACCTTGAATTGTTTGTAAATAAATTACTTAGGCCTATAGCAATAAATTATGACTTGATCTTGTATTCTGAATCCTTGCTACTTTCAACAAGGGCGGAGGGGGGGGGGGGGTCCAGACTGAGACTCACCCACCAGGTCCCACCCCTGTAATTTTGACAGGTATTTAATTTCTCAGTAAAAGTAACTGTAACATTAATTTAATGACTTTATAACCCCCTAAGAGACACGGACCACTCTTAAAACGGTAAGGAGAGTCATGCATTTTAGGAAAATTGACTTAGGAAAGGTTGTATGTTCGTTCGCCTTAAAACTTGTTCGCCCTTGATGCCGTTCGCCCTCATTCCCGTTCACCCAGAGTCCGATCACCCTAAAACTTGTTCGCACAGGGTCTGTTTGCCTTATTTATATTGCAGAAAGTTACAGAAGTATGCATGTGGTCACACTATAAATACCTGTCCTATCAAAGACCCGGCAGACCAACAGAAATTAACGTCTCAGTCCTTTAATTGTTTTCAAAACATAACGCAGATTGTATGATCCCGTAAATTACAGTGACATTATTAAGTATAATTAAAGCAATTAAGCATGTAAAGAGCATAAATATCAAATTTGAATTATTTAATTAAGATTACGGTAAATAAAAAAATTCTGTAGCAACATTTGAAAAAAAAGACACCAAGTCTTAAAATATTGAATAAAATTAATAATAAATGTTGATATTTATTATATACTATATATATAATAGGGCGAACGAGATATAGGGCGAACAAGAATACTGGCGAACGGACCCTGCGCGAACGGACTCATGCGAACAGGTAGATAGGGCGAACGAACCTCATACCCTTAGGAAAGTGCCCCCCCCCCCCCATACAATCATACATGTATACCGACTGAGTAATAGAAGATTCTTTTGGCAAACGTTTGCTTTTTTTAAAAAATTTCTAAATGACTTAATAATTATCTTTAATCATAAATACCTGGCTAATTATCAAAAACGTCAATTTTTTAAATGCTTGCGTCCTTCCCAACCATCGACTTCAAAAGCAGAGGAAACTCGAAAACAGGAAGTAATGATACTAAACTTAAAAATTCCAATACAGTATTTACAATTACGGATTGTATGGGAATAAGCATTGCAATTCAAATAATAATTGTTTGAAACTTGAAACACTTTCCCTTTGCAGGCCCGTAGCAACGGTACTCTCAAAGGGGGAGCCTCAAAGAATTTTGACAAGGAAAAAAAAAAGGAATTGGAAAAGGGGGGGGCACTCGCAGCCTATATCGCAAAAGTACCGATATGAAATTTTCATATCAAAACTATATAGCAAAATAAATAATATTCTCCACTAAGTATTGCGGGTCTTCTTTGTTAAGAAAAATAATGCTATACTAAGACTGACAGTAACCAGTAACACAGGTTCGTTAGTTAATTGGTCAGTCTTTCCATGAAGTGGACAGGCTTCCGCCTTAGGCGAAAGCCTGTCCACTTCTCTAAAGAGAATAGTCTTTCCATATGTAAATTCTGGGAGGAAATTAATCTCAGCGAGATTCGTAGGGACTAAAAATTTTGGTCTGGGGACACCAGACCAAAATTTTTAGTCCCTACGAATCTCGCTGAGATTAGGAGGAAATCAGATTTGGTTTGTTGTGGGTGAAAACATACATGCCAACTTTTAAAAATTCCCATGGGGGATTTTGCGCGTGAGGACAATAATTTCAAAGCTGTAAATTCGCGAAATTTTGTCGTGAAAACCATTTTTTTTTTTAAATTTATAATATTGATATAACTTACAAATACCATAAGGGCTTGTCTTCCGGATTGTTAAATATAAAATAAATTATTAAAAATATTGAATCTACTTAATTTAAATACACTTAAAAGTTGTTAAAATAAACATTCTGACACTTTCAGTCAAGAAAAATCACGTTTAAAAAAGATGTACCGCACCTCTATATTAACTCTACTTTTATGTATATAGGTGTGGTACGTCTTTTTTAAACGTGTTTTTTCTTGACTGAAAGTCTCAGAATGTTTATTTAACAACTTTCAAGTGTATTTAAAGTAGATTCAAAATTTCTATTCATTCATTTTACATTTAACAATCCGGAAGACAAGCCCCTCTGACAAATACAGTTTAATATGGTGGCTGCTATAGGACATATGCTTGAGATATTTTGTTTTAAATTCGTTCCTACGAAAGGGGGCAGAGACCTATAAATGTGGTGGGGGGGGGGCACAATCCTTGAGACCTTACCCTATATATGTAGCATAGATCTTGACAAGCAAAAGAAAAAAAATCGTACGAACGAATTTAATTTCGTGCGAACGATTCTTTTTTCGTGTGAACGAATTTTATTTCGTGGAAACGAATTTTTATTTCGTGGGAACGAATTTAATTTCGTGTGAACAAATTTAATTTCGTGCGAACAAGGCACTATGTTGTTACCTGCTTTGTTTGCTGTACGGGATCAGTACATGTTATTGATCGATTATTGATCGTGTAATCTAAATCTTTTTTATTTTACTTCTGCATTATTGAAGATAGAAGGATAGATGGTATTCATATTGCCCCTCAACCTTTTAACGCGAGATTTCATCTTCAATACTTTAAATTCATTCTGACAAAGTGTCAAGATCTTCTCCTTCATGTTTGACCCATCGTCTGGCATAATCTTTGACAGAATTCGTAATATTGATGAAATTTTGACGCAAAATTTGTGTCCTTTAATCCAATAAGAATTATTTTAATCAGAAAAAAAAGTTATAATCCAAAGGGAGAGAAAAATCCCCATAGCAATACTCGATCTGTATACACAGTGTCACTGTACTGACAATATTGCTGCGATCACGTGTTCAATCCGCACCCCAACCGAAAGCTAGGGTTCTTCGACTTTTTAAAATAAACTATTTATGCTATGGCAAATTTATAAATCAATCCAACAAATAACCTAAAACTATAACCTTTAATGTAATAATTTACACTCACTGACACTTAAATCAATGAGTGCATGTGTTTGTTTATGAAGAAGGGCTAGTTTTAGGTTATATTTTAGATTTTATTTTTAATTGATTATGTTACATAAAAATATTTTATTCAAAACAGTCGAATAACCCTTGGGTTACGGAACAGGGGGGTGGGGGGCTTGTTCTGTTTCAGTCCACAAGCACCTGTCAACGAACGTAGAAAAACCATTTCTGACATGCAGTAATGAATGTCATGTACTAATTGATATTCTATCCATTTGAATGTTTTTTACTTATTACTGTGATCATTTCATGTTTGTCTATTGTCTATTTTTAGGCAAAGTTAGAAATAAATATCATATGATAGAAACTACAGTGGAGAAGGTCATCCTCATCATACAATATAATCAGGTCTAGGAAAATCACTATATTTAGCTATATAGCTAAATCTACCTATATAGCTTTATTTACCTCATATAAAATATAGCTTTATTTAGCTATTTCAGAGTAAATTTCTGTTTTATGAAAAGCAGAAAAAAAGTCGCATAATGAGGCAGTATTAGTTTTCAACTTTGAAATGGACTGAAAACAATTCACCAAAAACCCACTTTTAAAAATGTTTCTCCTTTTGTGCAATTGCAATCAAAGATCTAAAAGTTTTGGGGCTATGTATAACAGTTAATCTGTGAATAAGCAACTACTTTAACAAAGAAAAGCAGTTTTGGTCAACAAGATAATTGATTGGTAATAATTCAGCACAATGCAAGGCAATCACACTTAGTCATGCCTCATCGCACTTCCAGTAATGGACAGCTATCCAAACAATAGAGATGCATTTTTTGGTTAAAAAGTGTTTAAAAGAGGCAATGTTTTACTATCTATGCCCTAGGTTGTTTTTATCAAACCTTTTTAAAAAAATATCAGCCATAATTTTCATGCGACATTTTGTTTGCTTTTCATAAAACAGAAACTTATTCTAAAATAGCTAAATAAAGCTATATTTTATAGGTAAATAAAGGTATTATATAGCTAAATATAGTGATTTTCCTGGACCTGATAATGTTACACGTACTAATTGCTATCACAAATAAGAGATCACTCAGACACATCTCTGAATATTCTTCTTGGTTGCTTATTTTATAAACAATCTGCTATTTCTGACAAAGAGACATCAACTTCCTAGCTGCAATAATGTAGCCCTCTCCGATCTTTTTTTAATCTGATAATTTCAGGAGAGGTTCCCAGCCCGCCAAGACGCTCTTCGCAAATCACTTTTTTTTTCACGGCTGAGAGTTCAGCTTCAATCATACCTTGTTATTAGAAGAGTGCATACATTCTGATTTTGAAAGTTTAATCAAATTTTGATCAAGATCCAATCTAATTAAAATCAGACTTCTTAGATCCGCGCCGTATACATTCTGTGTAAGAAGATCGATCTTATACAGCGCGGATCTAAGAAGTCTGATTTTAATTAGATTGATCAAGATCTATTTTGTTAAAGCAATCAATGAAAGTTTTGGGAAAGTTTCATTTTCTTTTTGCAGTTTCTCTTCCCTGACTTTCTTCTTCCATATCTTTTTTTTTTAAACCGAGTCTCAGAGAGGAGATGCCGATGGCAGATACATATATATATATATATATATATATATATATATACAAGAGGCCCATGGGCCACATCGCTCACCTGAGTAACTTTGGCCATGCTGTTCATTACCAGACTTCCCCCCTTGTAATACCTATTGTGGCCCCGCCCTACCCCCGGGGGCCATGATTTGAACAATTTAGAATCTACACTCCCCCAGGATGCTTCCACATAAGTTTCAGTTTTTCTGGTCCAGTGGTTCTTGAGAAGATTTTTCCTATATATTTCAATGTTTCCCTATTGTGGCCCCGCCCTACCCCCGGGGTCATGATTTTAACAATTTGGAATCTACACTACCCCAGGATGCTTCCACATAAGTTTCAGCTTTTCTGGCTCAGTGGTTCTTGAGAAGAAGATTTTTAAAGATTCTTCCTATATATTTCAATGTAAAACTTGTATTCCCTATTGTGGCCCGCCCTACCCCCGCGGGTCATGATTTTAACAATTCAGAATCTACACTATTACAGGATGCTTCCACATAAGTTTCAGCTTTTCTGGCCCAGTGGTTCTTGAGAAGAAGATTTTTAAAGATTCTTCCTATATATTTCAATGTAAGACTTGTATTCCCTATTGTGGCACCGCCCTACCCCCGGGGGTCATGATTTGAACAACTTAGAATCTACACTATCCCAGGATGCTTCCACATAAGTTTCAGCTTTTCTGGCTCAGTGGTTCTTGAGAAAAAGAGTTTTAAAGATTTTTCCTATATATTTCAATGTAAAACTTGGATTCCCTATTGTGGCCCTCCCCTCCTACCCCCGGGGGTCATGATTTGAACAATTTAGAATCTACACTATCCCAGGATGCTTCCACCTAAGTTTCAGCTTTTCTGGCCCAGTGGTTCTTGAGAAGAAGATTTTTTAATGACCCCACCCTATTTTTGTCTTTTCTTGATTATCTCCCCTTGTAAGGGGACTTGGCCCTTTATTTTAACAATTTAAAGTCCCCTTTACCCAAGGGTACTTTGTACCAAGTTTGGTTAAAATTGGCCCAGTGGTTCTTGAGAAGTAGTTGAAAATGTGAAAAGTTTACAGACGGATGGATGGACGGACGACGGACAACGGGTGATCAGAAAAGCTCACTTGAGTTTTCAGCTCAGGTGAGCTAATAATCTAAAACAACATTTATAATGTTTCAAATATTAAAGCAATATTCCTAAAAATGCTTAGGTTGATTTCAACTTTAGACAATAAGTAGTGAATAATTGAATACTTTAATGTTTTATTTTGACAGATTAACATAAGCAAAATTATTAAAATTAAGACTTCGTCATAATGAAATGATCATGTACGTACACGTGAGAAAAAAAAGAATGCTTAAAAGTCAAGTGTACAGGATAACAAGAGGCCCAGGGGCCACATCGCTCACCTGAGCACTATGGCTAGGAAAAAGCAGAAATCACTTCAATCTTGAAAGGTTGAAAAGTTTAAATATAAAAGTGGTTTGGGGGGGGGGGGGGTGTCATGAATTGAACAAATTTGAATCTACATTATCTGAGGATGCTTCCATTTAAATATGACCAATCATGGCTTTGCTGTTCTTGAGTAGAAGATTTTTAAGGATTTAACCTATGTAAAACTTTGATCACCCATTGTGGCCCCATCCGACCCCCAGGGGTCATGTTTGAACAAGCTTGAATGTACACTATCTAAGAATGCTTCCATATAAATATGACCAATCATGGCTTTGCTATTCTTAACAAATAGTTTTTTTAAAGATTTTTACTATGTGTTCCAATGTAAAACTTTGATCGCCCATTGTGGCCCCACCCGACCCCCAGGGGTCATGATTCGAACAAATTTGTATGTACACTATCTGAGGATGCTACCATATAAATATGACCAATCATGGCTTTGCTATTCTTAACAAATAGTTTTTTTTAAAGATTTTTACTATGTGTTCCTATGTAAAACTTTGATCGCCCATTGTGGCCCCACCCGACCCCCGGGGGTCATGATTTGAACAAATTTGAATGTACACTATCTGAGGATGCTACCATATAAATATGACCAACCATGGCTTTGCTGTTCTTGAGAAGAAGATTTTTACTATGTGTTCCTATGTAAAACTTTGATCGCCCATTGTGGCCCCACCCGACCCCCAGGGGGTCATGAGTTGAATAAATTTGAATGTACACTATCTGAGGATGCTTCCATGTAAATATGACCAATCATGGCTTTGCTGTTCTTGAGAAGAAGATTTTTAAAGATTTTTCCTATATATTCCTATGTAAAACTTTGATCACCCATTGTGGCCCCACCCGACCCCTGGGGGTCATGATTTGAAGAAACTTGAATCTACACTATCTGAGGATGCTAACATATAAATATGACCAATTATGGCTTTGCTGTTCTTGAGAAGAAGATTTTTAAAGATTTTTCCTGTATATTTCCTATGTAAAACTTTGATCGCCCATTGCGGCCCCACCCTACCCCCGGGGGTCATGATTTGAACAAATTTAAATCTACACTACCTGAGGATGCTTCCACATAAGTTTCATGTTTTCAAGCACAGTGGTTCTTGAGAAGATTTTTTAATTTAATGCCATTCATTTGAACAAACTTGAATCCCCTTTACCCAAGGATACTTTGTGGCAAGTTTGGTTGAAATTGGCCCAGTGGTTCTTGAGAAGAAGTCGAAAATGTGAAAAGTTTACAGATGGACAGAGAGACGGACTACAGACAAAATGTGATCAGAAAAGCTCACTTGAGCCTTCGGCTCAGGTGAGCTAAAAAGTAAGTCTATAAGGATCACCTCAATGTGTTTTGATATCAAATAACCATGAAATATTCATGAAAATTTTCAAACTGCTAGTTTGTTACATTTATAAAATTATTACAAAAAATTCAAAACACTTGACAATATATGTGCACATTTGCCAATTTAATTATCCTTGTGATATAATATGCTGTACAACAGTTTGAGAGAGTATTAGGGCATTCAAAACATTAGCACCCAGAAATATCTTTCTGTCTTTTTCTAAAATGTCGGACTTCTTTAGGATCGAATCCTCTTTCTTCTGCTCCAAACACAGCCCACTCTGGTGTTGGTGCCATGTAATCCTCTGCAGAAAATTTCTGATTTCCTCCACTCTCTCTGTGCAGTTTGATCAGAGAGTGAAATTTTGGGTAGTCTATCCATGTCCACCACTTCCCCTCTACTAAAAACTTTTTGTGTGCAACTAGAACACAGTTTGAATGTTCATGTTCTGATGCAATCTCATAATTCCCATCTAATCTGTCCACCAGTTCTTGCACAAAGTTGACAACTTCTGTGTGCCATGGTACATTCTCCATTGTAAGATTAGATGCCTTTGACTCACCACAATAAGTGACACCCTTCACTTCAATAAAATCAGGTTTTCCTCTGGATACCAACTTTGCATAGCTATCCAATTCATCTGTATTCAAAGCTTTGACTAAAGTCAATCTGTAAACTGTTCTTTGACATTTCTCTGACAATGCATCAAGACTATCTAAGAATCTTTCCCAGAAGTCGCGAAATAAAGGACGATCTATTTTCTTCAGACTTTCTTTAGTGCTGGCGTCCACACTAACATACAACTGAGTGACTGGAGACAGTTCTCGTATTGCATCAGGGAACTGGGCATTGGTTACCAAAAATGTTGAAATCCCCTCATCATGCAAAAGATCAATAAACTTGCTTATTTTTGGATACATTATGGGTTCTCCAACGAGTGAAAGGGCACAGTGCTTAGGTGTCATGGCCTCAGAAAACCTTTCAGACTGAACACCAGGTACACCTTTAAATTGTTTAATAAGGCCCTTATGATTTTGTAAAGCTCCTTTTAGCACAAATTCAGCATCATCCATTTTCCATCGCCATTCTGTGCCAACAGGATTGGTATGGTGTCTCCAACAGAATACACATTTGTTGGCACAAGCTAGGCTTGGTGTTGTTTCCATGCATCTATGACTTTCAATGCCATAAAAGGTGTGCTTGTAGCATCCTCCTCTTCCACGCATCATTGACTTTGTCCATCTGCACAGTTTTACTCCCGAGTGTGATCCAATCAGTTTGTAACCTTGCTTTTCCAATGAAGTCTTTACAAGCGGAGTAATCATCTCAGTGGGTTCATTCTTTGATAAATCCTTTTTAGATTTTCCCATGACATTGCCCAGATCTTCAACATCAACAATGTCATTTTCAGATGTCTCTTCTTTGGATTCATCTTCACTCCCAGAATCTTCAGAGTTAGCTATATCCTTCTCTTGACAGCTGCACTGACTACCACATTTGGATTTATCATTATTACATGCATCTTTAGGGAGGTCAACAGAATGTTCATGCTTTAGTTTCTTCCAAAATTCTCTTTTCCAGGCAAAATAATCCTTTTCAAGTCCACCATTATCATCTCCAAGACCAACTGCCAAAATTCTCTGCCCAGACAGTTTATGTAGACAACTGTCAACTTTTTTAGCTACAGCATTAAAATTATTTCCATACAGAGAATTACCAAGACCAAACACAGCATACTGTAATTTGCGCAGTATACTTTTTTGCACTCTAAAATCCAAAGCACTTTCCTCTAGCCATTTCACAAACCATTCAGCTCCCTCTGGTGGTGCTCCTTCTGTGTATGTAGATATAAAAATCACTAGGTAATTCATACTTTCACTTTCAAATGCTAATTGTTCATCTGGATCATATTCTTTTATATTCATCACTTCACAGGTGTATCCTTTATAAACAGCATCTTTCCCAAACATGTCCGCAAAATGTTTGGATTTTCCAGTTTGAGTTCCATATAAAACTTTGATCTTCCTTTTGCTTTCTTTTCGTATTTTTTCATCTAATTTCCTTTCTTTCGAAGCCAAATTGTCGATATAGTTTGACTTGAAAGCGTTATACTTGTCAGTCTCCGTCTGTTTTGTCTTTCTCTTTCCATATAAAACCCATATTAAACACGCTGCTCCTAGCACAGCCGTAAAAATGGCCCAATTTGAAGTAAGCAATTCCTCAAACATCTTTTAACTCCCCTTCCTTTACTTGTCTATAAACTAAGAAAGGAAAACCATGAAACAGAAAAGGTAACTTTGACGTAAGAACTAAGAAACGGGCATGGTGACTTGTAATCTTCATCGACAAAATGTTTTAAAATATCTCGACTAAGAGTCAGTCAATGAAGCGTTAAGATGATTTAAACGTGTGCACTATTGATATATGTTAAATCGTACTTTTATTTTTCCTTGTTTACATGCAATGGGACCCTTCAATGTTTCCGTTTGATTAATAATCAGAATTTATCATAATGTATCGTAAATTTAGAAAAAATATACATTTAATTAGTGTTTTTATTAATTATTAAGGGATTTATTAATGATAGTATGTATACGAATCATTTCATGAATGATGAAGAATGAAAATTTTAAAATATGGCCGACAGAGGGGAAACGTCTACTCTGAAACACCGAAAAATAGAAAAAGAAGGTATATTTGTGAAATATTGTTACATGAAAAAGAAAGATTTTACATGGTTATTTCAAGTAATAACTTATGGAATCCAATTCTATGAGTAATTAAAAGGTATTGCCACAATATGGTTGAAATGCATTGGTGCTATGATATGTAAAAATATTTATTGACAGCTGGTTGAAAACTCGCAACCTGTTTAGTGCTTGTAGTATTTGTCTGAAATCGGTTGGGCATCAGATCATATAATTTTTGTCTCGGGCTGACGAGTATGTTTTCCTGAAATGATTTTGGAAACACAGATCTTTCAAATAAACCTTCTTTCTTTGCTCATACCAACGAATAATCTAACTGTGTCTCGGGACAAGCCCTCACCACAGTTAAAATACGTCCCATATACTTGCAATGTAGCAAATTGGAGCGGATCCACTCCCAAATGATTTTGAAGAACACAAAAGGAGTTGCACTGAAAATAACTACCAAATTAATCATAACAAACCTTTTTGAGATTGTATATTAGGGCTGAAACGGTACGCCCCCTCCACGATATGGTACGTATCGCAGTACTTGTGTCACAATTCAATTTTTTCAATACGATACATTTTAAAAAAGAAACAAATCATAAGGTTAAAGAAAACTTATTCAGATTTCAAAAGGCAAGTAAAAGGTGTTGATACAATATAGAGCACTACTTGTGCCTCTGTAGATTAAAAAGAGCACTTTGTTCATGTCAATACTAACAGTGGCAGCCTGCTCTGAAACTTTCTCCGTCACAATTTTCTCCCTCGTGTGTGTCAAACTATTAGAATGAGGTGGAACCAGATCTATTTCAAGGAGTAACCAAACCCGATTATAAAAAAAACGCACCAAACCAAAAATCGAGATAGTGAATTGAACATTGAACCGAGCAGTAATATTGAAAAATATTGATATTTCGATGAATCGTTTCAGCCCTATTGTATATGCCTTTTAACCTAAAAATTAATCCATATAATTACGAAAATTCAACTCATCTTCTCAATATGTCTTCCTCGCTTCAAATTTACACGCCATGTTTACATTCGGAACTCTCTGGATTGTTCATAGAAAAATGCAGAGAGTTTGAGTTATCGCCCATGTTTATTTTGCTACATTACCAATACACAGAACTAATTTTATCGTTAAACCTGGTCCGTAGGACAATATCATTTTAACGATAGAACATTCTATCTGATAACAATTCTGTAAACTCACTCCTAGGTCCTGTGGTGGAGGACCTGACTTTATACACTTTTTGCGTCTCACTATCAAATCACCGTGTTAAATGTTGGCATAAAACTCTCGTGAAATCTGTTGGTAATGCTGGGTAAATTTGTGTGCAAGACTTTGGACTGCCCATTGTCGGAAATCGTTAATTTGAATGATATCTAAATAGTGAAATAAATAAGAAAGATAATATCACAAACACCACTGTTTAGCATCATCATGTATATACTATATTTTTAACTCTTCTGAGCCAAAGGCTCAAAGAGCTAATGCTATGGCCATGTATGCGGTGTGCGTAAACTTTTTAGAATATGGGCCATAACTCAAAAACTCCTTGGCCAATTATTGTCAAATTTGTCACAGGGTATCCTTGGCCCAAGGGCTCCGGTTTATACAAAAACTAGGGTTGTGACCCTTAAACAAGGGGAGATAATTAGGTAAATAAAACCAAAAGTACTGGTTGCTGAAAACTCTTCTTCTCAAGAACCACAGGGCAAATTATCACCAAACTTACACAAAAGGATGAGGATATGTTGAAGATTAAAAATTGTTCAAGGCATCACCCTGGGGCAAAGGGCGTGGTTTCAAGGTCACTTCAAAATTGACCAAAAATTACATTTTATTATAACGTTGACATTTTGCTTACTATAAGGACTAGGATCATCAAATCTTGTCAGTTGATGCATCTTAGGACGTCATATCATGTTGACTCAGAAGTAGGTCACCTTGTCCTTCTTTTTAAAATTTGCAGCCACTCTTTTTCAAATTGATTTAGAGGAATATTTTGAACAATTTAAGGCCTATGATCATCAAACTTTGTCAGTTGATGTATCTTGGGTCCTTGGAGTATGTTAACTAAAAAGTAGGTCACCTTGTCCTACTTTTTGAATTTAATGCCTAATCTTTTTCAAAACATTTAAGGTCATTAATTCAAATACTGAGGGGTTTAGAATCATTGAATCTTGTAAGATGATGCATCTTGGGGCCATAAAACATATTTATTAAAAAGTAGGTCACAGTGACCTACTTTTTGAACTTTGCAGGCATTTGATTTCAAAGCATTTAAGAGGCATATTTTGGACATTTTAATGCCTATGATCATAAAACTTTGTAAATTGATGCATCTTGGGTCCTCAAACAATATCAACTGAAAAGTAGGTCACCGTGACCTACTTTTGAAATTTTATGACTATAATTAAATATTTCAGGTACTAATTGGCCTAGAATCATCAAACTGTCAGTTGATGCATCTTAGGTCTTCGGAGTAAGACGACTGAAAAGTAGGTCACCTTGACCTTCTTTTGAAAATTTATGGCTTTAATTAAATATTTCAGGTACTAATTAGCTTAGAATCATCAAACTTTGTCAGTTGATGCATCTTGGACCCTCGGAGTACGACAACTGAAAGGTAGGTCACTGGGACCTACTTTTGAAAATTAATGGCTTTAATTAAATATTTCAGGTACTAATTGGCTTAGTATCATCAAACTTTGTCAGTTGATGCATCTTGGGTCCTCAAAGTATGTCAACTAAAAAGTAGGTCACTGTGACCTACTTTTGAAATTTTATGGTTATAATTAAATATTTTAGGTATTAATTGGCTTAGAATCATCAAACTTTGTCATTTGTTGCATCTTGGGTCCTCAAACAATGTCAACTGAAAAGTAGGTCACTGTTACTTACTTTTGAAATTTTATGGCTATATAAATATTTCAGGTACTATTTGGCTTAGAATCATCAAACTAAGTTAGTTGATGCATCTTGGGTCCTCAGAGAATGACAAGTGATAAGTAGGTCACCATGACCCACTCCCAGGTACTAATTGGCTTAGAATCATCTTGGGTTCTCAGTTGGAATTTCAAGGCTTTATCTAAATATACAGGATACTTAGAGGCTTCAAATAGAAGTGGTAGGTTGTACAGTTTATCAGAAGAGCGATTCAAGGCCCTTAGGCCTCTTGTATAGAATTCAGTGTTAATTTAGAACAGTCTAGCAAGGTACAAAGATATCCGCTGGCCCAGACTTGACCTCAGTAGATCTGATTTTCATGTTAACCAGTGCTGAATTTTTGTATCCCCTGGAACTTGTACCCTTTCCCATTTGATGTCAATCTAAAGTTGAAATTTTATTACACATTTTATTTGTTAAGAAGAGCTGGAAACTGTGTGATACCGTTATCTTTCATACTTCATCAGTAGAAAAATATCACTCACTCAATCAAATTATTGTTAATTTTTTTTTCAGATTTACATCATACATAGTAATGTAATACTCTGAATATAGACTGAGCTTTGCAAAATGAAATGTTCCTTTGCATGAAAATCACATACATTGTACATTATTTGTAGAATACGATGCTATATATTTTATAATGTCCATGCTCTTTTAGCTGATGAAGGGACTCAGTACACAGAGATCCGACCGAGGGAGACGGATCAAAGCAGCAGCACAAAGCCATTAGTTATACTGGGTCTAGTGTTTGTGTCCTCCATTGTGTGTTTGGGACTTGTTTACCTCAGCTTTCCAAATCTAGAACAGTATGTATGGTGCTTTTTATTGAAATCTGCATTAATCATATTAAATCTAGTATTTTGGAAAATTAACCATTTGAAATTTTTTTGGTGATTGTAATATATATAAATTCCAGTTTGCTCTCTAGCCGTAGGCTAACAAACATTAAGAAATTACAATCATATTTTACAAATAGGGGTGAAACAATAAACCTCCTTCACGGTTTGATACGTATTGTATAATTTTGTCTCGGTGCGGTTCTTTTCAGTACAATACATTTTGATAGAAGAAAACAAATTCAACGTTGTTTTATGCTTTCTTTTACTAAATCTAGTCACTTAATTTACGAATTCTGTTTGCAAAATGACTAGAAGAAATTGATTAGAATTATTTGACTGTCAAAAATTATTTTACAAACTATCAGTCCTCAAAAATTTACATTTTCTCTTCTTACTTATATGGAGTAAAGTGTTTTACCTTATGCCAAACCCGACTGGATAATGATCCCGACCGAAAAATGAACCGAATTGAAAATTAGATTTTGCATGGTGTATCAAACCGAGAAAAAATACTGCAGTGAATGGATACTGCGGTGAACCGTTTCACCCCTATTTACAAAGTTAACAATGATATTCTGCAGAAGTTAGCTATCATAGGCAGAATTGAATACTTTATTATTACCATGTGCATCTCTATTCAATGTTGATATTCTGTCTCTTAGGTTTGTTTAAGCATTGAATTTGTAAGTTTTGGATGTGTAACATTTCATATAACAGATGGCTGCACTGACAAAGTGAATAATGCACAGTAATGTGTTTTAAGAATTTGTCTGCACAGCTGTCTGAGTTACATGTATGACACGTTTAATGTCCAAAATTTACAATTCAGTGCTTATATTTACATTTATTAATTTCATGGTTCATTGTAGATTGATAAAATATTATTTCTTTGAGTTCAATATACCTTTTAAAATGATACACATTGCACATCTAAATTGAGGGAACACCCATTACTGTTCAATGTGAGCATGGAATTTCGTTCATGACTTTGCGCTTGTACAGCATTTAACATTTGTGACTTCAAAATAAAATCATTTCTTTAGCCTTTTGACCTAGCCATCTGTGTTATGATGTTTTGAATGAAGAAACCTTCAACACTCTTTATAGGGAAAATACATATGGAAGAATGTAAAAGATATGTATTTTTTAGTTTACAGAATCATAAAGTTTACCCTTTGCAGTTGCAGTTATTAAGAGAAATCTTTGTGTTGTATTTCAGAGATGAAAAGCAACACATAAAGCTTCCCAGGAACATAGAAGATGCAAAGAATTTAGGAAAAGTTTTATCCCGATATAAGGACTCCCATTATAACCAAGTGTTGGGAGGCTACTTCATAACATATATATTGTATCCTTACTGTAGTTGGTAACTTGATTGACACTTCTCAAATGGGTTATACATAGATACACTGGCTTTAGCTCCCACTTTGCATGATGACATGTTATACATGTATTAGTCTTTGTTTTTCATTAATTAGTGCTTGTACATCGTTTAGAAAAGAAAATCAGTAGTATGTTTTATGTGAATTATAGAGTTTAAACAATGGTTATTTTATTTGAAATGAAAAAAGATATCATTTTGCAGGATAATTGGTGATCATTATTACAGATGATATTAGTTATGATTATTTGATATTCTTGTCTTCAAAATTAAGCAATAGTCTCAAGACTAAGTAAAACAGACTCAGACTTGGGGCTTATTGATAATAACCCTGGCATCCAGGTTCGGTAAAGGACCCTTTCCCAATTGAAAATTAGCTCTTTATTTATGTGAAAATTCCCAAATGACAAGCAGATTGAATTTTTCAGTGCTTTTTATATTTAAAAAACTTCAATTTTGAGATTATAATAATGCATGAAAATGTGAATAGGGAATAAGCCTCTTTATTCAACAGTTAAACGTTATATAAGACAAAAAATATTTCCAAATTTTGCTAACATCTTGGTTTTAAATTCCCAATTGGAAAGGGTGTAGGACTCTGTACCAAAAAGGGTCAATTAAACCCTGAGACTTTTAAGATTTGAATCATTTTTAAAGCAGAACCTTATCAGTACTGTAGTGATGGGGATTGGTAAGGATTTCATAGTCAGTGATTGGTTTTCTGTATCTAATTATTTATAGTTATTAATAAACAAAAAATTCCAGTATAAACAACTGAGATAGAGAGTAAATCCGTGTGAAAATTAACATTTCCTAAGCAGAATTTTTTTTCTGCTCTTGTTACTAACATAAAATATACCCAGTATTGGTGAAAAAAAATATGCACCAGTACCAAGCACCTTTTGTAGGGTTTTTTGATAAAAACAGAACACCTGACTAATTATTAATTAAATTTTTAAATATATGTCTTTGATTACTTTGATCAACCATCGACTGATTTTCATTTATAATCAATGATTGGAACAACACTACCTAATGGAGTTTAAGATTTGAATTGTTTTCATTAAATTACTTCTTTTTGGAAAAAAAATATTTCAGATTGAAATATCCTTGTAATTGTGGCAATGAAAAATAATGTGGAAAGAGAAATTTAAACATACACGTATCTCTGTTTTCGTACTTTTGAGCCTGTTCTGGTCTCGTTTAGTAACCTTTAAGGTGTACAGGCCAGAATGGCCATCTCACTGTATTTTCACAGACTGATTGTTGATACATACATGTATCATCTGTAAGAGGTATAAACCTTGACTTGATAACAGCTTACAATCCTTTGCTATACCTGGGTCAATATTCCTCAGTATTCTCTCTGGATTTCTATTTCCGTTCCAGTTAGCTCTCTTTCTTGTTTGCTTGGTGAGTACTTTTTTCCCCAATCAAATGAAGTAATGCTATAAACTAACAAATTTTGATTTCAGTGTTATACAATGTACATTTACGGCTACATTTAAGTATTATTCGATGTTGGTAGCACATTTTTTTGTACATGTGAAAGGCTAAAAATGAAAAATGTCATTGAATATGCCAAATTTTTCATTCAAGATCTTTTACCCTAAATATGATGTGTGTTAAACATTTCATTGAATCTGTTTGCAGTGCTCAGGAATTGGTGCTTCTTTCTGTTATTTGATGTCGTATCTAGTAGGACGAAGACTCGTGGCTAAATATATCCCAGATAGAATAGCAGAGTGGCAGTCACATGTAAGGAATATCTCACTTAATAGATATCCTTCTCTCAGATATCTACCTTAATACATGTCCTTCTCTCAGATATCTACCTTAATACATGTCCTTCTCTCAGATATCTACCTTAACTCTTTACCCCTTTCGCTGTTTGACGTAATAGTAGCATTACATTTATCAATTTTTGATGACGTTATCCTTTTCCCCGCAGCGCAGTTGCGATTACGTGCAGAAAAGACGTGATTCCGAACGTAGAGTTTACAATGTGTATACATGTAGCATTTTTCATTGTAAAATATGATGTTCATTATTGTAAATCATTGTCGTAATTTGCGCATCCATTTGTAACTTAAATTAAAATATTTTTAATGGTCATTTTATCCTGTTTATTTTGTTTATATCATTCTTTTGTGTGGATGGTGTTATACATTTGTAATAAAATATCATAGCTTTGTACTTTATTAATAAGCTTATTAACTCTAAAACTTTGCTCGAAATATTTGTTAAATTACTCAACTGGGTTCCATTTTTTGTACTGATATTGAAGTGAGAGACAACCACATTTTCGTAGTCCCCCCTTTATTTCTTCGGTCACATGCCCATCAGTTTATCGAAACTTGCAAAATTTTCTGGTAAATAAGAAAAGAAATGAGACCAGAAGCATAACCACTCTTAAAGATTTTCATAACAGTTAACTTATATAATTTTGACAGGAAAAAGTTGACAAACTAGTGTTTGTAACTTATAAAAAGTATGTGAAAGTTTCATTTGAATTACTCTTAATATTTTACTGGACAATAGTAATTAACTAAAAGTAGTAAATTTATTTCATCTGATATCTTTACACCTATGTACATGTACATGTCCGCTACAATAAAAAAAAAGAGCACGTTAAAAAACCGTGAAATAAAGAAACGCACTTTTTATCTTAAAGTGGACCTTGCATAAAGCACATCGAAATGCAGCATTTTTCTTTCTTAGTTATGGACATAAAACAGTTTTTTTTTAAACGATAAAATCGTTTAGAAGAGAATCGTAAAACTAGTGGGACGAAGAGGTCGGTACTCGGTAGCATTTTTAAATAGTGTCGGAAGTATTCGGAAGTATTCCGATTAGTTGTTGAGGAAATCAGGCCTTTTGTAAGTTATATATATTTTTTCCTTGGACTTGGAACGGTTTCTATTTTAAAAATGCATTAATGGTACTTGCATTTATCGAGAAATATAGAGAGTATTTCAACCATTTTTGCTAGGCATGTCAGCAGAATACATTTTACCATCGTAGTCAGACTTCTATGGCATGATGATTTTTTTTTAAAAATTTATACGTCAAACATGTATGCGTATTTATATCGAATTCAATCAAACGCACACAACAAAGCAAAATTAAATAAAATCGGAAAATGATATATATATTAAAATTAATTTATCTGACATTATTCAGGATCTACCTGGTTTTACATGTAGTGCGTAGTGGATACAGATTTTTGAATACCTGATTTTGTGACTGCGCCATTACCCTACTAACATATTAAGGACATACATAACGTAGTTTGAACTTTATTGTCTTTTTCCCTGGAGTTGAAGAGTTCCAATACTTAAAGGAATTGTGTGCTACATTTGTATGTCTATATATGCTATTGTGCACTTCTTCTAAAACAAGTTTGGATAAACAAAACATCTAGAATGTGTGTTTAGTAATTTTTAGCTCTACTGGTCAGAGACCAGAAGAGCTTATGCGATAGTAAGGTGTCCGTCGTCCGTCCGTCTGTCTGTCTGTCTGTCTGTCCGTCTGTCTGTAAACAATTTTTCAAAACGCTACTCCTCCTACAGTTTTGGTCCGATTTCAATATAACTTGGCACACAAGTAGACTACACTAAGATACATAATTTAGTGCATCGGTTTTTGATTTCGATGGACGGTGTTGCCATGGTTACTAAAAATAGAAATTTCTGTGAAATTCCTTTAAAACGCTACTCCTCCTACAGTTTTGGTCCGATTTCAATATAACTTGGCACACAAGTAGACTACACTAAGATACATAATTTAGTGCATCGGTTTTTGATTTCGATGGACGGTGTTGCCATGGTTACTAAAAATAGAAATTTCTGTGAAATTCCTTTAAAACGCTACTCCTCCTACAGTTTTAGTCCGATTTCAATATAACTTGGCACACAAGTAGACTACACTAAGATACATAATTTAGTGCATCGGTTTTTGATTTCGATGGACGGTGTTGCCATGGTTACTAAAAATAGAAATTTCTGTGAAATTTCTTTAAAACGCTACTCCTCCTACAGTTTTGGTCCGATTTCAATATAACTTGGCACACAAGTAGACTACACTAAGATACATAATTTAGTGCATCGGTTTTTGATTTCGATGGACGGTGTTGCCATGGTTACTAAAAATAGAAATTTCTGTGAAATTCCTTTAAAACGCTACTCCTCCTACAGTTTTGGTCCGATTTCAATATAACTTGGCACACAAGTAGACTACTCTAAGATACATAATTTAGTGCATCGGTTTTTGATTTCGATGGACGGTGTTGCCATGGTTACTAAAAATAGAAATTTCTGTGAAATTTCTTTAAAACGCTACTCCTCCTACAGTTTTGGTCCGATTTCAATATAACTTGGCACACAAGTAGACTACACTAAGATACATAATTTAGTGCATCGGTTTTTGATTTCGATGGACGGTGTTGCCATGGTTACTAAAAATAGAAATTTCTGTGAAATTCCTTTAAAACGCTACTCCTCCTACAGTTTTGGTCCGATTTCAATATAACTTGGCACACAAGTAGACTACACTAAGATACATAATTTAGTGCATCGGTTTTTGATTTCGATGGACGGTGTTGCCATGGTTACTAAAAATAGAAATTTCTGTGAAATTCCTTTAAAACGCTACTCCTGCTACAGTTTTAGTCTGCTTCTAATATAATTAGGCATACAAGAAGAGTATACTAAGATACATAATTTATTGCATTGGTTTTTGAATTCGATGAACAGTGTTGCCATGGTTACATAAAATAGAAATTTCTGTGAAATTCCTTTAAAATGTTACTCCTCCTACAATTTTTGTCTGATTTCAATCTAATTTGGCACACAGTTAGAATACACTACAATACATAATATGTATTTCTGTTTTTTTTTATTTGGGTGAATGGTGTTGTCATGGTTACTAGAAATAGAAATTTCCATGAAATACTTTCAAAACGCTACTACTCCTAGTTTTCATTTGATTTCAATATAACTTGTCACAAAAGTAGACTACATTAAGATACATAATTCTATTTATTGTTGCATGTTGCAATGTTTCAAATCCAAGTGCTACTTTTCTTTTGTTATACAAACAGACCAGTAGAGCTACAGTCTCATCAGAGACTTCTGGTTGTGTATTTTTCTTTGAATTATACAAGAATTTTTATCAATTGATATCTTTTCAAAACCCCTGGTAATGCATTCTGATTTTTTGTCGACGAACATCTGATGGCACTATAATCTTAAATTAATAATATTTTGAAAAATTACCAGTAGGTAAGGTACGTTGCGTATGTCCTTAATATACAATTTAAAACAAATAAATACATTTCTTTGATTTAATTATTTTGTTTGTTTACCTTATATACAATTTTAACAGAAAAAAGTTCATGTTGATAAGAGAGAATAAAAGAATGTCTCAATAATTTCCAAACAGCCCTCCTTCTTAGATAGCAGTTGATCGAAAATGTTTAACCCCCCCCCCCCAACCTCCCACCCCACCCCGCTTCTCCGAGCGCGAGGAACGAACTTTCAATCGCCTTAATGCATAAATTCTAATATATAGGGGTGAAGCAGGAGTGGTTAACAATACATTTAGAGAGTGACTGTCAAATATGTCAAATCGCCATCTTGCCTGTGCAAGACATATACATGCAAGATGGCGGATGAATACCAACAGACGGCGTCGTCCCCCTCTGGATAGTTTTGATAGAATACATTATTTTGTCTAGAGCTTTGTATAAATTCTATTTCTAGTGTAGGCAATGTATACATACAGGAACCAATGTAGATTTTTAGCTCTACTGGTCAGAGACCAGAAGAGCTTATGCGATAGTAAGGTGTCCGTCGTCCGTCCGTCTGTCTGTCTGTCTGTCTGTCTGTCTGTCCGTCTGTCTGTAAACAATTTTTCAAAACGCTACTCCTCCTACAGTTTTGGTCCAATTTCAATATAACTTGGCACACAAGTAGACTACACTAAGATACATAATTTAGTGCATCGGTTTTTGATTTCGATGGACGGTGTTGTCATGGTTACTAAAAATAGAAATTTCTGTGAAATTCCTTTAAAACGCTACTCCTCCTACAGTTTTGGTCCAATTTCAATATAACTTGGCACACAAGTAGACTACACTAAGATACATAATTTAGTGCATCGGTTTTTGATTTCGATGGACGGTGTTGTCATGGTTACTAAAAATAGAAATTTCTGTGAAATTTCTTTAAAACGCTACTCCTCCTACAGTTTTGGTCCGATTTCAGTATAACTTGGCACACAAGTAGACTACACTAAGATACATAATTTAGTGCATCGGTTTTTGATTTCGATGGACGGTGTTGCCATGGTTACTAAAAATAGAAATTTCTGTGAAATTCCTTTAAAACGCTACTCCTCCTACAGTTTTGGTCCAATTTCAATATAACTTGGCACACAAGTAGACTACACTAAGATACATAATTTAGTGCATCGGTTTTTGATTTCGATGGACGGTGTTGTCATGGTTACTAAAAATAGAAATTTCTGTGAAATTTCTTTAAAACGCTACTCCTCCTACAGTTTTGGTCCGATTTCAATATAACTTGGCACACAAGTAGACTACACTAAGATACATAATTTAGTGCATCGGTTTTTGATTTCGATGGACGGTGTTGTCATGGTTACTAAAAATAGAAATTTCTGTGAAATTTCTTTAAAACGCTACTCCTCCTACAGTTTTGGTCCGATTTCAATATAACTTGGCACACAAGTAGACTACACTAAGATACATAATTTAGTGCATCGGTTTTTGATTTCGGTGGACGGTGTTGCCATGGTTACTAAAAATAGGAATTTCTGTGAAATTCCTTTAAAACACTACTCCTGCTACAGTTTTAGTCTGCTTCTAATATAATTAGGCATACAAGAAGAGTATACTAAGATACATAATTTATTGCATTGGTTTTTAAATTCGATGAACAGTGTTGCCATGGTTACTTAAAATAGAAATGTCTGTGAAATTCCTTTAAAACGTTACTCCTCCTACAATTTTGGTCTGATTTCAATCTAATTTGGCACGCAGTTAGAATACACTACGATACATAATATGTATTTCTGTTTTTTTTTATTTGGGTGAATGGTGTTGTCATGGTTACCGGTACTAAAAATAGAAATTTCCGTGAAATGCTTTCAAAACGCTACTACTCCTAGTTTTCATTTGATTTCAATATAACTTGTCACAAAAGTAGACTACATTAAGATACATAATTCTATTTATTGTTGCATGTTGCAATGTTTCAAATCCAAGTGCTACTTTTCTTTTGTTATACAAACAGACCAGTAGAGCTACAGTCTCATCAGAGACTTCTGGTTTAAATTACATTTTGTACATGTGGAAGCGGTTGATAAGTGAATAGGTACATGTATGTGATATACTGACATACTATAAATGTACTAAAAGTCGGATCAAGGATTTCCGAGTATATTTCTAAGGGAGTCTATACCCACTTATTCAACTAAGAATTTTGTTGAGACATAAATTTTATAAATGACAGGTGTCCATGCATATGTTTATGTTTTCTTTAAAAAAAATGGATGGATATAACTTTATTCTTTTCTTGTTTTTAGCTCTACTGGTCAGAGACCAGAAGAGCTTATGCAATAGTAAGGTGTCCGTCGTCCGTCCGTCTGTCTGTCTGTCTGTCTGTCTGGCCGTCTGTCTGTAAACAATTTTTCAAAACACTACTCCTCCTACAGTTATGGTCCGATTTCAATATAACTTGGCACACAAGTAGACTACACTAAGATACATAATCTAGTGCATTGGTTTTTGATTTCGATGGACGGTGTTGTCATGGTTACTAAAAATAGAAAATTCTGTGAAATTCCTCTTAAAACGCTACTCCTCCTACAGTTTTGGTCCGATTTCAATATAACTTGGCACACAAGTAGACTACACTAAGATACATAATTTAGTGCATCGGTTTTTGATTTCGATGGACGGTGTTGTCATGGTTACTAAAAATAGAAATTTCTGTGAAATTCCTTTAAAACGCTACTCCTCCTACAGTTTTGGTCCGATTTCAATATAACTTGGCACACAAGTAGACTACACTAAGATACATAATTTAGTGCATCGGTTTTTGATTTCGATGGATGGTGTTGCCATGGTTACTAAAAATAGAAATTTCTGTGAAATTTCTTTAAAACGCTACTCCTCCTACAGTTATGGTACGATTTTAATATAACTTGGCACACAAGTAGACTACACTAAGATACATAATTTAGTGCATCGGTTTTTGATTTCGATGGACGGTGTTGCCATGGTTACTAAAAATAGAAATTTCTGTGAAATTCCTTTAAAACGCTACTCCTCCTACAGTTTTGGTCCGATTTCAATATAACTTGGCACACAAGTAGACTACACTAAGATACATAATTTAGTGCATCGGTTTTTGATTTCGATGGACGGTGTTGCCATGGTTACTAAAAATAGAAATTTCTGTGAAATTCCTTTAAAACACTACTCCTGCTACAGTTTTAGTCTGCTTCTAATATAATTAGGCATACAAGAAGACTATACTAAGATACATAATTTATTGCATTGGTTTTTGAATTCGATGAACAGTGTTGCCATGGTTACTTAAAATAGAAATTTCTGTGAAATTCCTCTTTAAACATTACTCCTCCTACAATTTTGGTCTGATTTCAATCTAATTTGGCACACAGTTAGAATACACTACGATACATAATATGTATTTCTGTTTTTTTTTATTTGGGTGAGTGGTGTTGTCATGGTTACCGGTACTAAAAATAGAAATTTCCGTGAAATACTTTCAAAACGCTACTACTCCTAGTTTTCATTTGATTTCAATATAACTTGTCACAAAAGTAGACTACATTAAGATACATAATTCTATTTATTGTTGCATGTTGCAATGTTTCAAATCCAAGTGCTACTTTTCTTTTGTTATACAAACAGACCAGTAAAGCTACAGTCTCATCAGAGACTTCTGGTTCTTTTTTCGATTACTTCACGATGTGTAGATTTAATTGCTCTGAAAATAAGGGGGGGGGGGTGTCGAGCAGCCCTACCCCCTTCCTATAGATTTGCACCAAGTAGTCTTTCAACTTTTAGTTTTAGGTATTAACTGGATTCATTATCATCACTTTTTTGATGCAAAAGTGTTTGTTTATACAAAAAAGGAAAATATGTTGACCAAAAAAAAAAAAAAAATCGAGAGCATTTGTCCCCGTTTGGTTTGTAGACATTGCCTATGCTCTTTGTAATATTGTTCATGATTTGACGGATTCTAAATGAAAGTTCACCGGAAACATCTATGATCTAGCACTTTGTGTGTGTGTTGGGGGGGGGGTCAAAAAATTAATATAGATTGACAGACAAACAAACAAGTATAATTATAAAGATATCTGTATAATTTTATAATGATGGCAGATCAAAACTTTCAATGCACTTTCAATTCAATTTAACTTGAACATTGACCAGTTCTAAGACCAGTCTATTATTTTGTATCCTTACGCTTTTACTGTATTTCAACAAGCCCTGCTTTGAAAAAATATCAAACAAGTATCTAGTATACCAGCAATCAAATTTTCCTGAGTACCTTGTTTTTGCTTATATATTTTTGAAAATCAAAATGTCAATCAAAGTTATTAAAGTGCAACACTCGCTCTCTCTCTCTCTCTCTCTCGGTTTTTTTAATGTTTAAAATACTGGTTTGATAAAATTAATCTAAATTAAAAACATTTTACTTTCTCTTTCAATAATTTTCATTTGTTTCTGTTTTCTGTATGTATGTGCACATGTATTCCGTGTGATTTACATTTACTGTGGAAGGCGGGAAAAATGTTTCAGGTTGTATTTTTACGAATACATGTATTTGAATCAAACAAGAAAATCAGAATAAGGTAAAACAAAGAGTTATTTTATTATTGTAATCCTTTTTCGTCACATGCTGCAATACGAATACAACACACAAGTACTTCTGTCGTAATTTTATTGGTTCCCACTGTCATTTTCATCAAAACAGTAATTCAAAAAAAAAAAAAAAAAAAAAAAAAATCATTTTTCTAATTTAGTAAATTCTGGATATAGGTCCCCACCTCCCACAAAAATGGAGCTCATCCACACCTAAAACAGATCCCATGCCAGTGGTTCCGGTGTTGTGTCTTTAGAGTCAATAAAAAGGCTTTCGTACATGTAACATGACTCTCCCCCAAAGTATCGTCAAAAAAATCGGGCCACTGGGACATATTAAAAAACAGAAATTTATTCTTCTTCTCAAAATATTTTAGAATAAAATTACAAAATTTATTACCGAATCATTCAATATCGAAATAATCAAAACTTTACGCATTATTAGACTGCGGGGAAGGGGGTTAATACATGTCCTTCTCTCAGATATCTTCTATAGAAAGCTAGAGTTAATAGATATCCTTCTGACAGATATCTTCTGTATAAAATCTAGAATTAATATACATCCTTCTGTCAGATATCTTCTATAATTATGTAGCTTGTGAGTTTTGTCAGGTTGCTTTTAAATTAACTGAAGTATCCTTTTACGTGGTCCAAGTTTTATCAGACTTGAATGACTACTGTAGAAGCACAAATTTTTGTGGGGATAAAATTTCGTTGATTTCTCATCTAAAAAGATTTCGTGGGAATTAAATTTCATAGTTTCGAAAGTAACTTTAACTAATATATAGTCAATAAAAAAATGGTGTGGGATTTAATTTCGTTGATGATTAATAACAACGAAATTTAATCCCCAACAAATATTTCTACTTTTACAGTATTACTTAGGGTAATATGAAAAAATCTGTCTATATGCCAACTTTTCTGTATCAAAAAAACTCACAAGACTATGGACTTTATCAATATAAAGCTTATGTAGCATATTGTTTTAGTAGGGTTTCACAGAGGAGTTAAAGATTTTATTATAAGAGAATTAATCCCCAAAATGTCTGGAACTACATGTACATATGAATGGAACTCACTGTCACGAGATGTGACCTATCATTTGGAACTATATTAGAGTAAAGTTGCTGTAACATACCTGAATTTCTCTCTATTCAAAAAGAGATTTTTTTCTCCATTATCTCATGAAAGAACTGAGAGAAAAAAAAGTGCAAATGTATTTTTTTCAATATTGCTAAGAAGTACATGAACCTTATGACCAAGTCAGTTGTGCCTTGAACATGGTTGTTTTTCATAAACGACTTTCTTGTCACAATCCAACCCAGAATAGAGTTGATAGTAATGTTGAAAAAGTCATTATAAAATATAATAAAATATAGGTATAAATAAAAGTACTTTTTATCATAAACGTCATGGATGTTTTCATATAAAAGTTTGATAAAATCACTCATTTTTTTTAGTTACTCCACATTTGTATTATTAAACTTCATGAATGAATGACAAAAACCTATTGTATGATTGGATTGACTGCACTGATTTTTTCCAATTGTTGATTCTTTCAGGTAAATAAACACAGAGATCACCTGTTGAACTACATTATATTTCTGCGGATCACACCATTCCTTCCTAACTGGTTTATTAACATAGCCTCACCAGTGATAAATGTACCTATTCTACCATTCTTTGTGGGAACTTTTCTTGGTAAGTCATAACACATGAAACCTACTTTTAGCCTAGTGATACTTACATTATTTCTGCAGATGCTCTTGTCTGCAGAGAGTAAATTTATAATTTTATGCATTGTGTTCATAATGGTAAATTTAAAATACCTGTAATTTTTTTTCTATTCCAACATGAGATTCTAAAGGGTATTGCTTAACTATTAAAACCCAAATACATGTACATGCAAATGAACAAGATATCAAATGCAATTTTAAGGAATGATGACGAATATATATGATGTGACAAGTGTTTTATATCATGACAGGAGTTGCTCCCCCTTCTTTTGTGGCCATTCAAGCGGGAACAACTTTACATCAGCTGACCTCCTCAGGGGATGCAGTGTCCTGGACTTCTGTGTGTGTTCTGGGGTTGTTTGCTCTTCTGTCATTGGTGCCAGTTCTTCTGAAGAAAAAACTGCAGGAAAAATTTGATTGATGATAGTAGAACCTTAGATCTCTTATTGTTTATCTCAATGTAGAATTAAATTGTTTATTTTATTCTTATTTATTGGAGTAAATACATGTATCTTCTAGGGATGTCAATTTCACTAGCCTAGTTGCATAATCAGGGGCTTTAGTTGAACGACAGTCAACTACTCATTAAATTTAGTTTTTCTTATGTCAGTTTATCTTTGTGTCTTTCAGACTGCTTGTACACTCAACATTTAAACCAAGCTACCATCACATACAACATATTTCTCAATACAAGTATTTGCTTACTTTGCAGTGGGCTTACTAGAAATACCTGTACTACTTGTATCTAAATTCAAGTTATTTTTTTACCATATATTTTATCCAAATACACTTTAGTAAATACTATGCATATGGCTCGTCATCATTTTCTCTAAACACTAATACAGGTGATTGATCTGTACATCTTAAGCCATTGAAACATTTCTATTTACAGCTAAATTTTTGACCTGCGACTGGAAAACAGTCTGATTGTATTTATGAAAACATCAAAAACTAGTGATGAGTCCTAATTATGCAAACTATATCCATCAAGAAATAAATTCATAATAGACATCAAAAGAAATATCAACGTATGCACACATCCGTATCCCCTATTACAGGTATGCTAAAGTATGTAATCATTTCTATTCCAAAAAAAAATAACTTGATTCACAACATAGAGGAGGGTCTAGGCTTTGACACCAACAGAGCGGATCAGAATGAAATCTCTTAATTTATTAACTTGTATTTAGACTTATTATTAAAAAGCAAATTTCTAACAAATAACTGAGTAATAATATTTAGTTGATAGTCGGCATGACCGAGTGATAATAAAGTACCCTGTGACATCCTTAGTGCATGTATATTCCTATCATACTTTTTTTTTTTTTTACTGAATTTCGGGTCATACATCTTTGAATGTGTTCAGCTAAGTGTTTTATTATTTTAATTCTTTTAAAGATTTAACACATATGTTACTTGCAACTGATATAAATTGTAGCTCATTTGTAAATATGAATTGGGTCATTAAGAGTAAGGTATGGTGGTTTTAATCAATATGTTTGAAATTTTAGCAGTTTTATTTTAAATTATCTTTGAGAATGCTAGATTTCTATTATGCATGTTTTTTTCTGTAATGCATGGTTTAAGTGTAATCGATTGTGTTTCTCTCAAATAGTAAACATAGTGTTAAAAAACTTCAAGGGAAACCAGAAATCAAAGTATGTCTACAATAACCTATCTGTATTTAATATTTAAGGGAAAAATACGACTTGATTGTAAGCGAATATTCAGTGCAACTTTCATCACTAAATTCAAGAAAAGATTTTATCAGGCATTAAGCAGACATATATTCAAATCTTGTCCTAAGATACCTTTTTTTTAAAGTAATTAAATTTTTTTTTATCAAAGTGAACAAAGAACACTTTGAACAATTGAATTAATATTGAAAAGAAGCTTGAAATAAATTATAAATCTTTGCAAATTTACAGTGTAAATACTGGTATTACTCTGAATAGAATTTAAAAAAAAGTTTTGATAAAAATTTGGAAACTACATATAGGTGGGTATTTGCATATCAAAGTTGTCTCTCAGTATCACATTTTTAAAAAAATTTTTGTACATGTATTTGAAATATAATGCATATTCTAGAGTCATTGTATGCCTATTTATCAAATGTACATTGCACTGTTTCTGTTTTTTTTTTTGTTTAAACATAGCTGAAGTAGAAAAATCTGATATGTGTATCTTGTATTGTCAAGTGATTTTGCTTACCATGGCCAAGGCTCATGTGTGTTTTTCTGGTCAAATATTCTAAAACATTTGTCTGTCTCTGGCGATTGTCTTCCTTATTCTTGCTTTTTCTCCAGAACATCTATGCCAATTCAAACATCACATATAATGAAGCATTACTGAATAAGAAGAATCTACTTTTACAAATCAAGAGCTGTGTCCACTTTTAAAGGGTGATAATTGTTTTGAACAGTGAAAATGGGGTGGTCATTTAGAAATTAATCCGATAAAAACCGATAAATCAAACATTACTCAAAAGCTTCCTAACATATAATGTTCAATTTTATAATCATTGCCCCTAGACTAGGGCAGGAGCATAATAAGGAAAATTGTAGGAAATCTACACTATTTTTGTTGCCAAGGTGAGCAGGACTACAGGTGGTTAAATTTATATGCAAGCATTCCTCTCTCTCTCTCTCTCTAAATATATATTTCAAAACACGCTTATAGCAAAGTGCCAGGGACGGACAATTTTTTTTTGGTATTTCTGTTAAGTTCATGATATAATTTAAAGCCACAGAGAATTAAAATCACTTCACTGTAAGTGTCAGAACAATATTATAGTGTATGCTTTAAGCGCATTTTACCGTATATAATATGTGAAGTCAGCTTGGACCACAATAGGGTTTTTTAGGTCACCTGAGTCACTCAGGTGACCTATTGCTATGTGTTTTTGTCTTTCGTCGTACGTCGTTCGTCGTCAATCGGTCGTAAACTTTTGAACATTTTTAGCTTCTTCTCTGGAACCGCTGAACCAATTTCAACCAATTTTGGCATATAGCATCTATGGGTGAAGGGGAGTAAAAATTTTGAAATTCATGGCCCCTGCCCCCCTGGGGCCTGAGGGGTGGGGCTAAAACCATCAAAATTGATGCACTCTTTAAAAATCTTCTTCTTTACTCCTGGACATCAAGCAGTCAAACTGTTGGCATGATTGTAATAAGCATTGAGCCCTCTACCAAAATTTTGAAATTCATGGCCTCAGGGTCAGGGGTTCTGGTGCTAGGGGGTGGGGGCTCTAATGATTATATAGTGAAAATGCATTAATTCTTTAAAAATCTTCTCCTCTGCTCTTGGGTATTAAGCTGATGAATTAAGTACATATTTATGATGAGCAAGAGTGCCTCTTCCAAAATAGTGAATTTCATGGCCCCTGGGTGAAGGGTTCTGGTGTTAGGGCGGGGCTCTAATGAATGTATAGTGAAAATGCATTAATTCTTTGAAAATCTTCTCCTCTGCTCCTGGGTATTAAGCCGATGAATTAAGTACATAGTTATGATGAGCAAGAGTGCCTCTTTCAAAATTGTGAATTTCATGGCCCCTCGGTTAGGGGTTCTGGTGTTAGGGTGGGGCTCTAATGAATATATAGTGAAAATGCATTAATTCTTTGAAAATCTTCTCCTCTGCTCCTGGGTATTAAGTCGATGAATTAAGTACATATTTATGATGAGCAAGAGTGCCTCTTCCAAAATTGTGAATTTCATGGCCCCTGGGTCAGGGGTTCTGGTGTTAGGGCGGGGCTCTAATGATTATATAGTGAAAATGCATTAATTCTTTGAAAATCTTCTCCTCTGCTCCTGGGTATTAAGCTGATGAATTAAGTACATATTTATGATGAGCAAGAGTGTCTCTTCCGAAATTGTGAATTTCATGGCCCCTCTTGGTGAGGGGTTCCATGTGGGGGGGGGGGGGGGCTTTTTTTCTATATACTGAAAATAAATGCTTTGAAAACATCTTTGCTCCTGGGTATTGAGCTGATGAACTAAGTACATAGTTATGATGAGCAAGAGTGCCTCTTCCAAAATTGTGAATTTCATGGCCCCTTGGTCAGGGGTTCCATGTTGGGGGGGGGGCTTATTTATTATATACTGAAAATAAATTAATGCTTTGAAAATCTTCTCCTCTGCCCCTTGGTATTAATTAAACAAACTAAATACATAGTTATAATGAGAAAGGATTCCTCCTTCCAAAATTTTGAATTTCATGGCCCCTGGGTCAGGGGTTCTTGAGCTTGGGTGGGGTTCTATTGATTAATTAGCAAAATGCATTAATGCTTTGAAAAAATTCTCCTCTGTCCCTGAGTACTAAGCAAACAAGCTAAATGCAATAATATCAATGTAAATACATGTATTAAATTTAATTATAAGTAAATGTGCCTTTTCTTTGCTTGTGGGTGTCTAGGAGACACAATTGTGATGTGAAGCAAATGAGAGTTACTCCCCTTTGCTAAATATTGTTAATCAAGAAATCTTTGTATATAATTTAATTTACAGGTTATTTGATTGAATGAGAATACAAGAAAGAATGTTATATATATATAGAAACAAAATAAAAATGAATGTTTGGTTTAAATGAGCAAAGTATGCTCAAAGTCAGATTCTTGCCTGGAAAGCAGTATAAAAGATTGACATAAAGATTATTTATATATTTAGCAAAAGTTGTAATTGTACACAGTATGTATACTCTGAAAATGCATTAATTCTTTGAAAATCTTCTCCTCTGCTCCTGGGTATTAAGTCGATGAATTAAGTACATATTTATGATGAGCAAGAGTGCCTCTTCCAAAATTGTGAATTTCATGGCCCCTGGGTCAGGGGTTCTGGTGTTAGGGCGGGGCTCTAATGATTATATAGTGAAAATGCATTAATTCTTTGAAAATCTTCTCCTCTGCTCCTGGGTATTAAGCTGATGAATTAAGTACATATTTATGATGAGCAAGAGTGTCTCTTCCGAAATTGTGAATTTCATGGCCCCTCTTCGTGAGGGGTTCCATGTGGGGGGGGGGGCTTTTTTTCTATATACTGAAAATAAATGCTTTGAAAACATCTTTGCTCCTGGGTATTGAGCTGATGAACTAAGTACATAGTTATGATGAGCAAGAGTGCCTCTTCCAAAATTGTGAATTTCATGGCCCCTTGGTCAGGGGTTCCATGTTGGGGGGGGCTTATTTATTATATACTGAAAATAAATTAATGCTTTGAAAATCTTCTCCTCTGCCCCTTGGTATTAATTAAACAAACTAAATACATAGTTATAATGAGAAAGGATTCCTCCTTCCAAAATTTTGAATTTCATGGCCCCTGGGTCAGGGGTTCTTGAGCTTGGGTGGGGTTCTATTGATTAATTAGCAAAATGCATTAATGCTTTGAAAAAATTCTCCTCTGTCCCTGAGTACTAAGCAAACAAGCTAAATGCAATAATATCAATGTAAATACATGTATTAAATTTAATTATAAGTAAATGTGCCTTTTCTTTGCTTGTGGGTGTCTAGGAGACACAATTGTGATGTGAAGCAAATGAGAGTTACTCCCCTTTGCTAAATATTGTTAATCAAGAAATCTTTGTATATAATTTAATTTACAGGTTATTTGATTGAATGAGAATACAAGAAAGAATGTTATATATATATAGAAACAAAATAAAAATGAATGTTTGGTTTAAATGAGCAAAGTATGCTCAAAGTCAGATTCTTGCCTGGAAAGCAGTATAAAAGATTGACATAAAGATTATTTATATATTTAGCAAAAGTTGTAATTGTACACAGTATGTATACTCTGTTGAGATCTAAGTTAGTGTCACTTGTAGAGGAGTTGTGGTTGACAGGAGACTGGATGTTGTTTTATGCTTTATCAAAGTGAACAAAGAATCACAGAGAGCCAGAGTGACTTATTGTAATTAGTGACAAGTGGCAAATAACCACGTTGTATATACCCAAATCTGTGTGTACTGAATTGTAGCACTAGGCAAGTGACAAAAAAATATCTGTATGTATTGAATACATTACACAATAAGCAAGTGTTCTTTGTATTTGTATATTTTGCATTCAAGTACGATCCAAAGGAGATCAATCAGGTCAAGCATATTACAATAAGCAAGGGTATTTTTACCAGATTTTTAGCTCACTTCGACGAAGTCGTGATGAGCTCATGCTATACCCCTGAAGTCGGCGTCCCGGTTAAAGTTTTAGGAGCAAGTCCACTCCCAAGTATCTATAAGCCCTACCTGAACCAAACTTGCATGGATGATGCATCTAGGGATGGACACTACCACACTTGCTTCGGATGCTGGATCTGACCTAGATTTCCCAGATGAGTGACCAGGTTAAAGTTTTTGGAGCAGGTCTTTTTCCAAGTAACTATAAGTCCTACTTAAACCAAATTTGCATGGATATTGATCTTGGGATGTACACTAACTAGAAAAAAATATGATGTGAGATTTGCCTTACTTATAGATAACATTTGTCGAGGTGAGCTTCGTAATCTTTGATTACCTATGTTTGAAATTCTTGGGCAACATTGCTTCGTCTATAAGTTAATTTTGTTTTATACTTCCATGGATCCTTTAGTGTTGTATTATACTCAGGTGACCGTAAAGGCCCTTGGGCCTCTTGTTTTAATTCACGTTGCCCGCAAGAAAAATGTTTCTCAGGTGAGCATTGTTGCCCATGGGAATCGTGAAGAAATGAATTTGGTGATATTTTGGGTAATTATGAATTTTTTATATATAAATTGTTGTTGAAAAATAAATAAATTTCCTGTAAGGATGAACCAATTGTACAAGTTTTTTTTTTTAAAAGCTCTTCTGAGTCATAGCCTTAAAGAGCTAATGATATGGCCATTTCTGCGGTATGCATGTGGGCTCTTAAGGACCCAGAACAAGATCATTATCATAAGTCTATATGAATGAAAAAAAATCTCGAAACATACATTTAATCAACCAAACTTGTACATAAGGATGAGAATATATCGTAGATAAAAGATTGTTGAAGAAATATCCATAGAGCTAAGGGCGTGGTCTTAATGGTTCTTAGACACAGATTTGAACTTAATATTTTCTCAAATTTTCTGTATAATATCACGACTTATATATTGCAATAGCATTTTACACGAAAATATAATTAAAAACTTATTTTATCTGGAAATTATTGGAACTACGAATTCCGGGACGCGTTTGATTAACACATCTTTGCACTCACACAGATTTTAACTTTATCCTTAATTTTTAAGAAAAGGAGCGATTTTGTTATTTATTAATGAAAAATATTACATCTATAATCCAGAAAATTCAGAGTAGAAATGTTCGAAAGCAAAACCAACTCACCAGTATTGTCAGTCCGTGCTCTGTGATGTGTTCATAGTTTAACAAATTGAACACACCTGTGGAACGTAAACTGTTTTTGTAAACAGGACACGAGCTCTGTTATTATTAATGTTTACGATTCACCGGGTTTGTTCATTTGTTTAATCTGCACACACCACTGAGCACGGATTTACAATACTGTGAGTGGGTTTTGCTTTCGAACATTTCTACTCTGAATTTTCTGGGTTATAGTTTTAATATTTTTCATTAATACACAACAAAATTGCCACTTTTCTTAAGTATTAAGAATAAAATTAAAATATGTGAAAGCGCACGTGGCAATGATGTATCAATCCAAGTTTTAATAACTTCGAGATGAAATAAGATTATTATTATATTTTAGTATGAAATGCTATAGCAACATATAAGTTATGAAATTATGCAGAAAATTTGAGAAAATATTAGCTTCAAATCTGTGTCCAAGCACCTTTAAGGTCACTTCAAAAATTGACCCAAAATGATTATTTTTAAATATAGTATTTTGCCCACTGTTAGCACTAGGATCATCAAATATTGTCAGCTGATAAATCTTGGGACCTCGAGATTTAATGACCCAAAAATTGTGAAAAAATGGTGACGTAAATATAGTTAATAATGAGGACCTTAAATCACTTATTTTAAAAGGGCCAAAATTTAGGGAACCCTGTGACGGTACATATAATTGTCGTCGGCGACAATATTTACTGAGACGAGCCTTATTTTCCTCCTGCATAATGGACGACAAAATGTACAGTCAAGCACCCGCACATATTGTCGTCGTCGACAATATGTATTGTCAAGGTCGACATATATTGTCATTGATATATTGTTTTGACGAATATTTACTTGAGAAAGGAAAGAGAGATTGATACACACACACACGCACGGAGGTAGACTTACAACATTATTCGCAATGGAGAAAACTCTTTGGTCAGAAAATAGTGTCCAGGATTGATGTACATCACTATTATATGTTAAAGATACCGTAATTCTTGAGATATCTGATAAATCAGCCTATTCTTTTTTTCTTGTAATATATACTTGGAGATTGAATACAATATGTGTTAGTTTTTTTTTTTGTTTAGTAGTAATGATTATTTGGAAATTATATTTTGCGTTATTCTTATATACAATCATGTGCAGATATAATTGGTGTTGGGGTTGACATTTTTAGATCACCTGAACTGGAAATGCAAGTGAGCTTTTCTGATCATATTTTGTCTGACCGTCCCTCTGTCTGTAAACTTTTCACAATTTCAGCTTCTTCTGAAGAACTACTGGGTCAATTTCAACCAAACTTGCCACAAAACATCCATGGATAAAGGGGATTCAAGTTCGTTCAAATGAAGGGCCATGCCATTTCAAGGGAAGTAGATAAGAAATTAATGAAAATTTAGTGACATATTTTAAAAATCTTCTCAAGAACCAATGTCAAAAAAGTTTAAACTTATGTGAAAGCTTCATTATGAAATGTAAATTCAGTTTTATTCAGATCATGTCCATCGGGGGAAGGGTGTGGCTACAAAAGGTGATCAAAGTTTTTCATAAAATATTTAGAAAAAAAATCTTTCATTGTTTTTTTTTCAAGAACTACTGGGTCAGAAGAGATGATACATATGTGAAAGCTTCATTACATAGCGTACGTTCAATTTTGATTTGCTAGCTGGCACGAAAAAGATCCCTCACTGCTCAATGACCCTAAGTGCCAAGTATAGGTCTAAATTTGCAGCCCTCCACTGGCAAGTGATGACGTCTACATACGAATTAAAAATTCTCGAGATGGACATTATAATAAGAAACAAACAAAAACAATTAATTTTGTTCAAATCATAACCCCAGGGGAAGGATGGGGCCAAAATTGGGTGATCAAAGTTTTTCATAGGAATATATACATGTCTGTATGGATTCTGTATGGGATTACGCCAGGCGATGGGCCAGACATGAAAAAGAAGACCTTGACACTTTGTCAGAATGGATTAAATGTATCAGATTTGTCAGAATGGATTAAATGTATCAGATGTATGTTAAAATCGAGCATTCAAAGATTGAGGGGCAATATGAGAACAATCTATCCTTCTGTATTCAATAATCCAGAAGTGAAAAAAGAATTAGATGCTGTAGATTACATGATCAGTTCGTACTGGTCCATGCTGACAAAGCAGGTAACAACATTGTCTTTGTTTGTAAAGCTCATCATATTTAATGTATTTTAGAGGAACTTGGATTTAATTCTACAAGTGGTAATCCGACTTATACTCATAGTTCTCTTTCTAAGGAAGAAATTCTTCAAAATCATATGTCAGTTTTGAATATTTTTAATATTCCAAACAACCAAAATGAATTTGAATTACCATATGTATATTGGATTCCGAAACTTCATAAAAATCCTTACAAATGTGACGGGGTCTTCCATCATTGGAAAATAATAAGACAATTCCACAAATGAAGGTTCCAATTATTTATTGACAAAGAACGAAGAATGATGATAAACGAAGGTGACCTGTAATGAAAATGACACACTCATACAAATTCACTCACACTAATATTTATTTAATTTCAATAGTTTAAGAGCAATATTAATTTATTTCTTACCAGCTTCAATGTGTACCAAGATTCCGTAAGGAATATCTTGGGCTAAACTGCAATCATGATCTCGGTAGATTTCTCGCAGGAGAACATCAACCAATAATTAAAGTAATGTCCAGATTAAAAGAAATAGCTCGTGCATAAGTATTTATACTAGCACTCACACATGCGTACATAGCAACCACACCCCATACATACTGGTTCTACCACTCTCACCCAGGAATAACAATAGTCACAAGACAATCACGTGACATCCAAACACAATCACGTGACACGGAACACCTTACCAACAAGAATACAATACAAACACGATGACAATGACCACGTGACAATGACCACTATGAATGAATGAATGATGAATGAATGAATGAAACGAAACTTTACTACAGCTATTTACTACTTAATATACTAGCTGTGCTATTAACTAGTTATTCTAAATAAAATAAAATAAGCAATTGTCACCCTGTGACACAAACAAAGATACATAGCGGATTCCAGTAAATGTTCAACCAAGCCTCTTTCTTTACTCTTCACTAAGATATTAACAGTAGTGAAGGAGAAACTTCAAGAGTACTGTGCAACAATATATTCGAGAAGTAGTGTAAATCAGATGTGGATACTTAAAAATTCCAAGGAACTTTTGGAAAATTTGAAATCACAAGATTTTACCAAAATCAACAGCTTAAAAACTTACCACTTTTCAACTTTATGCACAAGCATTCCCACGATAAATTAAAGTCCAGGCTTTTTGATATCATTGACAGCTGCTTTTTCAATAAAAATGGAACTCGTAAATTTACTTACCTTGTCATTGGTCATTTGCAAAATTATTTTGTTAAAAACATTCTGATTGTACACACAAGTACTCTGAAGTTGACATTAAAAAGATGCTTGAGTTTCTGCATGATTGACAATATCTATGTGGTAATGTTATTTCCATTCATATGTCGACATGATATGTCCCAGTGAGTTCTAAATAAGATACCAAAGAGTCTGGCACATCTGTTTCACTTTTTACTAGAAAAAGACGTTAATGGTTATCTAATAACAAAGCTTTGTGATAAACGAGATGACTGACTTTTCAATCGTCACCTTCCCTTACTTAAGCAGCAATATACCCTCATCATCTGTATATGAGTTGTGGAATAATTCCACGTGTTGGTTTTAATTTTCAAGTTTTTCTCTATTCTGACATGATCACTGACTGATGATTGCAGGAACTCCCTTTGTTTGCATTATTATTACATTAGTATTGTTACTTATAGGACACCGTGACCTATTTTCTGAATAATACTGCGGAATCATTAATGTTCATGGGTGATCAATGCTGGTCACCCTTAAACCACGAGTTTGCATCCCCACGAACAATTATTTTGTCAACATTTATTCATTAAATCTTTCGTACATACGAGTAACCCAAGAAATTACGTCCACTTGAACCGACAAAATTTTGCTTGCCCACGAACATTCACCTTAAAGAATTAAAATGATTCCACAGAATGGTTTTCCATTTTCAAAACTTTTTAGCTAAGATATTGAGAGGCTTAGAATCATCAAACCTTGTAAGCTGATGCATCTCGAGGTCTCAGAGTGTGTCAACTAAAACATACGCTTAGTAACACTGACCCACTTACTGAATTTTAGCGCTTATCTTTTTATAATCTTTCAACATGTATATTTTGCACACTACATATATATGATATGTATGGTCACCAGACCTACATTGTTGATGAATCAGGGAATCACTAATTCCAAAGTAGGTCACGTTGACTTACTTTTTGAAATTATTATTTATCGTAAAATCTTATAGGCCTGTATACTCAAAGGCCTAAGATCATCAAACCTTGTCAGTGAATGTACATCGGGATATGTTGACTGAAAAGTAGGTCTTATTGACCTAGTTTCAGATATCTTTTAACCTATATATTTTGAACACAATGACATTGGAAAGGTAACTAAACCTTGGAATTACATGTAGTTGATGCACCCTTTACACAGGGGTGTGTCAATCCAAACGTAGGCCAGAATGACCTACAGTCTAATTTTTATCATTATTCATGTCAAGCTGAAACTTCAAAAATAGGATACTAAAAGGCCTAAAATCATCAAACTCTGTCAGTTGATATACCTTTGAGCCTCAGAATATGTTGACCTAAACGTAGGACACAGGGACAATGTTGTGCAATTTATATGAAGAGCAATTCTACGCCCTGGACCTCTTGTTTCGGAAATCTAAATGAGCATACATTTTTTGAATATCGTTATTACAAATGAACTTTTAATTTCAGTGATATCCCTGTAATGTACATACATCTGCAAGTCAAAAAAATCTTGAATAATCTTGTTTGATGTTTAAGATTAACATTCTTCATCAATATCGTCAAAAACATAAACTATTCCTCTGAAGCTTGTATTTAATTTTTTTCAAACAGAAGCATGAAAACAGTTTACTATGGTATTAGAGGCCCAACACGGGTGGGCCCTACAAGTCTAGTTCTAATCTGGTCCACTAAGTACATCAAGGCAATAAACACAACGGCGGCCAGAAGACCAGACACAAGAGAGAAGGTCACTGAAGCTATAGACGCTGCTATGTAAGGATCATGAATCAAATGGATTAAAGTTGGACCATTACTTGAAGGATTCACATCATTAGTACACATCGTTTCCAGATTCGTTTCGCATGAGTAGATATGCCAAGCTGCAGGGAGTGGGTACAGCCGAGTGCTAGATCCACAGTATATGTAACCCGAAAATACAGCAAATGTTTCATGCTTTTTTTGCAACTTCTTAACCATTGAGTGAGTTTCGGAACTGTTGAAATGAAGTGATATACTTGAGAACTGTTCTTTTTCGATGTTAATTATTTTTCGAGATAGTTTTGTAGTATTAGGAAATTCTTGGGAAGAAGCTAAAGAAAGATTTTGAAAGCAAAATTTACGGTCATCTTCAAATAAATTTGTTGGAATGTACAAAGAAATAGGAGTGACGTATTTTGATTTGAATATGGTGCCCTGATAATGTTCAATAGTAACTAATTGCAAGACCAGGACTGGTTTTGAGAATTCTAGAAGGAATGGAGAGCTTTCGTTTTCAAGTTGGGAGAGGTATGCTGGAAAATACGCATAGTCAAAGGTTTTTGTCTTGTTGCTTGCGGTTCTTGCTTTGAGTGATGTGTTGGCATTACCTACAATTGGAAAGAAAAAAATAAAGATAAAAATATACAAGTCAACTACAGCTATTGAAGTGTAAGACATTAAAAATTGGGAACTATGCCTTACCAAAGATTTTGTAGGAACTCGTCTCATCGATGAAAAATCTTTGCCCCCACCTTTGATTAGATGGCGGAATTGTAACATCCATATCATTGTCTTTGTAAATCGTACCCATAGCAACAAAAAGAGGTTTGCTACCATTTATCATTATCCCTGATACGTCATAGTTGCATCGAACGTAAACAGAATCATCCTTGTTCAAAAGAAACTGGTATGTGTCAGCTTGAAGGAACCATGTCATGAACTGCTTAGCGACATCCAAGTTTATATATACAGTTGTAAAGTCCCGTGGTGCCGATATGACGAACCACGATTCCAGTTTCCCATTCTGATGAGTCAGCAATTCATTCCATAACGTCTGCACGACATAGACATTCCCCAAACTCTGAAGAGACGGAACTATGAAAGTGCTCTTCCTTGATTCAACATAGAGAACACTGGGTAATGAAGTTTCTACAGTAATACCTGTAAATGAAAATGACTTGATCATGATCATGAAAACACAAATAATTTCTGTGTTCAGTTAAGTAACAGGGAAACAAAAATAAATTTAAGTATTCTTCACAAATGTTTTCGAGTTTAAATTGTTTTGGCAGATATGTTTGTCTAATGGCAATGCTTATTTCTTACTTTAAATGCTGAAATGGACTTACGTAATAATAGTTTTTACTATATTTCTTGATTTTGGTCTATATAAAATGAGTCATTAATATTTTCTTAAACCCTAAATTCATTTATATCTTATCTTATTTTCATGTTACATATTGTAATATCCACCTTAATGTAACAGCTAGTCAGCGTCGTTGTGTGAACGCTACGCCATGTTCATAAGACTTAGTAGAACATAATCTCGACTGGATATGTCAGTTCAAATAGCCAGCATCTCAGCCGAGAATAAAGCGAAATGCAGCATTGATCTTGACTGGTACGAAAATTTTAAGTATCGCCTGTCAACTTTCTTATTGGTATAATAAATAAAAACTCTTTTTGCTTGATTTGATCTCGAACACAGCCACCAATTGCTCCAATTCACATCCAAATGGTATAAAAAGGATTTCGTTGGATATGCGTTGGAGACACTTTTTGCATTCGCTTCAGGATAAGTTTAGCAATTTTCTTGTATTTTGACCATTTATTTTTCCAAAACAAAGTGTTGATTTAAATATGAGCATTCCTAGTTATGCCCCCATTTTAAAGTGTTGTACTTGCAAATGTCAATCAGCCGGTATACCTAGTCGTTTATCTTTTTCTTCATGCCATCGAGCTACAGATCTGCAGCGTAATGACACCTTTCACTCCGGCAGGGTTTGAGACTGATGGTCAAACTATTCTCTACAAATTTTGACCTCAACATTTGTAAGAAGATAGTATTGACATTTGACGCTTGTCTTTTTAGCTCACCTGACCTGAAGGCTCAAGTGAGCTTTTCTGATTGAAAATTTGTCCGTTTTTTGATGTTTTTGTCGTCAACTTTTCTCAGTTTCATCTTCTCCAGAACAACTAGGTAAAGAAACTGGGGGGATAAGCCGAGCCATATGCCTACATAACGATCGATAAAAAATCAGTAAATTCATTTTTAAAAAATTTCACTTTTTTTTGAATTAATGTAATGCTTATTATCATTTGCATACAAATTTGACAAAACCTGAATACTGTAACAGCGAAAATGATTCTGATTAACATAAAAAATGGCATCACGCTCAATTTTCACAAAAACTGACATAAATTGGATGATATAACTACATTTTTAAAATAGAGTGGGTCATCCTACCATTTTTTTGAGAACGATTAATGAAAGGCAATGGAAAGATGTTGCTTTTTACACTTGCAAAAATTTGGTACGAAGACCCACTCTACATAAAAAATTAAGTTAACTTACTTAAATTTTCACCGTGGTCTTAAAAAATTGTAAGTCCAAATACGCTTGCTAAATATAGAGAACTGTATGCTATTTAAATGGGTATGTACGTGTGACTCCGTGGTACAGTGGTTAGCGAGGAGCTCTTTAAAGGGACGTTTATTGAGGAAAGTGTTCGATTTTTTTTTTGGGGGGGAGGGGGTTAATTTTGTTTTACTTTATAAAAAATATCTATAGGAATAACATATTTTTCACTGGAAATAAAAAATATATATACGTATATATATGTAGTAATGAACTCATTTACAGTAAATTATTTAAAATGCCGGATAAAAATCATAATAGATATTTGAATACTTTTATTCATTTTTTTTATTTTTACTACAAGCGCTTTTTATTTATTTTTACTACAAGCGCTTCTAGATCACCACTATCATTATATACAATGTTAACATTTTTATAATATCTCCACAATAAGTGTTAACACTCAATATGCAGATTAATTAATAGAAGTCCCTACCCATGTTAGACACTCGTGACAGTAAATGAGTCAACTGTTTAGCTTGTTTAGAATATAAATATCATTTTGAGAACTACTGTAAACATTACAATGCTTAAGTAAATTCGAACAATTGAGAGTTTTTTTTCCAATGAATGTTCTTGCATAGTCGAAAAATGGGCATGGGCACATGGCTCGTCTTATTCCCCCAGATTCTTTCAACCAAATTTGGCACTATCTTTTCGTGGAGATGATTCAAGATTGTTTAAGTAAAGAACCGTGTCCTCTTTCAAGTGGAGATAATTAAAATTTAGTGAAAATTTAATCTTTTAAAAATTGTTAAAATCTTCTCAAGAATCACTGGACAAGAAAAGATGAGATTTAAGTGATATTCATCACCTAGCATTGAGTTAAGTTTGTTCAAATCATGACCCCCCGGGGTAGGGTGGGACCACACTTGGAGATCAAACTTTTATTTAGGAATATAAGTGGATAAAAGCTTTAAAAATCTTCCCCTCAAAAATATTTCTGCAGATGAGGAACAACAGGACCATAGTGACTAAGGCGAGTTGTTGCTCATAGCCCCCCTTTTTTTTTTGAGATCTTCAAATAAATGGACAACTTTCTCTAGTTTCCACGAGAAGGAAAACGGCAAAGTTAACTACAATATATGTTCAAAGCACATAACAATGCTGTTCCCGATTACGTAAAACATATTTTCTTAAACATTCGCGGAAATGAATTACTATACAATGTACGCAATACGAAAAATTAAAAGTATTTTATTACATGCTTAGGTATATGTAATTACATACTTACATGTATGCATACAGATATGTGCGTACCTTGTTATATCTTTCATGTCTATGAATTAATTTCATGATTTGATTTATTATTTATATAGAGGAAAATAAAACAAACATGATTTAAACACGTTTATTATGATATTGGCGATTGTTGGTCGTGGCATTTTTTAAAAGCAGCAAAGGGGTCGCCAAGCGTAAAGGGCGACCCCAAATTACAACAAGCAGCAGCAGCAGCAGCAAACAACATGAAAGCATATACATATACTATTAATAAGCATAAATATGGCCGTTCCGGGTATACCGCAACCGGTAATTATATTTTATGTATTTTACATAAATTTTACATGTATGTAGAGTTATCGTTCCGGGTTAACCGCGAACGTTACTCAACATATTTTAGCAAGCAAAGCAATGCATGAATTTGTTGAAAGCAGCACACATTTTGCACAGTAATTGAGTTTGTTTTAAGCAAGCAAAGCAGACCAGTTCATGAATCTGTTGAAAAAAGCACACATTTTCAGTAAATAAGTTTGTTTTAAGCAGCAGCAGCACAATGAATTATAGCATCAGTTGAATGGCTCGGCGCAAACGCCACATGGCCGAAACCTTTGGAAACCACAGGTTTCGGTCACCCCATAAAATGGGGAAGCCGCATTCAACTGACCCACGACCAACAGCCCTTAAATAATTATCCTATTTACTGGGTAAAACCTACTTAAACACTTACTCCAGACCCCCCTCCCCCCCTTTTTTTTTTAATTTAACGATACTAGTATTAAATATAGACAGAAAACATGTGCTATTTGCTATTTGCTTACTGGTGTTTTAATATGCAACTTTTATGAGGAATTAAGGAACATATTTTAGATTATCCCTGGTTTTTTTTATAGCAAATATCTACATATAAATATAATGAATAACTAAGGTATTAAGATGCATTACATCTAGAGCAAACTATTATGGCTGGTTCTAGTATACCCCTCTCATTTCAACAGGAGCACAAGTATTCAAGCTGATTTAAAGCAACACTGTTCTGGGGGCAATCTCTGTTACTGATACTGTAGGATTATCATTAGAAATCTTTGCTATCAAATAAATATGTTAATTTGTATTTTGTAAAAGGTCAGCTATTAGGGAATAAAGTCTCACTTATAGTGCTCACATACGTATGTTTCATGTGGTTATAGTATCCATTTTTTTTTACTCCCCCCCCTCCCTGAATCAAAATGAAATCTTGAAATATTATTTATACTTGGTATGCCAAATAAAATCTTATTTAGGATGAATACTTAAATGCAGAATAACATTGTCACCATATTTAAATTCTATTCTTACAGGTTCTAACTCTGTTCAAATTCTTGCTTTTCCAATCAAAATAATCTTTATAATTGAGGAGCCTACACACCATAAACTTGATCCTTCCAGCTACCGTCTACATGTACAAGGAATATAGAACTAATGTAAAGTTTGACTTCTAATGTGTCTTATAGACTCACAGGTCATATAGAATGCCTTCACTACCTAGAACTATGATAGAAACAGGGCAGACATCAGTCAATAATAAATGACTCATAAACAGAGCAACCCCTTCTCCTATCTTACTGGATTGCAAGAACATTTTACTTCATCCTACAATATGAATTATTGTGTAGACATTTCCGGACAGTGCATTACACTCACAATCCTCAAGGTATAGAGACTAATACAATTAAAACAAAATTTCCTCAATTCAGAGAAAAATTGAAAATGTGATGGGAAGAAGACGCTTTCTGGTTAATAAAGGCTTAATCCATACCTTGAACAGGTTTGAAGCTAAAAAGTACTGTTAAAATATATGTGACTGAACCATATAAATTTTGTCATGCATTAAATTTTATAGCTGACGAACAGAATTTTGCTGTTGATTCTGAATGAATGACACGTTTAAAGGGTAGGAACCTAACATAACTGGAAAGAATTTGACAAATGCTTTCATTCTTAGTACATAAACAATAGTTTTGTATTTTCCTAAAATTATGCTTGTAACAGCTTTTGGTGAAATTCCAATGGGCTGGATTGAGAATATTTCTGCCCCTGGATCTTATATCCCTTAGCCATTCACAATACTTACCAAAGAAAATGATCAATGTGAAATATCACTTTCAATTAGCAAACAGCTGGAGCTAAAGTCTTTTGAATAATTGCCTTCTGGTTTCATCAATAAATTGGCTACTTGTAAAAAAGGAAACAAAAATTATGCCTTGTCTTACCTTCAAAATTCCCATACTACCTGTACATGAATCAGTTTAGAGTTGTAATACTTAAGTGTACTTGAAGTGACCTACACCAGACCTTGAACTAATAAATCTCACTGAACCGATACTCCCAATCCTGGTAATTCTTCTGTCATGATGGGCTCAAATGCAGCATTCTTTGCATAGTACACTCTTCTATTGAAAACCCTATCCCCACAGAATTACTTCAATCTGAGAGTCAGATACTAATTATCTTACAATAAAATTCTTTTTATTCCACAAATATTGAATGAGTTGCATTTTTTGAGGTCATTTTATGAGCTCTGAATTAATATGTCTAAAGTTGCAGTAATATTTTAAACCCAAGCATGTGTTTTAGTCTTTATCTGTTGTAAATTGTTCCATGAACTTCCAAGGTCCTATTAAGAAAATGAAATTACCACTCTGAATTATTTTAGTAAACCATTAAAATATGGCAAATGTTTTAACTGAAAACAATCACTGATAAGCCTAATAAGTCAAATATCTAAAAAAAAAAAAACAAAAAAAAAAAAAACAAAAAAAACAAAAAAAAAAAAAAACAAAAAAAAAACAAAAAAAAAAAAAAACCCAAGTATTAAACCTGACTGAACTTTTTACCAATATATTTTTTTTAATAGGGCAAGTATGCTTTATTTAAGTAACTTTGTCAGAAGCAGAGAATTGGAGTATTGATGAATGTACACATTCACAAATGGTTTCCATGTTTGTGTCACACAGAACACCTATAAACTTTGAGTACCTACCCACAGCTAAAAGAATAAAATTTGTCAATCAGCTGGTCATAGCAACATAGCAAAGAGATGTTCTTTTAAAGGGAAACTTGCTCTACTGATCTGTCAGTTTCCTTTATTAACAAGTCTATCTCCCTAATTTCCCCAACCCCAAATAAATTGGAAAATTCAAATTCTTGTTTACTAGTGTAGAACTTTAGGTGGAATGCAAGACTTAGAGTACAAATGATTAGGTGAATAATATGGGGGCATAACCTAGGTCCTTAAAAGGCTAAAGTAAAATACCCTTGCCCTTGATTCAGATTGCACACTGTTAAATTAATTGTATGACATACACTCAGGAAAATTCATTAGCTCTTAAAGAGCAACTGAGTTATCTTTGAAAGCAATTGAATTTGATAAAGCTTACTAGTATGCATAGAAACCAAGGGGGCAACTACAAACTTAAGAAGCTCTTAATTAAATTTTCAGTTTACATTTGAGGTTAAAATATGCAAGAAATAAAGCAACGGCTTTGTCCTGTTGGTTGATTGTGTTGTTTAATGTGGAGGACAATATTAAAGACCTGAACACAAGTCCTAAATGCATGAATAACACATACGCCTAATTTATGGTAAACATTATCCCTACAATATTGAATTTTCCATACTTTGCTTCCAAGCCCCCCTCCCCTTTTCAACATTTCTAGATGCTATAATCTGAAAAATTAAAAAAATAATTTATTTAAAATTCCCTTGTATAAACCAAGAATGTTCAATTTTATTAATGCTGTGAAAAATGACCAACGATCATTATAATGTTTTGATGCTCTTTAGAGAGTTTTCATACGACGTATTTTCTCTCCGAGTATTTCCCTTGGCCGCCATCCCGGTGGTCAACCTGGTAATTATTTTTTTTGTCTTACCAAAGTTGAGAGGGTGTAGCAGAAAAATTTGATGGAAAATCTTTATGGAAGAAAATTATGAAATGAAGGAGGCTTTAACAGTGTTTAACAAATGTATATTTTTCAGAGAAAAAAACAACAACGCTTCTACCCAACAATAGCCAGTATAAAAAGTTAAAGTTGGTTGAATAATGAAGGAATATGAGCATGTTGACCTCCAATATGGCAGCCAACGGGAAATAACTCTTGATAATTTGGGCCTTCTGAAAACTATCTATAAAACTGTTCTTAAATTATTTCATGCCTGAACTTCCTACAATGTAAACATTAAACGATTTTTTTTTTTATACAACCGCCAGTACTGTCCATATCAAAGTTCTTTTTGTGGTTATTATGTTAACTGTTCACATGTTGATTTGTTCAATTGTTAAACTCTTATTGTACTAACATACCCCATGTGGGGGCTTTAGTGAAAATAAAAGTTTCAAGTTTCTATAGCCCCCCCCCCTCCTTTACCACATAAAATATACAACTCCTGAGTTGATCAAGAATTATGGTGCTATAATGTGTATAATTTTTCTTGCAGTTATACTTATATTCATCATGTTGGTAATTCTTTAGTCGTATTTTCAAATATATATAATACCCGAGGACCCAATGGTTGTATTCCAGGAACATTTCTGGTGTTTAACAGACAACCGTGTTCCCCTTTGACCATCTATGAGGAACTCGCTGATTGTAGAACTGGTAGTGACTAGAACCACCATTTTCTTCACTGTTGGCTCCAATGGTATCGGTAATAAGGAAACGGAATTCTCATCGCAGAACGGAACAGCGAAGTAAAATAAGCTTTTTCTTGTTTCTGAAAGAACAGACAATTGCAAAGAATAAGTTGCATAAGGCCATTAAAAATCTTCTAAAAAATTAACGCTTTCCTATTTCAATTCAATTTTAGTTAGGCCTAACAAATCAAAGATCTGAAAAAAAAAACAACAACACTCATACAAAAAAACAACAACAAAAAAAAAAAAAAAAAAAAAAAAAAAAAAAAAAAAAAAAAAAAAAAAACCCCAAATTATAATAATAATAATAATAAAAACTAGAGACTCATTACTAGTAATGAGAAGGTCTTCCGTTATACTACTTCCTGTTTGCACGAAAATGTCTTTTCCAACGTCGGTATTAGCCTAAAACTTAAGTAGAAACAAAATAACTTAAAAAATACTTTTTTGCTTCGTTTCCTCTCACGACCGGAAGTAATGACGACACCCGATTTTTACACGAAGCAAATGAACTGATGACTGACTATAAGTCCTGAAAGTCTTAGACTTCAGTCTTTTACTGTTGTCGAACAATTGTGAGAACAATTTCTAATTTTGAGGACAGGAAAACACACGACCGGAAGTGAACTGAATAAAAATCTTTGAATTTTCTCTTGACTTTTGCAGTATCTACAGCATATGTAAAAAACATTTCAAATACCTATCTATAAGTGATATTTATGAGAAAGTTAAACCACGAAATAACGTAGTTTATCTCTTAAAACCGGAAGTTTAAAGTTTTTGTTTCCGGTGATATCTAACATATTTCAAAACAGCGAAAGGGAAGCAAGAAAGTGATGAAAGTTTTAATTTTAAAAAGAAAAGTTGAAATTTTCGATTTCTTTGATCACTTCCTGTGATGACCGGAAGTGACGGCTGATGCTTTAAACCCTATGTGTTTTGCCTTCTCACCAAGGTTTATTACTCCTATAAGTTTGCTGTCTTACTTTCATGCCTTTTCCGAGATCTCGCCGAAATAACTTTTCATTTTGAAGACAAGAAAACACGCGACCGGAAGTGAAGTTTACTAAGATATTTCATGTCACTCTAGACATCTGCAGTCTCAATAACATATATAAAAATCATTTAAAGAACTCTATCTATAAGCAATATGTTGGGGAAAATTCAAAACCCCTATTATGTAGTTTTTCTCTTATAACCGGAAGTTGTCGTTTTTTGTTTTTCCGCTGGGACCAACATATATCGTAACTGTGAAAAAGATACAATGATATGATGCAAGTCTTATTCCAAAAGAGAAAAGTTGAATTTTTTTATTTCTTTGATCACTTCCTGTGACGACCGGAAGTGACGACTGACGCTCTTAACCCAAATGGTTTTTTCTACTCCTCAAGGTCTAATACTCCTATAAGTTTGGTATCTAAATCTCTTACAGTTTCTGAGATCTCATTCGGACAAGTTCTCATTTTGCGGACATTTAAACGCGCGACCGGAAGTGAATTTTACAAAGATATTTGAGGTTACTTTAGACATTTGCAGTCTTGATAACATATTAAAAATTCAGTTCAAATACGTTATCTATAAAAAATATTTATGGGAAAGTAAAATACTCAAATTATGCAGTTTTTCGCTTATAGCCGGAAGTTGTCGTTTTGGTTTCCGGTGGGACCAACATATTTCAAATCTACAATTTAGATGCAATAATGTGATGAAAGAAAAAGATCAAAAAAGAAAAGTTGAAAATTTCGATTTCTTTGATCACTTCCTGTGCCGACCGGAAGTGACGGCTGACGCTCTTAACCCAAATGGATTTGCCTACTCCTCAAGATCTATTACTCATATAAGTTTGGTGTCTTAATCTTTTACTGTTTCTGAGATATGACTCGGAAAAAATATTTCTGAAAAAAATGGAAATCGGAGATATCTGACGACCGGAAGTGAATTTTGAAAAAAATGAAAAATAAATTTGTAGGTATTTTCATTGTCTATTATCCCTGAAAATTTCAAGAAAATCCATCCAGCCATCTCTGAGAAATCGTCCGAAAAGAAAAGGGAACAAAAATAATAATAAAAAGAAAAAGAAGAAACAGTAGAATCACTATAAGGTCTTCCGACTGAAACGGAAGACCTTAAAAAGAAAAAGAAGAAACAGTAGAATCACTATAAGGTCTTCCGTCTGAAACAGAAGACCTTAATAAACAGTACAATCACAATAAGGTCTTCCGTCTGGAACGGAAGACCTTAATAAAAAGAAAAAGAAGAAACAGTAGAATCACTATAAGGTCTTCCGTCTGAAACGGAAGACCTTAATAACAGAATGCTGTGTGAGGTTCACGTCAAAACATGGCTGACGCAAAACAATTCCTGAATTTTCCCCTTCAATTCGAGCATTTCTGTATTGGATAGGGTGATGTTTGTTTATGAGATGATAAACTATGTGTAAACTTTCTTAGTTTAGCGGAATCATGAACATTTTCGGCGTGATGAATAATTTGTTTACAGTAGTGATGAGGCTTTCGCGCACCTGCAGGAGCGGATCCAAGGATTTACGAATTTAATAAAAACGATGGAAATGAAGTTCTAATACTTATATATATTATTTAATGAAATTATTAATATGCAAGTAATAAATATACAAGAAAATGCTAAGGAATGCAGCTGACAATCGCTACTTTCTAAAGATAAATTAACTCTAAATAAAATAATTATAAATTCTTTAGACGAAACAGAAGAATGAATGGTAGCAAAATATCAAATCACATCAGGGGAACTGAATTTTATTAATGACACTCTTAAGAAGTTCCTTATAAGTTGTATATTTTGTATCTGCCTATTCCACCTGGCTGCTTCGAGTGAGGAGGGGGGGGGGGGGGACGGTCTTGAACATTAACATGTAAATTACCATTATTTTGAAGAGAGAATTAAGCCTTATCATTTTGAAAACTTCAAGAAGAGTTGCTTGTGATATGAAGGTCAAGGTCATTTTATTTATAATCCAAAACATAAAAGCGACATTTGCATTCATTACAGTAAAAGAGAAGGGGGGGTGGGGGGTCTGTAAAGATGACAATGTCTTCTACAGTTGACAAAATAAAAGAGGGGTGAATAAAATGCGCACTCATGATATACATCATATTCAACCATTTTTATTTAATATAAACTTGTTTCCTTGGCAACAGGAAGATTTTTCTGGCCTATCTCAATCACCTGAGAAGTGTTACCTCTACACTTCATCCTAAGCGAATGAGCTCTCAGCAGTCCCCGTAAACTATATATACGACAAAAAAATCAATATTTTGTAGTGTTTAAGAAACGTTGGTCCTACGTTTTCAGAAATTCTAAGATATTTAAAGATATTTAATTCCTTCTTAATCAAATCAAGAAACTGGCAATACGTAAAATCTTCAAAGAGGGGCCATTACATACCCTGTGAATATTACAGAAAAAAGAAGTTAGAAAGACGAAGAAATTGAAAAAATCGACTTTTAAATCCACTTTCTGTGACGACCGGAAGTATTGACGACGGAAAAAATGTTCATAATGACATCTACAAGTCATTATCTATGATATTTGACAGAGTTAACTTTCATACCTTAAGCTGTTCTGGAGAAATGGAGCGGACAAAGTTCTTTACAAAATTTCGGCAATACAATAATATTAAGAATACTAGAAACTCATTACTAGTAATGAGAAGGTCTTCCGTTATACCACTTCCTGTTGGGAGTCGCCTATGTAACACAGTGTTTTGAGCAGTTTTTTGGGCCGGTACTTCTAGCGGAAATAATTTGAGTGGACATGTCCTTTCTAACTTCGGTATTATCCTAAAACTAATGTAGAAAGAAAACAACTTGCAAAAATTCACTTTTTTGTATCACTTCCTGTCACAATCGGAAGTAATGGCGACACACGATTTTACACGATGCATTTGAACTGATGATTGACTATCAGTCCTGAAAGTTTTAGACTTCAGTCTTTTACTGTTGTCAAGCAATTTTGAGAACACATTCTAATTTTGAGTACAGGAAAACACGCGACCGGAAGTGAATTGTGTAAAAATCTCTGAAATTTCTCTAGACATTTGTAGTATCTACAACATATATAAAAAACATTTCAAATACTTTATCTGTAAGTGATACTTATGAGACAGTTAAACATAGAAATAACATAGTTGATCTCTTAAAACTGGAAGTTTAGATTTTTGTTTCCGGTGGAATCTAACATATCACTAAACAGCAAGAGAGTTGCAATAAAGTGATGCAAGTTTTAATCTTTAAAAGAAAACTTAAAATTTTTGATTTTTTATCACTTCCTGTGACGACCGGAAGCGACGGTTAACGCGTTTAATCATATACGTTTTGTCTACTCCTCAAGATCTATTATTCTTATAAGTTTGGTGTCTTAATCTCTTACTGTTTCCGAGATCTCGCTCAGAGAACTTCTCATTTTCAGGACAGGAAAACACGCGACCGGAAGTGAATTTTACAAAGATGTCTGAAATTACTCTAGACATTTGCAGTCTGAATAAAATATCTAAAAATCATTTCAAATTCCTTATCTATAAAAGATATTTATGGGAAAGTATAATACTCAAATTATGTGGTTTTTCTCTTATAACCGGAAGTTGTCGTTTTTGTTTCCGGTGGGACTGACATATTTCGAAACGACAAATAAGATGCAATAAAGTGATGCAAAAAAATGTTAAAAACGAAAAATTGAAATTTTCGATTTCTTTGATCACTTCCTGTGACGATTGGAAGTGACGGCTGACGTTTTTTACCCAAACGGTTTTGCCAACTTGTTAAGATCTATTATTCATAAAAGTTTGGTGTCTTAATCTCTTACCGTTTCTCAGATCTGATTCAGACAAATTCTCAGTTTACGGACAGTAAAACACGCGACCGGAAATGAATTTTACCAAGATATTTGACGTTATTCTAGACATTTACAGTCTTTATAACATATATAAAAATCATTTCAAATACTTATTCTATAAGCGATATTTATGGGGAAGTATAATACTCGAACTATGTAGTTTATCT